CATTTAGCTGTTAAGGGACTGTTATATACTGCAATGTAAAAAAAGTTAGTCTTCGCTGTTGAGGCATGTTTAGTTTGGATGTGGTTCTTCGACCCATTCGACCCACCATCATTACGTCTTCACAGTGACTGGTGTGTGAATAATGAACACGGGATGGTGGAGAATTAACAGCTCCAATTCTTCCTCAACCTGTTCCTGTTTTCCCTGGGCAAGACTGGTTGTCCTTGGCAAAGTTTAGAAAAAGACCAATTCACACCCTCACTCACTCAGGGTTTTGAGGATGTATGATAGAGCTTAGACGGAAAACTCAACTACTCGGGTCGGGTGGGTCCTGAGTTGGACCCGGGTACCCACAGGACTACCCGGACCCGGTTAGTCACATGATGTATCGTTTAATTACAATAACAATGAAAGTCACTAATGTTTGCATTTCTTTCTAAGCACACGTTCTTTGTGTCCTTTATACGTTTGAGTAAAGATAAAACTTCAGTCAACTTCAGTGTATGCGTGATTAGATCATTTTACATGTGTATCTAAATAGTTTTTGCCAGGGCTACAGTAAAACAATTCCCAATTGGACATTATGTACCCAACTCTTACGACCTACAGTGGGTACCCGGGTAGGGTTGGGTAATAGGGTGCTGGGTACCCAGGCAGTAAATTTTGGTCCCAGTCCTAATGTATAAACTGCACATTAACCAACAACAACAACCACGTTTATAAATCAATAACATTGCTTCTGATAATTATGCTTTTGACCCATAAGGCAGATGTAGTACCATTTATACTTTCATTTGTAAATGCATCCATTGTAAATGATCGATGTGTAAAAAATATACTTGTCATGAGCCTTACATCAGTAGATAAACAGATACAGTACTGATTAGGGATTAGATGATCACCATGATGTATCAACTGTTTAGCTGCCATTATCAATACTGCGGATGTGACTCCCGATGCATCATGGGGTACTTCCTGCATCGATGTTTGTCATGTCTGTCGCGACAGGAGGAGATTAATCGAGGGGAAAACCCATATCATGAAGGGACGTCAGAGTACACACTAGAGGCTTTTGTAGGAGTTGACGAAGCTGTTGCTGCATCTAAATCGCCACCTTCTGTGGGAGGCCAGACTGCTGAAGCATCACATGATTTCAATGAGTCTGCCGTTTGATTGATTGCTCTTCCTGGTTCGATTCTCAGCTCAGCTCATTCGTAATCTTCATTTTAAGGATTTGATAGTTTAGTGCTCTCCTGGTGTCTGGTTTAGGTTCATGGTTAAAGACATATTCCCTGTGTGTCTGTCAGGGCCTTGCCTCCAACTGGTGTAATGTGGGTTAGGGGTTAGGATGTCTTGCTGCTGTCTCTGTAAAGGTCATTGACTTATCTGATAAGGCAAATTATTGAAGAAGGTGTTTATCATGTCACACATGTTAGTTGTAGTGGTAAGTGGATCAATTTACCCAATCACCATCAGAAATATATAAGGGGTCATGGGTGGCCCAGTCGTCTAAGGCGCCGCGATTCACTGTGCAGAGTTGCGTCCCTTGGGCACGCCAGAAACCTATGATTGTGGGTTCGAATCCCGGTTTGCCCCGATTATGTTTCTAGGTTTGTCAGCACAAACCACTTCAGGCTTTCCTCCTACATTAAGCTGACACACCGTGATATAACTGGAATACTGTTAAAAGCGGCGTTAAACCCAACACACTCACACTCATTCAGAAATATATATGAACCGTACCTTAAGGAACAGTTGGGGAAACAGACACTTGGTGTTGGTGTGTCAAGTGCGTATTTGCCTATATGTGTCATGAATTAATGTTTCTGTGCAGTTCATACATAAAAGTGTCTCCAGGCATTCATCTTCCCAAGGCAAGAGCGTCCACTAGCCTTTTTATCAAAGTCTTGTTTCCACCCTTGCCACATCAAGCCCACCTTCCTGTGTTAAATATGATTGGACTGTCGGACATATCAAGAGTTTAATCAGAGAACGTTTCACAAAATCAACATCCATGACTGGTACACCTTCGTAGGAAAGTGATTTACTGCTGGAATATGTCATTTTGATCTTTTAAACTCCCCATCGATTGCATATGTTTTTGTGTAAGAGATGAAATCGCGAATGTTTTTGTTGTCTGATCGACTTGGTTGTCACCTATGGTAGTCGCCAACTATACGAGATAAGAACAGTGATCTGATTGGATATCAAGTTTTCATTACAAGGGATGCAACTCATGATCTACCCGAGGTAGCGCCAGGGTTGAGCCAAGAAAAGTGGCCTTGATGTGGCAAGGGTAGAAACTAGTCTTTGATATAGACTAGCATCTTCCCGAGGCAAGAGAGTTAACTGACTTTAAAAGTCCAGTTTCCACCCTTGCCGAACAAGGCTGGAATTTCTGGGCACGATCGTAGCGAGTAACGAGTTACGTCCTTTCTATGCCTCTCCTATTGACCAATCAGATTCAACCTCTCGTATCACTTGCATTTGCTTCAAACAAAACGGTGGCGCCCAGTCAAGACGATCTGATCGATAATCAAGATCTATATTGTGATAAAACGAGTCTTACATCGCGAAGTGCATCAAATCACGTGAGCACCTTGATTAAAAACATGAAAAGATTGAGAAAATATCTGTTGACAACGAGTTAGCGATGCACATGCTTTGAAAATCCTGCAGTCGACCGAAATCTGCATGACACTTTACGAACCGGATTTCAATTTCGGTGCGCGATTTTGATTGGACTATGCATAGACTCGTTAGTCCAGCCAAAATGTAACTCCATAATACCAGCCTAGTTCGGCAAGGGTGGAAACTGGACTTTTATAGTCAGTTAACTCACTTGCCTCGGGAAGATGATAGACTAGTGGACACGCTTGCCTTGGGAACATGGCAGGCATTGGGGTATATTTGTGTTCCCTCGTTGGACAGGGTTTCAATTCCAACATTCACCCTCAAAAGGATTCTTGGTGTGTCAGCAACATGCATGCACCTGCGTTTTGCCAATATCTTTATCCTGTGCCACATTCGGCTTCCTCCACTATTATATTGACACACTCGGACATAACTGAAATATGGTTCTAAACCAACTCCCTGACAATCAGATATCTTTGCCTAAAAAGAGTAAAACAATTGTATTTGAGGTAATGACTTCGAGAGAGAATATTTGCAACGCTTTGGGTAATAGGAATGGAGGGGGTTGGTTATTAAAGCCATATACAACAAGTTAGATCTGATGTCGGAGATCGTGCAGGACCAAACAAATTTGGACGTTGATGAAAACTCAAACGTTTTTGGTAATAGTTTCTAGGCAATTATATTCGCCTTCTACACTGCAGCATTTTTTTATCAAACAAATTGTAATGTACTAAGAAATATACTTTACATTTTTCAAGCTTATTACATGGGCACTTATGAGGCTAACTTGCTGATTGGTGTAGAAGTTGATCAAGGTGTGCTTAAAATGGAAAGTGTTTTGAAGGATTAAACATAATAGCTGAAGTTTTAAAGAATGTAATATTTTTAGGTGGTCAATTAGCAGGAAAAAGTGCTTGCGTGTCTTTTTCGAGCTTTATGTATTAGGAGGATATTTTACCTAAATGTTTTTATTGACTGATGGGAATGTATTGAGGAAAGGTTGTAAGAAAAGATTAATGACCTCGACCTTTAAAATTCGCATCCCAGTCATATTTCCTACTGCTCAAGCCTCTAGCAGCTTGCATACTGGTTCTGTAGCAAATTCATCTGGAAGAAATCTATTCAGTGTGATCAGACATGAAAGACAGTTTTAATTATTCACCCAAGAAAAAGTTTGTTTCATTTGATGCAAACCACTGGCTATCAGCTTGGTGTGTCATCTCAAATGTCTGGAAACCCAATTTTTTAGCAGTGAATGGTATGTATTGGCAGATGGAAGTGAGTAGACGGTCAAAATAGAGCAGACGGTCGAAGTAGAGATGGCACAAAGCAAGGAATGTATGTAAGATGAATTGTGGATGGGAATTAATCAAAATAGGTAAAAGTGTTTGTGGGCATTCTTGGTCGAAGAGGGGACTGGATGATCACAATGTGTGACCTGGCTCGTTGTATGTCACTGTGCCACTTTGATTGGAATTATTGTTCCAAACACTGATTTGCCTCTCCCGGACTTCATTATTGACAGACTGTGGTGACAGCTGGAATATTGTGTACTGCAGTGTAAAAACATTCACTCACCTATTTTAGCTTAATTAATAAATTTATTGGATAGTCTCTTCATATTACTTTGCCTTGGATGGCTACAAGACTGATGATGATGTGTTAAGCAATATTTTTTCTCAATTAACACTCTTCACTGACCGCAGCCCATAATTGGATTAAAAAAATATTTGTTTCTTCATGACAGGTGTCGGCTATTGTGACATAATAAATTGCAAGTTATTCTGTGGCATCGAATGGCTTACCAAGTGTATTTCTTTTGGAAACAAACAATAAAAAATATTAAGTCACGCCCACATATAGACTGTTGTTTCATGATTGGCTGAGAGTGTTCTGTAGTTTTATCATATAAAATCGTATTGGTCTCAACATTTTCCTTTTTTCCAGAATGAGGAAAATGTTTGTGTTTATTCCCAAATAAAGAAAACATTATCAGTTTATTCTCTATATAGCAAAATCCCATTTATTTCCCTCTCTGCCCTGCGCATGTGGCCAAAATGTGACATCTTGCTTCTTGTTACTTTGCTTGTTTTTTTTTCATTGTTTTTTTTTTCATTGTATTTTGCTCTTATTTTGTTGCTTTGTTAACTATGCCATGATCCCCAATTGGTGTAATTGAATCCGTGATTTACCCCGATAAAGACCATTGTTCTGTCAGCAGCGTGCCCATGCTAGAGGGCCTCACCAAGGTGTGCCACTTCCCTATTAAGCAGACATTGGTGATATCACTGAATGACGAGAGAAACTGGTTAAACACAACTCACTCACTCACTCGCTTACTCAATTTACTTTGTTGATTACAGGAATGGGCAGATGAGCTGTTACAATACTCAACCAATCTACTGGCAATCAATGGCAGCTCCTTGTCATTCCTGGAAAAGGCATACACTCGCATCAGCTTCATCCAGAGCGCCGATGGAAAGATTCCCACAAAAAAGTAAGACAAACATCTCTATGCATTGGAGAAAACTGCATAAATATCAGTGAGTTGTTGATCACTACTCCTGCCCGCATAGGAAGATTAGGTTTAAGCTGATGTAGGTCTTCATTACACTGACAATTGTACTGCAATGGTCATCTTTGCACTAGAGGAACTCTGTGTTTATCTGTTTCAATGTAAATGTCATTTTATGTATCATGAAAGAAGGGATAAATATAGTTGTACAATTGCACACATATGACATCTTATTTTAACATTTTTGTTTTAATGTGACTGGCTAACCCCTTACCCCCTTATCTTCTTGGAAGGAGCAAGGAATTTGTTGAAAAAAATAATCCTGCTTTTGACTTGCGAAAAATACCGTATTCGACATAATAAGCGCCCATGTCGCTCTCAAAATTAGAAATAGGGGGCTCTTATTAGAATATAATTTTGGTAAGAAAACAAAAATAGAGTTGAAAGATCATAAATTTCGTGGTTTTTCACTGACAGCCTGAAAAGATATAAAAGAAAAGTCTGTGCGTATTATACACGACAGATATATTTTCCAGAATTTATTTGCCCATACTAAGGGTGCATATAACACATGAGTGCGTATTATACATGAATAAATAAGTCTTGTGTACATTGATCAATAGGAAGGGGTGCTAATTGGGATTGTTCACTTGCCAATATATTAGCAAATATCGCCGTGGGTGCTTATTAGAGCGGGGTGCTTATTACGTTGAATACGGTAATATTTTGCTTCATGCGGAATAAGTACTTCTGAAATGTGTACGTGTACTCACACTCTCAGCCACTGGATGCTCAAGGCTTCATTACATGCAAGCCGAAGGCGACTGAGAAATGCATGGCTTCTGTACTGCTGATCTTGCACCATGACCAGTTCATTCCCTCCCTTGGGCAGGTACACAGTATGTATATCGCCTACTTCCTCTATGTCTTAGTGTCCTGAAGATGATGGCACAGAACCGAGATGACCGGCGTCGCGTGGAGAAGGCCCTGGAGGCAGCAGGATTCCCCACAGAGAAGGTGGGTATAGTGCTGGGTGGAAGTGGGTAGTGCTGGGTGGTGCATGGTGTAAGTGGATAGTGCAGGGTGGAAGTGGGTAGTGCAGGGTGGAAGTGGGTAGAGCAGGGTGGAAGTTGGTTGTGCAGGGCGGAAGTGGGTAGAGCAGGGTGGAAGTGGGTAGTGCAGGGCGGAAGTGGGTAGTGCAGGGCGGAAGTGGGTAGTGCAGGGTGGAAGTGGGTAGTGCAGGGTGGAAGTGGGTAGTGCTGGGTAGTGCAGGGCGGAAGTGGGTAGTGCAGGGTGGAAGTGGGTAGTGCAGGGTGGAAGTGGGTGGTGCAGGGTGGAAGTGGGTAGTGCAGGGTGGAAGTGGGTAGTGCAGGGTGGAAGTGGGTGGTGCAGGGTGGAAGTGGGTAGTGCAGGGCGGAAGTGGGTAGACAGCTGTGATGTGGCGGGTTGTGTGACATTGTTGTCTGATTAAGCAGATCACTGTTAACCCTGTCAGGGTTAATTACGGACAGAGCACAGTGACAGCTGTAACAAACAACGGACTGAACTTACTTGCAGGACATGCAAATTGAAGTGATGCAGTTTCAAATTTAAATTCAATTTCAAATTGGGTGTCAAATTACAGCACATGTATTCCCAGTAGAAGCTGATGGAGGTTATTTAGTGCTAGGAATTTTTGGATGTTTGGTTTCACAGACGAATCTATCATTAAAAATTGACATTGAAATCAAATTACCTCAAAGGCCTAAAAATGCCAACTTTCTATGGAGTTGATACTGTACGTGGCAACAAGCTGTATGCTTTGTCAAGGAATCTAATGTTGAGTGCATGTGGATGGGGGACCCCTGGAAGATTGGACCACCATGTGGCGGACAGCCACACCACAAGTAATAGTGTCAGTGTAGGCTTCCTTTAAGGATCTGCCTTGAATTTAAAAAAAAATTAAGATTTCACAAATATGCTTATGACTGTGCAACATCCCATACGGATCTTGAGAAATTTGCAACCATTGTGTGAAAATGGGAACACATTATAAAGATGGCAGCTGGCATTGATGAATGGTTTTGACATGGCTCCACAATATTTTATGAGATCATGGATATAAAGAGATGTATTTTATTTGTGCTTCTGTAATGCTGTGGTTGTATGTCAGGATATACAGCTCTTGTTATCCAATGGAGAAATGTTGTGTAGCCTGTGATGAAATGCGGGACACTTATATAACTGTGCCCCTCACCAACTGACCAGTCAGTCGACTGTGACAACTGATGTGTTGGGAAGGATGCTAAGGATTTTGTTTTACTATGTCCAATTGAACTAATATATCAGATAAAAACTTTAAGATTCACATTTAAGACCAAAGATTGAGAATAAATTGATTTGGATCTTGATGTCTCCACCCAGCTCGGGTGGGTTGTGAGTAGGACCTGGGTACCAACAGGACTATGTGGATCCGTGGTTAGTCACATGATATATTGTTTAATGACGAAACTATTTCAAACTCCATGGTTACACTACAAGTCACTAATGTTCGCATTTCTTTCTCACTATGCACGCATTCCTGCTGACTTTTGTATGTTTTATTTCAAATAAAGCTTCAGATAACTTCAATGTATGCATGACCAGATCATTTTATACTATCTAAATAGTTTTTGCAAGGCTCCGGTAAAACAATGCCCTATCAGACATTTTCGTTCCCAATTTTTGAGACCTACAGTGGGTTCCCAGGTACAGGAGGTCGGGTACCAGGGTCGTTAATTTGGACTCGCCGCAGCCAAAGTTTCCCCTCACAAACACATCTGTTCATACTTTAGGACCAGGTTTGGACACGACATTAAACCCCATTTCACTTCACCTCACCTTAAACAACAAATTAGATTGACCTAAGCCCACTTGGACAAAGCAAATGAGTATTGTAGCTGCAATTCTAGCAGGCATAAATCTACAATAGTAGTAATGCAAGATCACTTTATACAAATTAGCCTTGGTCTACACCAGTGTTCGAAATACCTGCCTGCCCGACCGTCCGAGACGGGTTGATTTCAACTCGGGCTGCCAGATTTTCAAATCCCCCTGCCCGACGGTCGGGTTATATTTCATATGTGAAAATATTCAAAATATTTCCCGATGATAAGCATTAATTCACATGTAAAGATGAATAATAAAATGTAACCAAAAAGAAACCCCGTTAGCTTATCCTGAGAAACATATGATTATAGTGGGCAGGCAGGTTTTGGTCAGGGCTGGCAAGTATTTCAGCTAGCCAGTCCTGTGGTCTGGCTGAAATTTTTGGGAGTTTCATACCCTGAATAAAGTAAATATGTCTGTGAAAAAGCCAATTAATGTAAACAAGTTGACCATGGCGTTATAATGAAATCTAAATCAATATATTCCATATATAGATTCTAAAATTATGTCACATCATATGGAAGGCAGGTCACAAGCCTCAACACAGAAACACCCTCATACAAAATCAATGTCAAGCACAAGTGCCACCAGATAGGACCTTGTTAACTTCTTATGGGTGTGGCAGGACTTGTTATATTAATCGAACCAGCCACATGATTTGGCCGTAAGAAGCTATGTGTAGCAGAGGAAAACAAGTCAGTGGCCAGGAGCCATGTCATATTACCCAGTATCACCACATCGGCGATACAGCATCTACTCTGTGACTCCAGAATGCCCAGTTGGGATCCTGGGGACAAATCGGCCAAGATCACCAAATTGGATTTTCTGGTGAAACTAGTTTAGATAAGCTTATTAAAATATCAGGTGCACTTCGGCCAGATGACCAACTTAGGATTTGGAGCTGGAATGGTCCAAATGCATGAATTATAGGGATTCAGGGCCCACTTGCACAAAGCAATGTTAGCACTCAGATGATCGTAACTCCCATACTTTAACATAGGCTTACAATAGTTGTAGCGCTAAGATCGCTTTTGTGCAAGTGGGCCCTGGAATTGGGTTAATTGAGATCTAGTGGTTGGGATTCTAAAATACAGTGTGTTCAGATTGATTAGTTCAAAATTTGAAGTTGAATGGTCCAGATGAGTCAGATGTGATTTTGGCGTACAGTTCACCCAGATAAATCTCCAGACAAACTTTGGGCTCAGTTCAACTAGTTCGGATCCTGGTGTACAGTTTGTATTTAAAATTTGACAAAATTACCATTGTTCTGTGCCCTTGAACAGTAGTATTTACAGTTCCGTGAAGTTATTTTATCGCTGCTACGTGACAGTGATCAGGACTTCCATGCATTCATTTAAAGAAAATATATGAAACAAAACCCTTTCATTTTTTTAGGGGTTTGATAAGTGATGCCTTCAGAAAATATGTTTTTTTAACAAAATGTTTTTGTGTTACACCATCAGATATATGTTATTTTTCATGACATGAGCAGACAATTTCACTCCAGCACTAATAAGGCTACACAGTACCCCGAACAAGATGTGCTGCATTGTTGGTTGAATTTGGGCCAAAGAGTTGATACATTTCGGAAATAGAAGTGGATTTTAATTAGGTTTAATTGGATCCAAATAAACCTGCATTTGATTGCAAAATAGATAATAGTTACAATACAGAATGATATCCAGTTGGTCATTGTTTCAATCATTATTTATGCTGATAGTATTTTATATTTAGGGGAGTACTGCCTTGTGGTCTGAGATTGGTTTGGTCAGCCCAAAGTGGACGGCCTACAACTACTGTAAATCCTTTAACGTCGGTTCACAAATGTGGAATTGTGTCCCTTAGCCATGCCAGGAACTGGTAGTGGTAGACTGAAATCCATGATTTGCCACAATTTGCAATGATTATGCATATAGATCTGCAACCAGTTCAAGTGCTTTGGTATCACTGGGTCTTAAGGTCTACCACCTACATCACAGGGTACGTAACTGACGTATCTGCTTTTGAACACTGGCTACTTAGTACTTGTGGCCATGCCACAATTTACATGTCCATGTTCCAGGCAACATCCTTTGTCTGTCATTACCATAAGTTCAAAACGACAGTAGACCCACAAAGATCCGGGGGAGAATAGTCCTTCAGCAACTCATGCTTGCTGGAAAAGGCGACTATGCTTGTCGTAAGAGGCGACTAACGGGATCAGACCCATGAAGATCGGGGCTAGAATAGGCCTTCAGCAATCCATGCTTGCCGTAAAAGGCGACTATGCTTGTCGTAAGAGGCAACTAACGGGATCGGGTGGTCAGGCTCGCTGACTTGGTTGATGCATGTCATCGTATCCCAATTGCATGGATCGATGCTCATGATGTCAATGACTGGATTGTCTGGTCCAGACTCGATTATTTACAGACTGCCGTCATATAGCCGGAATATTGCTGAGTGCGGCATAAAACAACACACACACACACACACACACACACACACACACACACACACACACAAAAAATGGCAGATTATCTCTTATTATCTGCCAGGAGATTCCTGTGGGCGCAAAAGGCAAAATAGTGATGACAATTACACACAATGATGACACCAAGGGTTCATAAAAAGTGTAACCATGTCCTACATTACCAGTATCACCCTCCACTCACACGAGTTTCATTAAACAGTAACTGTTTGTTGCCTAACGCTGCCCCCAGCAATATTCCTGATGGTTTCTCTGAAGCGCTGGACATCCATGACCTGCATCACTCTGGGCTGGGCTCCGCCATGATGCTGACATGCTGTTCTGTTGCTGAACAAATGCTCAAAACAGAGCTCAAAGCAGAAACCAACTAACTTGAGAACTGTTAAATATGAACCTATCAATCTCCATACTGGGTTGAAAGGTAAATCTTGGAGTCATTCAAGTCTGTAATGTTGAAAAAGATCTTTAATAAAGTGTTTACAGAAAAACAATTTACTGTATATTCACGAAAGATGTTTTTTTTCCAAATTATTGATTGAATTCAGTGAAAAAAATGTAAAAGAATAATACGTTTAATATTTTTGCACATAAAGCAAGTCTTTTACTGCCTACTTTGTAATACATGTTTGTTATGAAACTGATTTATCCTCAAGAACAGACATGTTTTGTTCTAAATAAGAGGTAGGAACTATAAGGAACATTTACACTGTCTTAAAGGAGTTAATTAGATCAATATGAGTTACTCAAGATATATTTACCTTCCTTGCAACCTCGCTGTGCACATTCCAGAGTAAACATGAGCAGTTGAGAGGAAAATATTTAAGTGAGGCCATAAATGGCTAAAAAACTACATTTAGCAACAAAGGCGGTTGAAACTAAGGGACGTAGGCCAGAACGGCCAGTGCTTTCCATAATGTACAGGATATTGTGCAGTTTATGCAGCTAGCATTTAGCGAAGGGCTTTCAGGAAACTAGAAACTACTTCCCTGGCAACTGATAACCAAAACACTGGCATCAAAGGTGCCATGTGTGTCAGATGTAATTAGTTGTCTTGTGTACGTGATATTGATTTGCCTGTCAATAACGAGCAGGGCTCAATGGTCAGGATGTCGTTAGCTTTTGTGGCATAAATTTACCATTTCTTGTTTTACGACGTCCCTACTGAAGATATAATGTGGAATTGGAGTATGGTGTTTCTAGGTTGCGTCGGGTTGCTGTAGTTATTAGAAAAACATAGATTTATATCCAACACAGAGGCTTAAATGCATCATTAAATCTTGAAGATGATTTAGCCATGGTGATTTGACTAGAGTGGAATGCTGTGTCAAGAGTGTTCATGTGGCAAGAATATGTGAAAACAATATCATATTTGTACCTTTACGAAAGTCCACAAATACTTGGTCAATTGATATTATGGTCGTCGGATGTATGCAGTTATTTCGTTTGCGCAAATGGTGCATGAAGGCAGTAGTTATTGAAGGCAATCTTCTGAACAAGAAGTAATAAGGAAATGGGTTTGTGGTAGAGTTTTAAAGGATCAATATCTCACTATCCCGTATAGATTGGTGTTACTGTAGTGTAATGTATCAACTAAAGCAAACCTTGCGTCGGACTCGTGGGGACCTGGGGAAAAGTTTGAGTTATATGGGGTTCGAATACAGGTGAATTTTATGATTAATTTCGCTATATGGGATTCCCAAATGATTTCAAGACAACTGGGTATTCGACACATCTAAGTTCGACACAACAAGTTTGACTGTATTTGAACCAAATGTTACTGTAGTTGATGTATTTCAAGCCGAGTTTCCAAGGTTGAGCATTTAGTAAAGACTCTGTTCAGGGAGTTTTAACTAGGTTAAGCTTCTTACAACATCAAATTGATGAAATGATGAAAGCTAAAATTTGGGAAAAAAATCTCCATGGGTGATCCGAATAAAGGTCACTTGAAACTTGTTTGAAGCTTTGCATGGGGAGGGGTTGGGTCTGAGTTGATGGCTGAGGAGATTGAAGATGTGTTGGATATGATAACAGTGCAGGGATTGTGTCTAGCGGAATCTGTGGATCAATAGGTTGCTTTCACAGCTGGAGAAATATTAAGGCCCCTATTTTGAATAATTTACAGATTTACCAAAACCATCGGGTAGGTGGACAGTGAATAGAAGAATATATGACTTCCCAAAACAGGTTTTCATTATCAATCTGGGAAAATATATAATGCAGTGAATAGATATTAAAGAATGCATTTTGAATGACATTTAATGTTGGGGTAGGAAAAAGTGACAATGACCACTATAGTCTGGGAAATGGTGCAGCTGTGTATTATGTACTTTACATTACTTTTCTGGAATACAGGCTATGTTCATCACGGGCAGTTAACTTTTCGAAAATGCATGGTTGATGGTCGTGTTGGTTTTTAAAACCTTGTATGTAAAGTATATCAATAAAGGTTATTAAATTGCTAATTAGCTGACATGATTTACGAATACAGCTACTGCTACTTTCATTTGCGACTGCATGAAATCTTACTGAAGCCAGTGCTAGCAGTTAAGAAAAACTAGCTTTTTGATGTGGACTCCCAACACAGCTACTGAACAGTGCATGGTATGGATATGGCATAACAATGCAATGCCGCCAAAATGGTGTGTTGGGCTTTGTTAACTGACTAATTTTGTTATTGTTTGTTATCATTTGCAAAGCATTTAGATCAGTGAAGATCCGGGTTAGAATTGGTCTTTGGCAACCCATGCTTGTCTTAAGAGGTGACTATACTTATCGTAAGAGGCAACAAACGGGATCGGATGATCAGGCTCGCTGACTTGGTTGATGCATGTCATCGTATCCCAGTTGCGAAGATTGATGCTCATGATATCAATCACTGGATTGTCTGGTCCAGACTGGTTTATTTACAAACCGCTGTCATATAGCTGGAATATTGCTGAGTGTGGTGTTAAACAAACAAACAAAAGCAAAGTGTTGTTCCGTTCAGTTTACAAAATACAAACTGGCAACTTTCTAGCTGGGCAGGTAACTTTTGTGAGTTGCCATTCTGGCTGTCTGATTCTTTCTGGCCTTAGCCTTAATATGTCTGAGAAATTGATATAATGTGATAGATATTACGAATAATGGTGAAACTTTGCATGGAATAATATGAAATAATTTCATAAGTGTTTTTGGTGTTCCTGAGGTAGTTTTCAAAGCCAAGCAGATATACTACCAGTAATTGAAAACTCCTTAAAATCTTCCAAATCCTATTTTCCAAACAGCTGTTTATAACCAGATTCCAAGTCCTGATCTACTTTCATCGTGTGTCTCTCTGTTAACTACATGAAACTGCTTCTTCTTTTCAGAACGGCACAATCGACCCCAACAAATTCTCATTTGACAATTTCTTCAATTTCCATCACCAGCTTGTGGGAAGGACGGAAGTTGTCAAGGTCTTTGAAGAAATGTTAGTTTCAAATTTCTTTTCAATATCTGTGGTATATGTCAAGTCAATACTGAACTCTCTAAAAGTGTAGGAAGTCAGTATTGATGACTGTTAATTGTTATCATCCAGGGTGCAGTAACCAAGTTGTCAAGGCACAGCAATCTACTGTGCAGAGTTGTGTCCCTTGTCTGAATTCAGGATCTGATGATCATCTATTTGAATCTGGATTATTATTCTGTGGTAGACATCTACAAACTGCATCACTTTGAGCTTTCCGTCTATTAACCCAGATGTCACTCTGTGATGTGACAGGGGGCACGGGTGGCCCAGTCGTCTAAGGCGCCGCGATTCGCTGTGCAGAGTTGCGTCCCTTGGGCACGCCAGAAACCTATGATTGTGGGTTCGAATCCCGGTTCGCCCCGATTATGTTTCTAGGTTTGTCAGCACCATACCCGTGCTCGTGGGTTTCACCGAAGTGGTAAACGTCTGAGACCTGCATCACTTCGGGCTTTCCTCCCACATTAAGCTGACACGCCGTGATATAACTGGAATACTGTTAAAAGCGGCGTTAAACCCAACTCACTCACTCACTGTGATGTGACTGAAAGACTGTGCAAAATAACAAACCTTTGTAGATTCGTCATGCTATGGCAGTGAATATGTTCATCAACATCCGTGTCAAGTTATGTACACACTAAACCCTAGCTATGTACAGTAGATACGTGTTTACTTCTTGATTGATTATTGAGTATAGGCTAGTAGTTCACAGTTCATGGACTTGTTGATCAGCACATTATGAAGTGATTTATGGATTGTTTTGTGGATTTAAGGATGAATGGGTTTGGATGAGATGGAATTTGCTGCATGGACCAATACATACACACTGGTTTTTAACAAGGGAGAGACATAGGTATTTTATCATCCAAAACTGGCTCCCACAGGAGATATCGCTTGGGTGAGATCAAGCAATATATACACTGTAGATGTTGCTGCAATGAAATTGCATCACAATGCTTTGCAGACCATTGTGACGTCAATCTTTGTATCTAGGTATGCATCATATCACAAACATAGGTATATAGAGAATTTCACATGAGTGTCTTTTGATAGCAAATATATCAACACGAGTTGATAAAAGTGGGAAAACTCCAAGGCTTTTCAGTTTGTAGACAGTAATAAGCAGTGTCTTAAGTGTAAAAAGTACTGCTAACAGCTTCAGTAGCAGAACCATTTGTGATGTCATTTGATTGTGACGTCATGGTTACCAATGACGTCACAAAGGTCTGCAAAGCATTGTGATGCAATTTCATTGCAGCGATATCTACAGTGTAGATATCGCTTGATCTCTCCCACTCACTTGTGATACCTTTGTTATACTATTGCAGTAGATGTGATACCTACGTTATATTATTGCAGTAGATGTGATACCTACGTTATATTATTGCAGTAGATGTGATACCTACGTTATACTATTGCAGTAGATGTGATACCTACGTTATATTATTGGTGTACTTGTGATACCTACGTTATATTATTGGTGTACTTTTGGTACCTACGTTATATTATTGGTGTACTTGTGATACCTACGTTATATTATTGAAACACCCCATGCAAAGTAACCTTATGCCTTTCAAGAGAAATAAGAAAGGCATAAGTTGGGTTCAAGGTCATAGGTGTGGCAGGACTTGTGGGGTGCCCTAAGCTATTATTATAATGAATTATATTTGGCAACTTGAGTTACCAGCAAGCAGCAAGCAGCAGCAGCAGCAGCAGCAGCAATGGGCAACTATGTTGCCAGCAGCAAAATACTAAGTTTCTGTTGAAAAGCAGACATGAATTAAGTTAAGCCTAAAGGTTCCCATCCGCTGAGAAGCAGAGGGACTGAACAGATTCCCGCTGATGAGCAGGGACCTGATAATTTTGATGATTACTTGGTGATTAAGTAAGTATTTACATTTGTAGCCCACAAGAACCACGCCCACCTATAACATTTATTGAATAAATAAGCAATATACATAGTTTGCCCTGAGCCATATATGTACACAAGATTGATTAGAGAGAATATTAATGTGGCAGGCTAGGGGTAGGGTGGGTGGGAACCAAAAGTTGAGAATTGCTGTACAAAATTGGGTACATAAAATTTTGACAGAACTAATGGATGATGGTGATGAAGATGGTGATGACGCAAGAGAAAGTTTGATGACATCATAGGAAGTAGAATTATGACGTAAGTGGCGGGAGATTGTAAGAGGATATGACGTAAGGAGATAAACAAAGAGGTGCATTATGGTTTCAATAAACCCATTTAGTGAGAAGCACTAAATGAAATTATTGGTGTACTTGTGATGTAGGGGGGCCAAGAAGAAGCCCTACCTGACAGTGGAACAGTTTACGGAGTTCCTCAACAAACATCAGCGAGATCCACGGCTCAACGAGATCCTCTACCCATTCTACACAGTAGCACGTGCTCAGGAACTCATAGATCAGTATGAAACCAAAACCGGAATGGCCCAGAAAGGTTGGACTCTTTGTTATCTGTGTAAACCTACCCCTCTTTAGTCAAAGAATTAACAAATAACTGAAAATTAAATCTTGGCTTTTGAAATTTGGATAAGAATATCTTTGTAATTGATTTATCAACAGGCTATTTTATGGATAAGAACAAATTCATACAATGTGATGTAGTCCTTTCGAAACTGATGATACAGGCTGGATTTTGAACATAGGTAGATTTTGTACTGCTTGGACCTGTTGTCCTGATTGCTAAATAACAGTGACAAAGGCACACTATATGTTAATACTTCATCTACGTATGATAACTGAAGTGGACAAAAGGTTTTTCCCTACTTTTGCCACTTCTTTTGCCTAGTGGTTAAAGTGTTCGCTCGTCAAGCTAAAGACCTGGGTTCGATTTCTGACATGGGTACAATGTGTGAAGTCCATTTCTGGTGTCCCCCGTCGTGATATTGCTGGAATATTGCTAAAAGCGGCGTAAAATCATGCTCACTCACTCACTCTTCTTTTAGATCATTATCTTTAAATCTCCTATCTGTGTGTTGTCACAGAAATGGTTGAGATGTCTGTACAAAGGGAAGTAACTCCTGTCAAATGGCAATGGTCACCTAATGTTTTTCACAATATGAGTACTATTTTATCTGTGTAGTTATGACATTAATATGTGTTTGTACTATGTGATTAGTGATCAAAATTTCTCAATGTCTCTATCTCAGTGACTGTTTGTGACTTCTATTTGACAAGCTTTCAGTCTAAATCTATGTCCAACTGTCTTGAATAAATGCTGCATGTATGATGAAAATTGAAATCTGTCAGCATTTAGATGTAACTTTCCCATCCCGTGTTCTTCGTCTGCTGGATGTTGTGAGGCTAAGATCACTATGTTTATAAATGTTATACATTTCAAATGTGAAGACTGTTGCCATGACAATGCATCAGTGTCATCTCTGTAATAAAATGTTTTTGCTCAATATTCAAGAGGATGTATTCTTATATGTGTATTTTTTTTAATAATCATCCTTTCTCTTATTACATGAAAGGAATACATTTTCTCACCTTTCAAGAAAATTATGACACAGAAATTTTATTTAGAAGAATATTTATTTAATTATTTCAACTTTTACTTGTGTTTACAGAGGAAGGTAAGAATGGAAACCATATATACTTGAGAATGTAGACTTTTAAGTTTGATTTCAGAGATTAATAAATAATTTCAAAACCAGTTCAATGAGGGAAAAAATTAACAAGTACAAAATAAAAAGTGAGAGAAAATATTACATGGCTTGTGAGTTAAATGTGAAATTATTGTTAAAATTACATAAGAACAATCGTCATGAACATTTTCTGGTATATTTGTGATTTGAAAAAACAACTATTGGGCTGGTTTTACCATTTTTTCCTAGCTTGTGTTGCATGGTGTTTTGAACACAACACCTCATTAGTTTGTAGACAGAATATATCATTTACTTGTAATTTGTTTTTTGAGTGGTCCTGTGAATTTATATAGTCCTCCTCCCAATCTTGCATTTTAGTGCATTTAGGACTAGGACAGATACTTGGTCCTTCTTCACTTTTTTTTTTATTTGTTTCTATAAATCGCCTAAAATGTGATTATTTTACTTTTATTCTACACACAAATCACATGTGTATTCATGCAGTTTTGGTATGTGATGGAACAACTACACTGTTGTCTACATGTACCTTACACTAAAGCTTAGATGATTCACTGATGAACTAGGATATAACACTTAGGCTCGGATGATTCACTGATGAACTAGGATATAAACCTAAGGCTTGAATGATTCACTGATGAAGTAGGATATAACACTTAGGCTTGAATGATTCACTGATGAAGTAGGATATAACAGTAAGGCTTGAATGATTCACTGATGAAGTAGGATATAACACTAAGGCTTGAATGATTCACTGATGAAGTAGGATATAACACTAAGGCTTGGATGATTCACTGATGAAGTAGGATATAACACTAAGGCTTGGATGATTCACTGATGAAGTAGGATATAACACTAAGGCTTGGATGATTCACTGATGAAGTAGGATATAACACTAAGGCTTGAATGATTCACTGATGAAGTAGGATATAACACTAAGGCTTGAATGATTCACTGATGAAGTAGGATATAACACTAAGGCTTGAATGATTCACTGATGAAGTAGGATATAAAACTAAGGCTTGGATGATTCACTGATGTACCAGTGCTATTCCCCCTGAGGGATTCTGGGGCAGATTAGGTCCCCAGTACCCAGTCTCACAATTGGAGTTTGGGGACAAATTGCATGTCAAAGAGTCAACCAGTCTGAGGGTCCAGTGGTTACCATGAAGGGCGTGACTGATTGATTGTGTCCCATCATGCTCATGCCGCTAACCACTGGTCTGCCTGGCCCAGACACAATTCATCACAGTCGTCCATTATATACCTGTAATATTGCTAACATTCACCCACTCCTCCAAAAGAGAATACCATGTTGATATAAGCATTGGTGGCATGGAGTGCTTTGTAGTGTAATGTGTCATCATTCGCAGTGCAGAGTTGTGTCCCTTAGGAATGCCATGATATGCTGGTCTTTGGCTCGAATCACAGATTTACCATAGTTACTATACCAATTAGTTTCACAAAAGCGGTGAATACCTAAGCTCTGCATCATTACCATGGACAGTAAAAATATATATTACCATAGATACTTCTATGTCTGGACATTAATAATACCTGAAAGTGGATCTCTGGTTACATATTGCAGTGGAGCCGTGAAGATCCGGGGTAGAATAGGTCTTCAGCAACCCATGCTTGCCATTAAAGGCGACAATGCTTGTCCTTCGGGGGCAACTAACAGGATTGGGTGGTCAGGCTCGCTGACTTAGTTGAAGCATATCATTGATCCCAATTGCATGGATCGATGCTCATGATATCAATCACTGGATTATCTGGTTCAGCTGGAATATTGCTGGATTATTGCCGAATGCGGCGTTAAATAACAAACAAACAAACAAAACATATTGCAAGGAACCAACTTTACAGAGGTATTTGAACAGGACCTTGTAGTAGGAAGAAGAAACATCACATTCCATCAGTTTGACCATGGCCAATGTTTTATTATCCTTGCCTGGACATTTATTTGCACAGGTGTTTTCAAAGACAGAATTTACACAAAGATGACTGAGCAAGGATTTTAATGATTAAAAAAAAGAACTGGATGATTGATCGGTCATAAAACTACTTTCATAACCTATCTGTGTGTCATTATCACAATTAAAAGTGGATTTCTGTTATTGTTTACATTGCACTCTTGCAAATATGCATGGCAAATGTGTGTTCTGTTTTTGTGTGTTTTGATTTGGATTGAACAAATACTTGAATTGTTTTGTTAGTATCTGGACTGGTAAGTCATTTGATGTTGTGATGACTGTGTTAATGTCCCCCTAGACAAAACACAAAGTATAGCACGGAATGTCTTCACAGTAGAACACATGAACCTAACATAACAAATCAGTATTGATATAGGCCACTCAGGTGATAGAATACCCAACCATGAAAATAACATACCTCTGTAAACATATTTACAGAATGTACACCTTTATGAAATATTGTTAATATTTATTTGTTATGAGATGAATTTCTCAGAGAAAATAACAGCTCTTTTTTTAATATTTTTTCAATCATAATCATTAGAGGTTGACATAGAAATGGAACTGTTAGACGTTCTGAATATGTAAGTTACTGTAGGTGTCCTGCAACTCATAACCAGATGAATTTTTGTTGTCATTATGTGAGTGCCAGTGGCTGGAATATGTTTGTTATCATATTAATGGTGAGTTACCGTGACGATATATGGTATTTATCTCACATGGTTCCAGGGCACCTGTCACAGGAAGGGTTCCTCAAGTTCCTGATGAGCGATGACAACAACCTTGTTCCCCCCGAGAAGCTGGATCTCAGTGAGGATATGGACCAACCTCTGTCTCACTACTTCATCAATTCCTCACATAACACTTATCTCACAGGTAGGTCATACAGGATTTATCCCACTACCAATATCTCACAGGTAAGTAATACAGGATTTATCCCACTACCAACATCTCACAGGTGGGTCATACAGGATTTATCCCACTACCAGTATCTCATGGGTAGGTCATACAGGATTTGTTAAACACCAATATCTCATTGGTAGGTCATACAGGGTTTGTTAGACACCAGTATCACACAGGTAGGTCATATAGGATTTGTCCCAACACTAATATCTCATGGGTAGGTCTAACATGGGTAGGTTTGTTTAACACCAATATCTCATACATGATTTAATCAACACCAGGATCTCATGAGTAGGTCATACAAGATTTGCCTTACGACCAAAATCTCATGGGTTGGTCATACAGGATTTGCCTCAACACCAATATCTCACGTCTAGGTTAGTTAGGGTTTTTCAACACCAATAGCTCACCAGTAGGTCATACAGAATCACACCAGTAGGTCATGGTCTCATGACCATTATCTCACTGGTAGGCCATTCAGGATATGTCTGAACACCCATGTCTTATAGATATGGCATACAGGATTTGTCTCAAGAAGAATCTAACAACTGGAAAATTGATGAATTAATTCACATACCTTGTCTTGTGCGGTTGTAGGTCACCAATTCACTGGCAAGTCGTCAGTGGAGATCTATCGCCAGGTCCTGCTCAGTGGGTGTCGGTGTATTGAACTGGACTGTTGGGATGGCCGTGGACAAGATGAAGAACCAGTCATCACTCATGGCTTTACCATGTGTACAGAAGTACCATTCAAAGTAAGCACCAATCAAATGGCTTGTTACAGACATGTAACAATAATAAGAACCAGTCAAATGGCTCGTTGCAAATGTGTAAAAGTAGCATTCTAAGTAAGAACTAATCAAATGGTTCAATAGTTACAAACAGGGGTAGCGTTTAAGTAGATGCCAATGTCAAATATCAAACCTGGACAGAAGTGGCATTCTAAGTAATCACCAATCAAATGACATCTTATAAGCATGTTTAAAGTATCCATGAAAGTGAGCACCAGTCAGATCACCTGCGACACAGTGTATACCAAGGTGGAGTTCAGTGAGATTCATGACATATGTTGATTGATGCTTACAGGATGTGATAGAGGCTATCGCAGAGAGTGCCTTCAAAACCTCGGACTATCCAGTAATTCTCTCCTTTGAAAACCATTGCACGTAAGTACTGATAACTGTTTTTATCTTTACAATTTCTGGGACGGTCATGGTAGCCTAGTGGTGAAAGTGTTTGCACGTCACGCTGAAGACGGGGTTCGATTCCCGACATGGGTACAATGTGCGAAGTCCATTTCTGGTGTCCCCCGCTGTGATATTGCTTGAATATTGCTAAAAGCGGCGTAAAACCATACTCACTCACTCACTTTACAGTTTCCATTGCTGATAAAATGATGCAAAGCTTAGTAATTTACACAAGGATTTAAGTGACATGAAGTGAAATAACATGAAGTGACATGAAAAGTGATGTGAAGTGACAAGTTACAAATCAACTTTGTTATTGTTATCGACTCTTGGGAAAGTAGTGCTCTTTCATTGTTTCTGTATTTTTCAGTCCTCGCCAACAAGCCAAAATGGCCCAGTATTGTCGGAGTATATTTGGAGAGATGCTGTTGACTGATATAATAGAGGAATATCCTGTAAGTTGTGTTCTAAATTGTATTTGTCACTGAACTTGCAGCATCCCTTAGCCATTCTAGGATGGGCTTACCATGTGTTTCAATTCCAGATTCCTTCCAATTTCTAACCTTGGCAATTTATATGTATGGAAAGATGTACATTTCTTGAAAACCATGTACCACAATTGTATTGACATGACATGTATATATAAATGCTGTACCTGCTGAGATGAATAAAGAGGGAAAATAAAAAAAATAAAAATTTTAACCTTGGTGTGTCAGCATCATACACCAGCTCTTGGGTGTCACCACATGTGTTATCGTTGATGACAAGGCTCACTTTTTGCTTGACAGATTAAGCTGACTTGAATGAAATTCTGTTCTGTGTTGTGTTCAATATTAAGTCCCTCACCCACTTTGTTTTTAAAGGATTTTTTAAGTCCGTTTCCTGTTTCAGCTGGATCCAGGCGTTCACCTCCCATCACCAGAACTAATGAAGAGGAAGATACTTGTCAAAAACAAAAAGAAACATTTCCATAAAGGCAAGTTTATAGTTGTTTCATTGTACAGACATAACAAAGTAAATTTGTATGATAACACAATCTTTAGGTGAAGAATCCCAAGGAAAAGTGTATTTTTAAAAAAGAATGAATTATGATCAATTAAAAAGGATTAAGATGTCTTGTCAAAAAGGTTTATATCTAAACCTGACACTGTATGTTGATTTATCACTTTTAAATCATAGAGTTATCTTCAATTAAAAAATGTATTTGCCATAATAAAACTATAACCAAGTTATCTTGAGCAGTAGTGAACAAACTTAGCTTAAACGTCGGTGAAACTTTTTCAAAAATACTTTCTAGACAATTATATAGCCTTTCTATGCTTCTGCTGCTGTAAAAGAAATCTGTAATATACACAAGATGATATAGACTGGCAATGTTTTTTTTATCTTAGCAGGGGTTGCTTGTAAAAATTACTTACAGATTGGTCTAGGTCTAGTTGGCCGGGGAGCTTGTATTGGACCAGGGTGCTTAATATGGCGAATATGGTATTTTAAGGTCCAAGTACCGATAACATAAGAGAAGTGAGAACACAAACAAATTGTCCTGTTGGTAGAGTCCTTACATAATTGCTTAGTTTTGTACTTACCAGCACCAGAAGAAGAAAAATCCACACCAACCAAAGGATCATCAAAAACCTCCGAGCCAAAGCCTAAAGTTGTTGAGGAGGTTGCAGAAGAGGTACCCCCTGCAGAGAAACCACAAGAAGATTCAGAGACAAAGACCATCACAAAGACTCTGTCAGTTTCTAGTGAGGGGGGTGGGGAGAAGGCAGAGGCTCATGAGGGTGGGGCGAAGACTGAAGGGGGTGGGGAGGAGGAGATTTTCAACAGTGAATCTGAATCGGAGGACAGCGAAGAGGAAGATGAAATTCCATCAGATATGATATCGGAGGAAGAGAAGAAGAGACGACAGCGGGTGAAGAAGGACAGGGTAAGAGAGAAGAAGTCTGGATTTTTTTGTTTCGAACTTTTTGCTCCAGGCACAGTGCATACAGGATATTGGTTATGATCGATTTCTAGCAGCTAATGGCTATTTATGTATATTTACCCCAATCCTTTGGATCAATGGTTAAAATTAATATAAAAAAGAAAGATTCATGTTTTTTTAGTGATAAATGGCTGGTTATTTCCTCTATTGGTGCAAATAAAGGTTTTTTTCATTGCTGAAATTAATTCACAAACTTCGTAGTAGATATGAAAAACTGTTCAAATTTTAAAACATATTAATAAATATTTGTGGATCAGTTGATCCATAAACTAAGTACAAGTTTATTGCAAAATTGCAAAATAACTGCCTAGGGATGTTAGTAATATGGATAACAAGACACACAGTAAATTGGACAATCAGTTAAGCTGACATGCCGCGATATAACTGGAATACTGTTAAAAGCAGCGTTAAACCCAACTCACTCACTCACTCACTCACTCACTCACTCACTCACTCACTCACTCACTCACTCATTTGATGTTATTATGTTTGATGTTTACCAGGGTACGGCTGGGAAGGAAGCAGAAGCTGCCATGGAGATGTCACTCCTCGTCAACTACATACAGCCAGTGCATTTCCACGCCTTCGATGTATCAGACAGTGAGTCCCCCCAGTCCTTGTAGGGCTGAAATAGTGTTAAGATCTTACCACTGAGAATTGTGTAAGCCATGGTTTTCCACTCTACTTGTCTACAATACCTCTACTTGATTAACATTATTCAATATGGATACCCCAATTAACACCCTGTAAGAATTTGCAGTGAGAAGAGCACTGTATGGTTGTCTTAAGATGGGGAATTATTGTACAGGCCATAATGTCATAGCTCTATGATGATGCTGATGATGTTGAAAAAAAGCATGCACCTATTTACTTGCTTGACATATTTGTTTCAGAGCGTGATAGAAGTTACGAAATCTCATCCTTTGTGGAGACACAGGCTGCTAGTTTACTGAATCAGTACCCAGTGGAATTTGTCAAGTATCCTTACCTACAGTCAACCATGCTGTTGCAAACAGTGACACTGAAGTAATGTTAAAAGGCATTCCTAATGGTACAGCCTGGCTACCATAGGCCAGAAAGGCCTTATTTCTTGGTTTTAGATTTTTTCAGGAAACTTCTGTTAGAAAGGTAGGAAAAAAAAGATATAATTAAACAGACAGTTATTTGGCGGAATATGTACGAATGTAATGTTTTTCAGATGATGTTTTTTCACTTTTGTTCTGTTTGGGTTGGCAGAGTCTGAAAGGTTTTGAAAAAGGGGTTATGTCTATAAATAGAGCACTGACAATTATGAAAATAAATTTTGTCATTTTCTTCTGGGCGAATAATGTGAAAATGGTAAAATACAATTTAAAGCAGTGTTATGCCATTGTTATGAATGATTTTTATATACTTAGGTTGTTGGTGTAATATCAAGCTGATAAAGTTTGGTTTTACTTTCTTTAACTCAATAAAGCTACAACAAACGTCAGTTAAGTCGAATCTACCCGAAAGGAACTCGAGTGGACTCCAGCAACTTCATGCCACAGGTATAATAAACCTTGCACTCTGTACTGTCACACCCTTGCCAGGGTTATAAATCTTGTACTCTGTACATGTTCAGATGTGCCTCTGTCTCACCCAGCAGAGAATGGGTACCGATATGTAGATGAAACAACCTTCTAGCGCCCATAGGCAGCATGGGTCGTATACTCCCCAGGGAGTTGAGAATGATAACTGGAAGGCCAACAGATCCAGTGGTCAGGGAACAAATAATTTTTTTACAGATACTAGTACCTGGATACCTGTGGTATATAAAAGTATAATATCATAATAATAACAATCACTCACTCCATGTCTCACAAGAAGCACCATCTCAGCGAGAACTCCATGCTTAATGTAATGTGGATCACATGGTCACAATGGCTGTCAGGCATAGATAGAATGTGGGAGGATTTATCCCCCCCCGGGGACACTCATCAAAGATGTATCATACTGATAATGTTTACTTTCAGATTTTCTGGAATGCGGGCTGTCAGCTTGTGGCACTGAACTTTCAAACTCTGGGTAAGGTTTTGTTGAACCACCATCTTGTGTAGTTAGTGTGATGTCAATGGACATATTTCAATGAAAGAGTAACAGGATAACAATTCAGGTTTGAGTCAAGATCCAGACTTTTGTTCTTTCTTGCTTGGTAATTAAGTGAACAAATGAAGCCATTTCTGATTGTTCTTTTGTTCTTTATAACATCTGAATATCTTGTCTTGAGACACTCTCACTTTGAACATACTGTATGCATAACAGAGTGTGGAGTGAGAGTCGTCTCCCTTTAATTCAAGGGACCATTGACCATTATATTATTTGTATATTATATTATTTTGCACATATTTGTTGATCAATACAAGTTTGTGTTGGTCAGAATATAGAAAGTATTCTTCAGACTTTTTTCTCTACTTTGTATTAGTAGAGGTTTATGGATCCAGTAATCAATTTAAAATAGTATTTCCTGAGGTGACCTATTGAGGATTTGTCTAAGGCACTTTTGGTATTCTGGTTGTTATTGCAGATCTTCCAATGCAGTTGAATATGGGAACATTTGAATATAATGGTAGATCAGGATACATACTCAAACCAGACTTCATGCGTCGGAAAGATCGCCACTTTGACCCCTTTGCAGAGTCTACAGTAGACGGGATTGTTGCAGGCACTGTCAGCATGAAGGTAATACATGGAAACTGTGCTTGGTGCTTCAGCAAGTCCATTTTGTACCCTCATGTGATTCATTGCTGTACACTCACACAGTTGTTGCCAGGTCACCTCATCCACTCATACAGTTGTTGCCAGGTCACCTCATCCACTCATACAGTTGTTGCCAGGCAACCTCATCCACTCATACACTTGTTGGCAGGCAACTTCATCCACACATATAGCTTTTGCCGGGCAAACTCATCCACTCATACAGTTGTTGCTAGGTAACTTCATCCACTCGTACAGTTGTTGCTAGGTAACTTCATCCACTCATACAGTTGTTGCCAGGCAACCTCATCCACTCATACAGTTGTTGCCAGGCAACCTCATCCACTCTCATATGTTGCCAGGTAACTAGGGCTGGGACGAGTCCAAATTTACTACCCGGGTACCCGACCCTACCCGGGTACCAACTGTAGGTCTCAGGAGAGGTTTCAAAATGTCTGATTGGGAACATTTTTAGCATAGCCCTGGCAAAACATATTTAGATACATGTATTAAACAATCTGGTCATTCATACACTGAAGTTGAATTATGAAAAATCAGAAGGAATGCACACATTAGTGACTTGTAGTGTAACCATAGAGTTCTAGATAATTTTTGTCATTAAACAATATATCACGTGACTAACTACGGGTCCGGGTAGTCCTGTGGGTACCCAGGTCCTACTCAGTACCCACACAACCCGGGTACCCGAGTTAACCGTCCCAGCCCTACAGGTAACCTCATCCACTCATACATTTGTTGCCCGGTAACCTCATCAACTCACATTTGTTGCCAGGTAACCTCATCCACTCATACGTTTGTTGCCAGGTAATATCTGGACAGTTCCTGTCGGACAAAAAGGTGGGAACGTATGTAGAAGTGGACATGTATGGGTTGCCGACTGACACTGTCCGAAAGAAGTTCCGAACAAAAACCATTCCAGCTAACGGCATTAACCCTGTCTATGGTGAAGAGGCATTTGTTTTCAAAAAGGTAAATTTGTTGTCAATGCCATTCCATTTTTTCCACTTCTTTCTTTTTTTGACAGAAAAGAACTCCATCTATCCTATTTTCATTCATATCCAAAACTTCTGAATATTTCTTTCTGAGATTTCGTCTATGTAAAACATGTTTCTAGAGCTTAACTGCTGCATTTACTTTATTTATAGGTGATTTTATTTTTTGTAGATGGAATATTATATTATGCATCACTGATGTTTTTACATGAAATATGGGGTAGGTAGGCTGACAGTGGGTGTATATGAATTCTTCTTCTTTTTAGATGTAACAATTGCCATCAATAGTCTTATGGGTTTTACAGCAACAAACTTGCCTGTCTATTTCTAAATCAGGGATGAGTATTTGGGTGGCCTCGTGGTTGAAGCATTTGCTTGTCCCGCCGTAAGCCCAGGTTTGATTCCCTACGTAGCTATGTTGTGTGAAGCCCATTTTTAGATCCCCAGCCGTGATATTGCTGGAGTACATGTGTTGCTCAGCGTAAAAGCCGACTCACTCTAAACAAGGGACTCTTGTGCATGTAACCCTGGGTGTGATGATGTGATTTCAGGTTGTATTGCCCAACTTGGCAACTATACGTATTGGTGTGTTTGAAGAAACAGGGAAATTGATTGGACATAGAGTTTTACCTGTTGAAGGACTACGACCAGGTCAGTATATTTACTCCTTAGTACTTCCTAGTAAGCATGTTCCAGTGTGTGTGATATTGGTCACTTGATGTTTTATAGTTGCATGGGTTTAACCAGAGACCATATACCGAGTGACGGGCCTCGGGGGTAGTTGGAGACTGAACACTACCAATGTCCAACCTTTTACATATTTATAAATGTTGAGTTACGTTAGTTTTCTTGATTTGTTAGAGGACATTTATATGCGAATTTATGCGATTTAACGAACGTAAACATCGTACCACATACCCCATTGTACTATCATACAAAAAGGAAATGGCGGCCTGCGAGAAATTCAAAATTTATCCATTTTTCATTACAAATTACATTTTAAAGACGTAATGTTTGGACTGCTTTCTCTGCTAAACGACAGATAAATTTGAACAAATAATTCTTATTTTCAAAATGATAAAAAAATTAATTTAATCAGAACTAAATAGGATATCAGTGAACAGAATTGTTTTAGTTTAAATACAAAAATAATGTCTTTATGAACTTTACCATAATATATTTGTTGTGAATGAGGATGATTTTTTGCCGTTTTTATTAATTTTTGTTGTTGTACACAATGCCATAATAAATTAATTACCCACTTTCATCCAACTTTTAAAAAAAGTTATAAAGAGTGTTCAATATTTATCTGGACGTTCATCTGTTTTATTAATTTTATTCAAAACTTCATTCATTACTGTTTACATTAACTGATCAGCAGATCGCTACAACACACTGTTATTTACAACAATAGTGATCAGATTACCACTATTGGTGCTTTGAAAGTAACATTTTTTACAGAGAATGGATACATATATCATAAATGACATATTTTAAATCGTTAATAGTCATATTTTTTGTAGTTTGACTCGCTGTTGTGTTGTTGACTCCATGCATTTATCATATACACCACGGAACAAGCCAAAACTATCTGTCAAAATATACATCTGTTGAAATATAGGTCAAATGTTACAAATAAAGTGTTAGATGTTACTAATAAAGGTCCCACTACAAAACAAATCCATGCCATATGGAAGAGAGAACCATATGTACTACAGAACGTAAGGATGTACAAAAGGACACCAAATACAGGACAGTGTTGACAATAAAGAACTCCAGATGGTACTTCAAGTTTTACAACGTTTCGATTTTATTGGCTTGTTCTGTGGTGTATGTGATAAATGCATGCAGTGAGAAACACAACAGTGAGGTGCACAATGTATAACATCATTCCACTGTGTGACATCACATATGCATGTTTAAATTTCATCAAGCGTATCGTCATTGTCACCAGAAAACTGTGGATAGGGTAGCCTAGTGGTTGAAGCATTGAAACCCATTTCTGATACCCTTTAATATTTGGTGGAATGTTGCTACACTCACTCACTCACTCACTCACTCACTCACTCATATTATTCTAAATTTCAGGTTACCGCCATATTCCGCTCCGTAATGAATGTAACCAGCCACTGCCGTTGCAGACTCTGTTTGTTCACCTCAGCGTCAATGACTACGTTCCTGATGCATTTGCTGGTACGTCAACATCTTAAAGTTTTTAACTTGGCCGCTCAGTGAGGATAACTGGGTAGAATGTTTTAGATCTGCCACATGATGGGTATTTGATGGCCAAAATGGCCTCCAGGTATGGATTGTGCTTTGATGGGTAATTTCAAAGTCAATCAGTGTTCTCCTACATTATTATTATGTACATGAAAGAGTTTGTTTTATCCAGACTTTGGGATCAATTGTTGGGTCACAAGAGAGTTTTATCCCTTAGCTGTAACAGGATCAGCTCAACTTGGAATCCGAGATATGATTATGATCCCTGATTTTTCAGCACTACACACATGTTCCCAGGCCTCTATAATATGCGTCACTTTGGACTCTCCACCCACCTTTCGACTGCATGCCGCGATGTAACTAAAAAGCCTGTTCATACTCCCTTTCAGGCTTTGCCGATGCGTTGTCCAACCCACGCGAGTACTTGTCAAAACAACTCATGGCAGAGAAACACGCCCAGCAGATGGCAGTTCTGTTTGACGATGACGGGGTAAGTCAAAACAGTTTTACAAATTTTGCTTGTCAGAGACAATTTCATGCATTTGCAAAAATCACTTTCCTTTGAAAAAGGTGTACTTTGGTGATGACGTTTGTGACAGGGTTTGTGATGTCCTGGTCACATGTAAATCACAAGTGTGCTCGTGTACTCAGCCCCCATGTATATAGTGGGAGTATCACGTGGTCGGTCTATCATTAACCTTCTTTCAGTGTTCTGTATATTTTTAAAAGACTTGCTGCATCTTTTTATGACTATCAACTATTTTTAATGCCTGACTAGACCTTTAGAATAGTCTCTTGTTTGCAAAAAAACACATCTTGATCTAAAAAATGTATTCGAATTATTTCATTTTGCACACTGGTTTTGCATGATCAGTGTTTGAGCTAGTGTGGAGCCTGGATATTGCCCCAGACAGTGAGAGTGCACACAGGCCGGTTGGCTGTCCTAGCAAGGTGAACGCAATGAATGGACGGATGACGTCACATGCTTCCATGATAACTGAGCCTGCCTGATGAGCACAATGTAGACAAAAACAAACTAAATCAAAGCTGTTTAATATTAATTAACGTGGTATCCATTTCTCCAAGGAGAATGGCTCGGTTTTTTAAAAGTCACTTATCAAGGAAAGCATTTATGCGCCGTGTATAGTCCAGGAGACTCACAGGCTATCAATTCCATTTAATAATGTTCCTCAATCTGTCAAATTGCAGCACACATTCATGTTACAAGACATGAAAAAAGCATTGAAACATGGCCGCCACTACCTGTAGTATATAAAACATTGAAACATGGGCGCCACTACCTGTAGTATAAAACATTGAAACATGGCTGCCACTACCTGTAGTATAAAACATTGAAACATGGCCGCCACTACCTGTAGTATAAAACATTGAAACATGGGCGCCACTACCTGTAGTATAAAACATTGAAACATGGCTGCCACTACCTGCAGTTTAAAATATTGAAACATGGACGCCACTACCTGTAGTATAAAACATTGAAACATGGCTGCCACTACCTGTAGTATAAAACTTTGAAACATGGCCACCACTACCTGTAGTATATAAAACATTGAAACATGGCTGCCACTACCTGTAGTATAAAACATTGAAACATGGCCGCCACTACCTGTAGTATAAAACTTTAAAACATGGCCACCACTACCTGTAGTATATAAAACATTGAAACATGGTCGCCACTACCTGAAGTATAAAACATTGAAACATGGCCGCCACTACCTGTAGTATAAAACATTGAAACATGGACGCCACTACCTGCAGTTTAAAATATTGAAACATGGACGCCACTACCTGAAGTATAAAACATTTGAATATGGCCGCCATTACCTGTTGTATAAAACATTGAAACATGGCCACCACTACCTGTAGTATTAAACTTTGGAATATGGCTGCCATTATCTGTTATATAAAATATTGGAATCTCCCCACAACATGGCCGCCTAGCTCAAATACGGCATGAACAAATCTGTGAGAAGATGAATAAATTTGCACTTATTTTTTGCATACAGTTGCCTCACTACTATGTTTGAAAACATTTGCACAGTAAAGTTAATTTGCTCTTTCAACACTTATTTTCAAATTGTTTATGAGTTGAGAGAGATTTCGTTAATCAGGTTCTTTTAATTAATTCCCGTTTATCCTCTTGTCTATTAGGATGAGCCGTTGGACGTAAGTGCTAGTTGGCCTGGACATGTGTGTCATGTTTTTTTTGTCATGCGGATTGTTGGAAGTGGACACAAAGGAAGGATTGAAATATTTTATAGAATTTGAAAATTGATAACTATAACAAAACTGTCAAATGTTTTAGCAGTTTATATCATGTAACTTGGTTTATGGATCGACAAACAATAAATGCTACAAATTAATATTCCAAAATATTTATCAAAATTCTTTCCTACTCATGTGTTCAATAATAAAAAAAATACTGAGATAGATATGAGAAGGGAAATAACTCTGTCATAAAAATAAGCACTCCAAACAGAATGTTTTTCACTTTTGGGTTATTTTTGTTTCCTCCTGCTGATCTTACATTTTAGCGTTCTATATGATTTATTTTTCATTTCATCTTTATACATTTTCAACCTTATTGGTTCAAACAACATCTGTAAACCAAGTTTTGAAAATATTAAGGCATTGCATTTGATTTAATATAAAGTTAACTGTCATAGTTCTGTGAATACTATCGATTCATATATCATTTGAACCAGGGATTGCTTTCATTCTTAAGGTTCTTCATGCCATTTTGTAAATTTATCAAATGATGTACAAGGAATATAATTTTTTATGAAGGGCTAATTCTATAAATTCTTTCAAAGCCTTCTGTTTGTCCATTTGACCGATCATTATAAAGTGATGTTTTCATTGTATGCATGTGCGATTACAGAGTCTTGTCTAAACACAAGGAATGACATACCCTGAGGTATATGCAACCCTTTACCCCAGCCCAGCATATTAACCCTCATCTGTCCACTTGGCCCACATGATCATGTGTATATGAGACACATGCATCGTCTTATGTTGTCTACACACTGGCCCGTTACTTACCATGTTGTGCATGATGAATATCATCCTATAATCTCATGTTATGTGCATTGACAAGTGAATTAAGACATTCCTTAACATTAATGTGAACAATTTGCGTTCTTACCAAAGAGTTCTCAAGTAAAATGACAAGAGAGTACTACATGTACAAGATGATTTATAGTATTTACCCCCTGAATTATGCTTATTAATCAGGCCTCAAAGTTTGAATTTTTACCAAGTAGCCATATGGCTACAAGTATTTTTTTCCAGGTAGCCAATGTTAAAATCAAGAAGTTAAGCCAATATTGTAGGTAGCCAAAAGCATTTGAAATTATCTTTATCAAATAACTATTATAATATGTATAAGTTATAGCACTAGTCTTGGAAATTGTATATTAGTGGAAACTGTACTTGAATTTTGTTACTAGTGACTGAAGCAATGATACAATTTTACTAGATAATATAGGTATATCCTTGCTTATCCATTGAGCATTGCATTTATGTATTTTGGTTCATTGTCAACTTTAGGAGGAATTATTTGTTCAATTATTAGTAGACATGTTTTCCAAGATCAGCTGTTATTGAATTTTGTGTCTACAGATGTGTAGCAATAAAATGTAGTCGCCACAAGATATTTTTCAAGGTAGTCATTTGGCTACCTCTGATTTTTAGACAGCCGACAAACTCATATTTAGGTTGCATTGGCAACCATTTTAGTTGCAACTTTGAGGCCTGTTAACTGACTTATGGAGTATATGGCATACACACCATGGATCTGGATAGATCTGATGATTGTGGGTTTGAATCTCACATACCTCATTTTGATTCTTGGTTTGCCAGAACCATATCCTTGCTTGTGGGTTTTTATCATAGATCAGAGGAAAAGATCTAGGACCTGCTTCCCTTTGGACCTACCCTCAAATTAAGCTAACAAGCTGAAGAAACTGTTAATACAATTAAAAGTCCATTCACATCAATACATCAGCTCTAGATTACATCGGGGGCACGGGTGGCCCAGTCGTCTAAGGCGCCCCGATTCGCTGTGCAGAGTTGCCTCCCTTGGGCAGGCCAGAAACCTATGATTGTGGGTTCGAATCCCGGCTCGCCCCGATTATGTTTCTAGGTTTGTCAGCACCATACCCGTGCTCGTGGGTTTCACTGAACTGGTAAACGTCTGAGACCTGCATCACTTCGGGCTTTTCTCCCACATTAAGCTGACACGCCGCGATATAACTGGAATATTGTTAAAAGGGGCGTTAAGCCCAACTCACTCACTCACTCACTCTAGATTACATCTTTGTGGCAAAGAGGGGACTATAATGGTCTAGCTGTTAGTGCCAATGTCTGCCATACCCAAGAGCTGAGTTTGAATCCTGGTACACTGAGTCAAGTTTTGTTTTCTATGTAATGAGCTGTTAACCTTTTTGTAATGACTATGGCCTCGTTCTCTGGTTGCACATTGATATTTATGTACTTATATATAAATATCACAGATTAGATATATTAGACAGAGTGTAGACAATATACTAGAAGTGAGATTAGTGTAGAGAAGTATTTTACTGTTGAAAGATCCTTTGAGGTGAAATTCAATGTTTCTGTAGTGTGTTTGATATGTTTTTCATACACAGATATTTATATTATTCTTAAAGTCAAGAGTTATTAGAGTCAAATAACTCATATGTTGTCTGTTACAAATATTTTAACAGTGTGGATTCAATCTGTGTCACCTGTTGAAATATACATGTTATAGATGCCAAATGTGTGTCAAACTTTGTTGTGTTTTTTCGATAAGTGTATGCATGTTATATTTGGAAGTTTTTTGTAATGGTTAATCCTAAAACTGTTGTTCAAGTGTTGTTTCAACATTGAGATCTGTTGTTACAAATAGTCCTTGTGACATCATCTGTTCCAGATTCAAGGTCATTTGAATGTACACACATACATTTGACTGTCTATAGCATTGGTATCAATTTAATAAACTGTTAGTCAACCATGATAAGTAAGTGACTTGCTTCCCTTTTGGAAGTTTGTATTACTTGGTGTTTGATATTGGGGAAGTGGGTCCAAGTGGGTTTGGTGCCATATTTCTCTTATATGAAATTGTCCATAGTAGATTGATATTAGCGTGAGAGTAACTCTTTTACTTGTCAGTATAAGAAATAATCGAAGCACCATTTCTTACATAAATTAGATTTCAAGCTGAAATAGCATAAAATTCAAAAGGCTTTCTTCCTCTTGATCGTTCACCCTGCTGACAATTCTTTTCTTTTTTCAGTTTTAATTTAATTTAACCTCATTCTCTTTGACCAAGTAATAAAACTGAGGCAGTAGGCAATTATTTAAGTTTTGGTCTTCAAACTCATACTTATGAAGGGTGGATCCCCAATAACCAATGCAGAGGTAACAGATTTGGAAATGGGCACAAAGCCTGTAGGACAAAGATTGTCTAAGAATATCACTGTCTAAATTTTTGGTAAGTTAAAATAACATTCAGGAGGTGTAGCCTCAGATTGCTATATGGAAAGATGCCTAGCTGAATATATATGCCCTGATGGCTTGGCGTGTTTCTCATAATGTTGATATTTCACAGCCTGATATAGCCTCTATCCTGCAGTGGCATTGCCCAACAACCTTGCCCAGATATATCAGTGATACTGCCCTACACCCCTGGCAAGATATATCTGTAATACTGCCCTACACCCCTGCCAAGGTATATCTGTAATACTGCCCTACACCCCTGGCCAGATATATCTGTAATACTGCCCTACACCCCTCCCCCCGATATATCTGTAATACTGCCCTACACTCCTGCCCAGACATATTTGTAATACTGCCCTACACCCCTGCCCAGATATATACCGTATTTTCTTGAGTATAGTGCGCACCCATGTATAATGCACACCCCCCTCTAGCGGGTTCAATATTTTGAAAAAAAAGAAATTTGAATATTATGTGCAGAAAAAATTTACACCGTACCCTTTCAGCGAAGTCCGGCAAACGAACAGGTGCTGAGAAACTTCATCAGTACAAATTCGAAATTTGAGATAAAAAATCACCAGACATGTTTATTTACCGTTTAAATAGTATTTATTGTTCTGCTAGGCATTGTTTTATATCTAGGGATTAAGATTACCTTGTGTATTTTCTCTTAAACTAAGCCGGAAACAGCAATCAGCTGTACACACGTTTTCTTGGAATCGACCGGTGATTCGGTCAAGACACACCCAATGATATAACTTTATAGGATTTTTAATGCAAGGATTGGCAACAATTGTATCTGAAACTATTTTATCAGGAATAATATATTCCATTATTTTCTTAATTATATGCAGCCTTTACTAAACATATTTAAAATAATAATAACCCTAAGCGAAGCAGCTGATCGCTATTGCCGGGTATTATTTTTTACATGGAACCAGTCTGACCAGTCACTGTCAAGGCTCACGCACACGTGATCGCGAGAATTTCATGTTGACATAGAATCGTCAAACAAAGACAAATATGACTTTTAACGAGTCAAAGTATGTCATTTATGATATATGTATCCATTCTCTGTCAACTAAAGTTCGTTTCAAGGGGTCAATAGCGGTATTCTGACCTTGGTTCCTGTTAATAAGGGTGAGTTGTGCGATCTTCCGATCGCTTCACACACGATTTCGCCGAAATTAATAAAAACAATATAATAAGGAATTTTGAATAAAATTAATGAAATAAGTTACAAACATAAGTCAAGATATACAAAGAACACTTTTTATAGCCAGACAGTGTATTGACATGATTATTTTGCGTACTTCAGTATGGATTTGTTGACATGGTATTTCCGGTGTTTCGTGCTCACGGTAATGTCTTTCCATGGGGGAAAAAAACATCCAAACTCATAATTCGTGTGCAATGCGCACCCCCTTCTACACAGCTGTGTTTTTTCGAAAAAAAGTGCGCACTATACTCAAGAAAATATGGTATGTAATACTGCCCAACACCCCTGCCAAGGTATATCTGTAATACTGCCCTACACTCCTGCCCAGACATATTTGTAATACTGCCCTACACCCCTGCCCAGATATATCTGTAATACTGCCCAACACCCCTGCCCAGATATATCTGTAATACTGCCCAACACCCCTGCCAAGGTATATCCGTAACACTGCCCTACACCACTTCTGCCCAGATATATCTATTATACTGCCCAAAACACACCCTACCTATCCTGATATGGCTGCAATACTGCCCCCCCCCCCCCCCCCCCCACACACACACACACACACACACACACACTGGATATATCTGTAATACTGCCCTGCCTCTCTTCCTTTGATATATCTGTTACTATCTGTAAAACTACAGCCCTCCCCCAGACAGCACTGTCCAACATCTTTCACAAACACACACACACCCTCCCCACACACCTCACCCCCAATCCTCCTAAACAACTATAAAATTGTCACATGATATATACAACTGTCGTAATACCCTCTGTCCCCTCCCCTATGTTTATTATAATATAACACTATTTAATCCTAGGTAGTTTTGTTAGCATGAAATAGCTACCTGGTTAAGCATGAATGTTAACTCTAGCCTAGAACCAAATTCTGAATAATGTCTTTTTCATGTGAGGAAAACAAAAATTTAATTAATCTTTTTTCAAGCCTGAAAAGAATAGATATGATGCACTTAAGTTGTTTGATGTATGGAAAGTACCATTTGTTATGATACATCAATGTTTACTGACATTATGAACGGATAACCATAATCTTCACTTTTTCCAAAGTCATTGTTTTCTATGAAATACAATCCGTACTCATTGTTTGAAAGCTTATCTCATAATATTTTTTAATTGCACTTATGGTTATTTTTATTGTACTTACGAATATATAAAGAAAACCTATCTACTTTTAGGAAGGAACACAAGATGTTCCCGAGAAAGGACCACAACGAGTAGACTCAGTACTGAGTAGGAAAAGTGTGACCAATTCAAGTGTAAAGACGGGCACTTCAGCATCACAGATCGGTAAACAGATTCCTCAGACAGTACCAGAAAGGACATTGGTCAAGCAGGAGAGTACACAGTCTGGAGCGAGCCAGGGCAGTGGAAGTCCAGGTGAGCTTCAGTCCCTTACATTATTATGTGACATAATGTGAGTGAGTGAGTATGGTCTTAGGCCGCCTTTAGCAATATTCAAGTGATATAACGGCAGGGGACACGAGTAATGGGCTTCACACATTGTACCCATGTCGGGAATCGAACCTGGATCTTTGGCATGACGAATGAACGCTTTAACCACTAGGCTACCCGACCTCCCCTCACATAATGTAAATTTCTTTTGTCATATCATATCATATATTGAGGTGTAGCTATGCCATTTTGGACTGTTTCGCCATCTACATAATTTGGTTGTGATATTATTCGTGGTTGAGTGTGTTTTACGGGATGCTCCAGTGACAGCTGTGTGAATGGGGATGTTGGGTAGCCAAGGAGTTAAGTGTTTGCTGCTCATGATAAAGATCTGGGTTTTGTGCTTTACATTGTGTGAAGACCATTCTTTGTGTACTCTGATGTGATCTTGATGGCATGAAACCATATTTACACTTGCATTGCTCTTGGGGTGGAGAGGTGTATGAATTCTGTGGCAGAGAAGAATGAGGGTGGGGTGGTTCCAGTGTGTGCCACGGCTGATTGTGGGTCATACCCTGACGGATGGTTTGCAAGGTGCAGAGTCAACCTTCACACATATAATAATAAGCCATTTATATTGCGCATCTCTCCCCACCATTTAAGGGCATGATCAAAGCGCTATTATTACCCCGGTCACTGGATCAGTGTGCACTCAACTATCATTCTCAGCTCCCTGGGGAGTATACAACCCAAGCTGCCTGTTAGGCTAGAAAGTGAACTACATTGCCATCACATCCCACCAGGTACCCATTCACTGCTGGATACACAGATGCACATTTCAAACAAAGTCCCTTGCCCAAGGAGACACCCTATGTGTTACATTTGCTTGAGGAATAGTGTTGAATGTAGTGCAAAACAGTATTCACTCACTCACTCTTCAGCTTTTAGACTACAAGTATTCATTCCATAGTGAAGTGACCCCTCAGCATTAAGTCCAATGTTGATGTGTTCCAGCGCCCAGTGGCCTGACCCGCATTCCCTCCTCTCACCCGGGAGTTGAGAACGGGACATCCTCCGTCTCAGTGGCCCAGACAACAAAACTCAATGGTAAGTAAAAACATTTATTACCTAAGAGGGCAAACATATGTGCCGTAGGGTCATATCACTTCACGAGACAAGAGTGTATTGTTTCCATCATCTGGGCGGCACTGTTGACATCATTCGAATCTTATTGGGATGTGATGTCGGAATGACGTCACACTAGGAATGACATCATAGCTGAAAATTGTTGATGTCATTTGACAAATTGTGTTTTTCTAGGACAGCGGCGGTGATCAGTGAAAAAAAAGTTTAGAAATTCCTCTCTATATGTAGACATCTTCGGTAATAAATAGAACATATCGCTCTTGCTCGGGAAATACCAAAATTTCGACACTCGTTTTGTAAACATAGTATGACATGAACACTCATATAATATCCTCTATGTATGTCAAAATGTTCAGAGTATGTGGGGAGAAGGAAATTCGTACAGAATCCGATCCCTGCTGACTTGTCAGAGGCTCCTGAAATAGGAGTGAGTCTAAGTGGATTGAGAAGGACTATCAAGACTCAGCCTTAGCCTGTCCGGTGTGGTCATTCCCCAACAGCAGGGATCTTAGCGCATGTATTAGTGCTGAGTGTCAACAAAGAGACAGTCCTCCTTTTCTTTCAGAATAGAACCTCAGTATCTCATTCTTGTCATTACCACATTTGGGATTGGGTGTTACTGTGTCTGTTGTGACCTGATTGATTGTACCAGTACGTTATCACATGCCCCTACAGCGGTAACAGTTCATCATTCCATCAACCATTTTGTTGGGCAGACGGGATGTCAACTGTTGGTGGATTTAGTTGGTCTGAGGTGCCACAATTACCTGGCAGAGCTACTACCCCTAGCTGCCAGGACTGGCCAGCCAATTATGTTCAAATCAACCTTAACTCACTGACTGTCTTTAACCTAACTGATCCACCATGAATCATGGCTTGATTTCAGATCCTGAAATTCTGACGCCCACCCCTGTGTCTGCCCTGAAGCAGCAGAAACCATATTTAAAGGTTGCAGGGAAGCGGGACAAGGAACTTGAATCATTGCGGAAAAAACACGAAAAGGTAAGATTTCAAATTCATGTAAAATTATATTTTACATCAGCTTGGTTGATAACCATTACAATTCAGCCGTTTCATCAAATACATGTAATGCAATACTTTTGATAAAACGGAAAAAAAATTCAAAGATGCATTAAACTGACTCACACACTCTCACTGATTCCTTTGTAAGCAGTCCAATATGAGAAGCATCTGAACTCCCTGGTGGGGTGGGGTAGCCAAGTGGTTGAAGCATTCACTCATCACGCCAAAGGCACATGTTCAATTCCGGACATGGGTACAATGTATAAAGTGGTGTCCCCTAAAGTGATTTAGCTGGAATATAGCTATTAAAGGTGGCGTAAAACCATACGTACAGACTCACTCCTGAACTTCCATGCCTATTTTTGCAGGCCCAGGAGAACATGATCGACCAGCAGGCCCAGCAGATAGAAAAGGTGGCCTCCAGTCAGGAGAAGGCTGCCCGGGCGCTGGACAAGACACACTGTAAGCTGCTCAAGAAAGCCGGGAAGACGGGGCAGGGTCTCGGGGAGGTCCAGGCCAAGTGCTTTGAGGAGAAGACTCAGTTTGATAAGGACAGAGAACAACAGGTGGGTCACCTCCCAACATTCTAGTATGACTACTGAGTGCTTTAATCCCAGGCAGTTGTTTAAATGGCATAAAAACTAGGCTTTGGCAAGTTCGTCTGTGGGGATTCCGGGTCCCCAAAAACTTAACCTTGTCATAAGTCGACTATCAGGGGGTAAGACTTGGGACAGAGGACATAGGACATTGCACATTTTATCAATCACTGGTTTGTCTGGTCAAGACTAAATTAGTACTAGTATATTGTTGTCTTCAGAGTTTTATAATATTTCATTTATTATATAGGGATGACGCTGTCAAATTGAAAGTCCTAGAAAGTATGACTCAAGATTTCTAAAACATCTTTAAGATTCTATGACTACGTGGAGACAATATTTCAAAGTCAATATTAACAAAGTCTTGACCTAGATCAGAAATGGTCATTAGACTGTGGGGCACAATTAGAAATCTTGCCAATTTTTACCTTAAATTTGAATCAGAATTTCAATATATAATCTACTGCACCTTATAGTATTAGACTATAACTAATAATGATTGTTAAAAAAATATATGTATATGAACCTAATGGAATAGTTCCAGAACATATAAGTGTGACAGTTATATGGCTTCTTTCCCACTGACTTGTTGCTGTGCAGCCACATTCTTGAAGCTTTTCTCTTACAAGATACAATAACCTTGACCTTCCCAGATCCGTGACATGAAACAGAACCAGACTCAGATCTATGTGGCGCTATGCAAAGACCACTACCAAGCGGAAATGAACATTTATTTACGTCATCATGATGCGATATACAGCTCACTACACCAACTCCTAGACACCAGCCAGGCCAGTCACAGCAAGAGGCTAGAGGAACTCCATGACCGAGAGGTAGGGGAGCTCAAGAAGAAGATGGACCAACAGAACAGGGAGCATATGAAGGTTCTAGCCAAGAAACATAAGGACAAACAAGAGCTTTCTAGGTAAGAACAGTGAGGAGCTTTCTATGTAAGAACACTTGTGAAGGTTCTAGTAAAAAATACACAAGGACAAACAGGAGCTTTTAAACCAAGAACACCTGTGAATGTTGTAGCCAAGAGGCACAAGGCATACAGATCCTTTGTAAGGGGCCGTCGGGTACCCTAGTGGTTAAAACGTTCGCTCATCACGTCGAAGACCCAGGTTCGATTCCCGACATGGGTACAATGTGTGAAGCCCATTTCTGGTGTCCCCCACAGTGATATTGCTGGAATATAAAACTAAACTCTCTCTCTCTCACTTTTGTAAATAAGAATGTGTGATGGTTAGAATGTATGTGCAAAGGTCTGTTCAATTTTATAGCGCAAGTCATAACAATGTAGGTAAAGAACATGTAAAGGTTCTGCCCAGATGTCAGACAATAAGCCAGAACAGCCTGTGTAATAAAACCAGGATATGGAGACACAAGTAAAGGTTGTAGCAGGAGTAGCTGATTTCTAGGTGCACAAGTAGCAAGGAAAAACAGAACCAGACAACGTGTATGGGAGGCCTGGGAGGCCCTTAGCTATACCTTATAATTGTGCAATGGTCCACTGCTACGGGTTGAAGTTCGAGACTTCATGCTTGTGGGTTTGGCAGATTAACTTCTGCATCACTTATAAGGGTTATCTCACAGAGTTCGGTGAAGTACTTTGTGGAGATCTGTTCACTTAATCACTCTCTCACTCTCTCACAACTCACTCCATATGATGAGACCGCCTCCGTGGTCTAGTGGTAGAGCGTCCGCCCGGAGAGCAGAAGGTCCGGCGTTCGATCCCCGACCACGTCATACCAAAAGACGTTAAAAGATGGTACTTGTTGTTACCCTGTCTGGCGCTCGGCATTAAGGGGCTAAGATAAGGACTGGTCGGCTCGGAGTCAGTATACTGTGTCTGAGTGGGGTATTCATGTTAAACTGTGGCATGGTATCTCAGTGAGCTAGCACTATAAATCGGCATCAGTCCGGACTAGTACAAGCAGCCACACAAACACACACATGTACATGCACTTCGCTATATAAGTGCAATAATCTTGGACGCAACGTTAAACCCCATTTCACCTCACCACCATATGATGATCTTGGTGGCCATAGTAATGTACGTCATATGGTTTTGACATTAATTTACTGACTTTGTGTAAAAAGCCTCAGTTAGTGTTCAAGGTTGAGAAGAGGATGTATACAATTTTTAAAAATTCAATAATCGTTTGTTTCAGAATAAAGAGAGAAGCACAAACAAAACATATCCAGGTTGTGGTCCAAGAAAGACAGAGGGTATGTTTTTTAATTTCTTCTTAAAATGTGTAGGGGCGGAGGGGTAGTCCTGGTTTGATTACTCACATGTTTGAAGCCCATTTCTGGTGTCCCCACTGGTTAGTGCTGTACTCATGGTAGACAACTCCTGGGGTGATTCCCAACAAGGGCTCTGTTTGAGTTGTATTATTACTCAAGTGGTGAAGATACAAGTGGTAAGATACTAAATCTGTACGTCTCACGTGTGTCGTACAAGGTTGACCTTGTTTTATTCATAAGATAGTGTTCAAACTGTGAATTTTGTGTGCAGTTGAAGGACATTCTGGAGAAGAAGAAGGAGGAGCTGAAGAAGAACCTCGAGGAAGTACAGGTGGAGTTTGAGCAGGAGAAGGAGGAGGTAGGTCACACTGACTACTTGGTTCAGGTGGTGGAGGGAGGTCATGTTGGTTCAGTGGATGGAGGGAGGTCATGTTGGTTCAGTGGGTGGAGGGATGTCATGTTGGTTCAGTGGATGGAGGGAGGTCATGTTGGTTCAGTGGATGGAGGGAGGTCATGTTGGTTCAGTGGATGGAGGGAGGTCATGTTGGTTCAGTGGGTGGAGGGAGGTCATGTTGGTTCAGTGGGTGGAGGGAGGTCATGTTGGTTCAGTGGATGGAGGGAGGTCATGTTGGTTCAGTGGGTGGAGGGAGGTCCTGTTGGTTTAGTGGATGGAGGGAGGTCATAATGGTTTAGTGGATGGAGGGAGGTCATGTTTGTTCAGTGGGTGGAGGGAGGTCATGTTGTTTCAGTGGGTGGAGGGAGGTCATGTTGGTTCAGTGGGAGGAGGGAGGTCATGTTGGTTCAGTGGGTGGAGGAAGGTCATGTTGGTTCAGTGGGTGGAGGAAGGTCATGTTGGTTCAGTGGGTGGAGGGAGGTTATGTTGGTTTAGTGGATGGAGGGAGGTCATGTTGGTTCAGTGGGTGGAGGAAGGTCATGTTGGTTTAGTGGATTGAGGGAGGTCGTGTTGGTTCAGTGGGTGGAGGGAGGTCATGTTGGTTTTGTGAGTGGAGGGAGGTCATGTTGGTTCAGTGGATGGAGGGAGGTCATGTTGGTTCAGTGGGTGGAGGGAGGTCATGTTGGTTCAGTGGGTGGAGGGAGGTCATGTTGGTTCAGTGGGTGGAGGGAGGTCATGTTGGATTAATGGATAGAGGGAGGTTATTTTGGTTTAGTGGATGGAGGGAGGTCATGTTGGTTAAATGGATAGAGGAAGGTTATTTTGGTTTAGTGGATGGAGGGAGGTCATGTTGATTTAGTGGATGGAGGGAGGTCATGTTGGTTCAGTGGGTGGATGGAGGTCATGTTGTTTCAGTGGGTGGAGGGAGGTCATGTTGTTTCAGTGGGAGGAGGGAGGTCATGTTGGTTCAGTGGGTGGAGGAAGGTCATGTTGGTTCAGTGGGTGGAGGGAGGTCCTGCTGTTGGTTTAGTGGATGGAGGGAGGTCATGTTTGTTCAGTGGGTGGAGGGAGGTCATGTTGTTTCAGTGGGTGGAGGGAGGTCATGTTGGTTCAGTGGGAGGAGGGAGGTCATGTTGGTTCAGTGGGTGGAGGAAGGTCATGTTGGTTCAGTGGGTGGAGGAAGGTCATGTTGGTTCAGTGGGTGGAGGAAGGTCATGTTGGTTTAGTGGATGGAGGGAGGTCATGTTGGTTCAGTGGGTGGAGGAAGGTCATGTTGGTTTAGTGGATTGAGGGAGGTCGTGTTGGTTCAGTGGGTGGAGGGAGGTCATGTTGGTTTTGTGAGTGGAGGGAGGTCATGTTGGTTCAGTGGATGGAGGGAGGTCATGTTTGTTCAGTGGGTGGAGGGAGGTCATGTTGGTTCAGTGGGTGGAGGGAGGTCATGTTGGTTCAGTGGGTGGAGGGAGGTCATGTTGGATTAATGGATAGAGGGAGGTTATTTTGGTTTAGTGGATGGAGGGAGGTCATGTTGGTTTAATGGATAGAGGAAGGTTATTTTGGTTTAGTGGATGGAGGGAGGTCATGTTGGTTAAGTGGATGGAGGGAGGTCATGTTGGTTCAGTGGGTGGATGGAGGTCATGTTGGTTCAGTGGGTGGAGGGAGGTCATGTTGTTTCAGTGGGAGGAGGGAGGTCATGTTGGTTCAGTGGGTGGAGGAAGGTCATGTTGGTTTAGTGGATGGAGGGAGGTCATGTTGGTTCAGTGGGTGGAGGAAGGTCATGTTGGTTTAGTGGATTGAGGGAGGTCATGTTGTTTCAGTGGGTGGAGGGAGGTCATGTTGGTTCAGTGGGAGGAGGGAGGTCATGTTGGTTCAGTGGGAGGAGGGAGGTCATGTTGGTTCAGTGGGTGGAGGAAGGTCATGTTGGTTTAGTGGATTGAGGGAGTTCATGTTGGTTCAGTGGGTGGAGGGAGGTCATGTTGGTTTAGTGGGTTGAGGGAGGTCATGTTGGTTTAGTGGATGGAGGGAGGTCATGTTGGTTTAGTGGATGGAGGGAGGTCATGTTGGTTCAGTGGGTGGAGGGAGGTCATGTTGGTTCAGTGGGTGGAGGGAGGTCATGTTGGTTTAGTGGATGGAGGGAGGTCATGTTGGTTTAGTGGGTAGAGGGAGGTCATGTTGGTTCAGTGGGTGGAGGGAGGTCATGTTGGTTCAGTGGGTGGAGGAAGGTCATGTTGGTTTAGTGGGTGGAGGGAGGTCATGTTGGTTCAGTGGGTGGAAGGAGGTCATGTTGGTTCTATTGGGGATGTGAGTTCACATAGTCCATTTAGGTTGGAGGAGGAGGGAGGTGATGTCAGTTTAGTTGATGTGGGAATGTCTCATCAGTTCAGTTTTTAATGAATGCTTTCCAATTAATGTGTTTGAGGTCATACTCACAGTGATGATAAACTCTAAAGAACATTTGGAGGATGTAGAGAAGCTGCCAACTCACAATGATTACGGTCATCTGTTTCAGGCAATGAAAAAGTATCAGGAGGAGTTTGTACAGAAATGTGACAGCATCATGGACCAATACAAGGACAAAGTCCCAGCTCCAGGAGCAGACGGATCAGGGTTTCAAGCAGACAGCAAAGTGTCGCCTCTCAAAACCCCCTCCGATACCTCCTCCCCCTCCCGATCGTCAGCTCATTCCATTCCCTCAAAACCCTCTTCTCCAGTTCCAGTAGAAGAGAAGTCAGGGTCACATTTAAATGGCGGGTCAAAAGTTAACAGTTGTGAGGAGATGACAGTTATGTAGATTTTAAGCCAGTTGACTAGCATAATCAAATGTTGATGTAAAATATTCTTTAATTTATTCTCCTTATTTTAGAGCAATTAAATGTGTAATCTTTGACAAACCTGTTTGCTCACATTTGTTTAGATGTGTATACAGACACATTTTTTTAAAGTGAAGCCAAGTTTCACCTTGTATGTATTTTGAATGTATTTCTATGTGTAAATAATGCTACATTTTAAGAGGGATTTTTTTATGAAAGGTATCATATTTCATGATCAAGAAAGTTGGAATTTTGTAAAACAAATGAAGTTTGAAATGAAAACTACTGCACCCTGTAAATATTTAGTGTAGAACAATTTTACCCTCGGGTTTTTAACTATGCCAAAATGGCTGACACTACTGGTGTGTAGCATGTATTTTATGCTCGTTGTCATAGAATGTAGACAATCTGCATAGCAAAGAATCAAGGACATGTATAATCCTCAAAGGTATAAACAAGAGATTTTGATCAATATATTTACCAGAAATAGATTATACAAAAGGAAATTTATAGGATTGTTATAAATATTTACATACTGAAGTAAATTAAAGAAGGACTAGTCCAGGCCTACACCTGACGGTTATCATTGTCTCTTTGTAAATAGGGTAATAATTTACTGATACCTTGATCTCCATCATGAAAGTTATTTTCGCAGCTAAAGCTGATTTTGAAAGATCAAACCTGCAAGCTTGCCAATTTGTTCGAGCATAGTCCATCTTTAAAGATTTATACCTAATTGGTATTATATCTTGGTGAACAGTATGTATTCTGTATACCAAGCATGATTTCATATGATAGGCCCAGAAATTCATCCAGATGTTGTCACTTTGTATGAAAACCAATACACCAAATCATCATAACATCACCATGAATGATTTGTAAACTGTTATATATCATTTCCAATTACCAAATCTGACCATTTTATATGTAAGATTTCAAATGTGTTTCATTAGGTGGATGGACTGGTTTTCATCTAATTAATGAAAATAGGTTACAGTTTAATGGGGAAAACACATACTCCATGTTTGGGTTATTGCAATTCATCAAAATATCTATGAATTTCAATGTTATGTATATATACAAAACAATGCATTTATTTATTATGAAGACTGTATATGGTAAAGAAATGAATTGTGAAAATTTGTTTGTTTACGATATATACAACTTTAAATCAATTGGATAAACATTGTAAATTTGGCTTATTAGTGGACTTTCAGAGTACTTTTCCTTGTTGGAATAGAGCTTGTTGATCAAGTATCATCACAACCATTGTACTATGGATAAGGAGTGTTGTTATAAAACTTATTACCTGTCATCGGGAAAAATAACTTAATTTATGTTTATATTTAGGAGGATTTAGGTGCCCTGTTTTGAAGTCAGATCATGAAGTTGAAGAGTCTTACATCTGTTTGGACAACAAATGTTACAACTATTATTCTGTGAAATATCACACTTTTCACATTCTATTGACTCTCTGAAAAACCTTAGGAGTCACAAAGTTCTCCTTGTGTTACAACTTAAGAACATTTTCCAAAGGTTTGGTTATCAAGCTTGTTGGTGGGACTTTCATGCAATCAGTCATAAGCTTTTCTAATTATAGATTCTGATTTCTTGCACAGATTTGACCAAATCTGATGCACTGATACCCCCAAATAAACACACTAATGATAATTAAAATATATTTTAATGGATTTAGACCAGGTGCTCAAGGATTGGTCGTAGGCAAAAAAATTTCAGAGTTGTGTTCCTTAGCAGTTCCAGGAATTGCTATTCATGGGTTTTAGATTCTGGATTATTCTTCCTTAGCACCACATACCCATGCTAGTGGTAATCAAATATGACCTAAACTGCTGGGCAAAAGAAAGTATGCAACCATTTTTCTTTGACAGTGGCTAAAAATGAGAAACAAACAAGAAATGGTTATTCGATGGTGATGTATTTGACACAGATATCATAGGCGATATTACATGCATCATATTCATATTTCTCATAATAGATGACTGTTTTCAGCCTTCTAAAATGTGTATATTTTTTTTATCAGATCCAATCTAAAAGTTTTTACTTTCTTTTGCTCAGCAATGTCCATCACTTTATTGTTTTTTACTTCAACTAAGCTGACATCACATGACTAAAATACTTTTTCTGATTCGTGTTAAACATAACTCCCTCACTCTCTAGTTTTTTAACAAGCTGGCCGTGAGTCATGCTTTCTGGTTGGCTGGTTTGTTGTTTAACACCGCACTCAGCAATATTCCAGCTATGGGACGGCGGTCTGTAAATAATCAAGTCTGGACCAGACAATCCAGTGATTGATATCATGGGCATTGATCCACGCAAATGGGATTGATGACATGCATCAACGAAGTCAGCGAGCCTGACCACCCAATCTCGGTAGTCGCCTCTTACGACAAGCATAGTCGCCTTTTACGGCAAGCATGGGTTGTTGAAGACCTATTCTACCCTGGATCTTCAAGGGTCTGCTTTCAAAACAGAATGTAGATAAGTTGCTTTTAGGTTGAAAGGGAGAGAACTGCGTAATACTGAAGCTATTGAGCTGTTGCTGTATGCTATGAACCACCTGACAAATTGTGTCCAAACAGATGTAACACAAGGACAAATTATTCAGAAGATAAAATAATTATATCAATCTTGCTTTTATATATTTGTGATATACATGTCAAACAGTTGGAATCCTGGTTTGGAGATCAACAAATTGTCAAGAGTGTTTGTTGTTTAGTATCACAAATGGCATTAATGATAAAAAGAGACAACTTCATTTTATTAAAATGCTAATTTTCTTTGGGAAATATTTTTTATGAATTCATCATTTTTTTTAAAAATGAAATGAAATTGCGTGTCATTTCTCATATATACTGTGTAGCCTTGTTTATACTGGTATTTTAGTAATATACATGATATTCCAACTTTTATCAAGACTGTCAATATTCTCTTATGAACCAATAACCTTTTGACAGTGTTTTTTTTTTTAAGAATGAAAAAAACAACTGTTATATCTTCGTTTTGGGGGAATACCAAGAGAGCATAGTTATATATATTTTTCAAAGACAGAATGGGATATTATAATTTTATCAATTAACCTTGTTATTGTTTGTGATCATGAATTAAAACTTTTCCATGTGTACACACTAATGACCCTGCATTTACATAGAAAGGTGATCAAACATGATGAGAAAAGAAAAATGCTATGATGTTTCTAAGAATATATTGAAATCAGAAAGATCTGACTTTATTAATATCTTTTTCTAGATTTATCTGGAATATTTCTGCAATTCACACTGTGCATGCAAGTCAAATGTTTGGTGACCTGTAAAATTCAGAGAAATTCAATTTTCTGAATATGATTTGCATATATTCAGATACTCAGAAATAATATGCAAATTTCTATCACACTTTGTGAGCTCACTAAACATAGTTGTGCTATTTATAGATTTTATACAAAGTAGATTGTAGTCATCAATAGTGATGTGTTGAAATTTTGAAAAATGTCTTATTTGGTATATCGTTGATGAGGTTTATTCCTTTTAAACATAGCAAATTTTATTGAATCTCATTTTCTTGATTTTTGTGTGAATAAAATTTTGTGCATTTACTGATGTATGTATATTGTCCTGTTAATGGCGTCTTGCTTTTTGTATTGAAATATTGAAGTTAGATGTATCAATATCAATGGAAAGTAGATTTCTGTGATCCAGTACAGATTGCAATGACTAGATAACAAGTGTGAATGATTTACTCTCTCCTTTCACTGCACAACAGGCCACGCATGTTGATCATATGTCTTTCCTGGTCAGTAGAATTCAGTTTTCTTTCTTTTCTCTTTCACTACGGGGGCGGTCCGGTAGCCTAGTGGTTAAAGCGTTCGCTTGTCACACTGAAGACCCGGGGTCGATTCCCGACATGGGTAAAATGTGTGAAGCCCATTTCTGGTGTCCCCTGCCGTGATATTGCTGGAATATTGCTACAAGCGGCGTAAAACCATACTCACTCACTCTTTCACTACAACTTGATTTGCAATTAGAAACCTATTTGAAAACGATCTGCTTATAGAAAATAATGTCATCCTTATCAAGTTTTGTTTAAGTCTCACATGAAGCTGGTCTAGTACATGATGTCAATACAAAGTAGTCTGATTTTATACACAGGGTAGATGAAACATGTTTCCACTCTATCATATTATTTCAGCATTATCTTATTCATTCAGACAACTCTATTAAATTCCCATCCGTAGACTATTTCATACCCATTACATATATCATACATGAATGTGTCTGCATTATTATCTCAGTCATAAGCGTAAGGTGCTTATAAGCATATATGGATAATTAGAGCATTAAGTGATGGCATTCAAAATATTCATGAAAAAAAGGTTTGCAATAGGAGTGGATTAATCAGGTTAATTGCTGCATTCTGTATCATTTCTTCGTATGAATAGAAAGGGGCACAGTTGGTCCAGTCTTAGATGCCTCATTACGCGGTGCAGAGTTGCATCCCTTAGGCATGCCAGGATCCTGAACATGAGTTCAAGTCCCAGATTCATGCTGATTCTGGTCATTGGTTTGTCGGCACCATAGCCTTGCTTTCGGTTTTCTCCAAAGTGGTAAACGTTGTAAGACCCGTGTCACTTTGGGGTCACCGATGGACCTGTTCTATAATCAGTTTGACTTTTGTCCAAATACTATCTGTATGTTTTTCATGGCTATCACCAAGTCACAGATGTTGTGTCTGCAGAAGTTTCTAGACTAAAACTTGCTGTTTGATGTATTTATATCGACAGACAATGATTTAGTTTGGTATGGATGAGTTTTAGGGATATTTTATTTAACCGTATAGTGATTAATCTTATTAAGACACTTAAGTTTATTTGCTTGTTTCAAACATTATCACATTATCAAAGCCACTTAAAAAAGGTTAAGAAAACAAGTGATAATGATATCATTATATATGCGCCATTCAGTATTTCTTAGTATTGTTACTTTTCTTTTTATCTATATAGTGCTTTTGCAATAAGGACGTTAACTGCCATCCTTTGAAGTGTACACTGGGTAGTAACATTGTCATAGTCACTCTGTAGCATCCAGACTTGAATATCAACCTTCATTACATTGTTAGGATGACCTTGACATTCCAAATAATATCACCAAAATATGACATTTACCAAATATATATCTGTTAAAATTAACCAATGTAAACAATTTAGGCAATCATATTATGCATTAGAACCATGTTTGTGAGGTCCTTATGTTTATGCCTTAAGCCAGACTTTTTTTAAAACTTTGTTTATGAATCTGCCGAATTAAATATGTTGAAATGTGAAGGGAAAAAATGAAAAGCAGTAGTTTTGGGAGGGAGAGCCAACCAGAAATAAGTAAAATGTTTTAACCAAACAAATGTTCTATCGCTATAAATAAATTATTTATTATATATACTATAATTAGAGTCAACTTAACATTGTTAGGAAATCAAAAAATATATTTGAAATTGGATTATTTTTTAACTAGTTTTTCATTGACCTCCAGACCTGAGTGTTTTGGCCAAACATCTGTACACCAAAGAAGTCAGGTCTAAGTTGGGATGGTTGTCTGTCATGTAGGACTAGTCAGGTCTAAGTTGGGATGGTTGTCTGTCATGTAGGACTAGTCAGGTCTGACCACAACCATGCAATATACATGTACATTGAAAACTAGGGGAGACTACTCTATAGATTTCACAGAACATAGTCATATCTTTGAGATGTTTATATTTTTACTTTTACATGGTGTAAATGAAGTTTACTGTTTAGTTGGTAGTCGTCAACCAGTAGATCTGGATGTGGGAAGTTCAGTGATGGACATGTTGGTTCAAGATGTCACAGCCCATACCACAGAGGATACAACATACCTACACTCATTTGTTCAATATCTTTGTTCACCATTGTGTTCCGAGTTAAGGCAATGTGGCAAAATTATTTTCATTACTTTGATTTGTTCATTCAAACTTTGTCTGATATGAAGACATTTACATGATTTTCTTTTTCTCTGAAAGCATTTTCACGACACAAAAGTGAGATGTGTGACATACTTACATTGTTTGCACCGAGTCTTCATGGAGCCCTGTGTAGTGATTGAAGGAAGGTCCTAATTCATTATTCCTTTGTGTCCGATGACAGTACATCCATGGAGAGTAGGAGTCACAACTTATCAACCCGGGAAGTCTTTTATGACCTGTCAGAGAGCCCTTATAAGTTTTCTATTTCTTTTCGAAATGCTACAAGTACCGGTATGATCTCATCTTTGTGATCTGTTTTTATCATTCAATCAAAGGGATAGATATTCATGAATCTTTCAGATTTAGATACCCGATGATAAAATGTATTCTATTGAAATAATATCTGCTAGCCTATCTGTGTGTAATGACCCTGTCATATTGTTATATTTCCATATGCAACACGCATAATGTGCTATCATGTTCGCTGTGTCAAAACAACAACTTTTTTGTAATTTTAGTTTATATGTTTTTAAGAAGTGGTTCATAAGAACGAAATCAGTTTGTTGATATTTCAGTCTATTTGCATACATGATAATATTTTAGAGGACATGGTCCTATACTTAGTTGTTCCGATTGTATTTGAACTTTTGACAAAGTTTGTGAAAAAATATGTTAAAATCCAAAATAATCTTTTTGGGCATGTTGTACAAATAAAAGGTTTTCTTTGAATTGCAAGTAGTGTTTACAACAATTTGAAAAAAACACACAACATGTTCCTCATAAACATGATGAAAGTTAGTTGAAAACAAACACTGTACAGAAAACATTAGAGAGAGTGCATAGGTTATATGTAAATGATTATGTTTATTGATATGTTTAAGTAGCGGAGTGTGTAGGTTTTGACCCAACTCAATACTTGTGATTTATGCCTGATTCTATTTTAGTTCATGTGGATATTATCATAGAAAGAGCACCCAATGGTCTAAGGTGTCAGGAGTCCCTGGTCGTCATTGTGATTAACAACTATCATAATGACTTAAGATATACATAAGTCATCTGAGGCGCCGCGATTCGCTGTGCAGAGTTGCGTCCCTTGGGCACGCCAGAAACCTATGATTGTGGGTTCGAATCCCGGTTTCTAGGTTTGTCAGCACCATGTTGTGGGTTTCACCGAAGTGGTAAACGTCTGAGACCTGCATCACTTCGGGCTTTCCTCCCACATTAAGCTGACACGCTGTGATATAACTGGAATATTGTTAAAAGCGGTGTTAAACCCAGCTCACTCACTAAGATATACATAGGGACAATCAGAAAATATAATGTTAAAAAGGTTCCATGTCTAATATGTAATGATTGCTGTAATCACTCATCAATATTAAGTTACTAAACATTGAAGAAAAGACAAAGATTGGGGGTAGATTTGAACTCGATTCAGTTTTACACTATGAGCATTGTAGCAAAAATCACGGGTCATATATCAGAGATATTTGTCGAATAAGCATGTCCAAAATTAAGGTATGGGCAACTGATATGTTATATATCCCACATGCATAGATAATTATTATGTATAAAATATTATACAGCTGTATACAATGTGTAGACACTATCAGCTCCTGGTAGTCACATGTCTACATGTGTGCTAGTCAATTTGCTCATTTTTCCAGGATTTTGTATGATAGTGGAAGAGGCACGCTCACGTAGGGTACCAGTCAATTAACTTATTATATACACCAAGTATTTAGTCACTGGTTTAGAGCACTTAGTCAAATAAACATACATCAAATTTTAGTTGATTTTTTTAGCAAAACCAGTTTTAACCATGTCGATGCTGGTCAATATTCTGTTTAGTGGTTCCCATCTTGTGATATTTGCAAATATTTTTCGTAAATATGCCCCATATATGCATATACAAATGTCCTATATTTTCACTTTTTGTATATTTTTGTTTGTATAATATTCTCCTCAAAACTGATGTACATTTCCTCAAAATGTGTCATATATGTCCTTAGTGAAAATGTTTCTGTGTATATTTAAATCATAATCATTTGTTGATCGGTGTGAAATATGTTTCTTAGCTTAGAAATGTCAACCAAAATGTCTCCCGGAGTGTTGAGCTGCTACGCAATGAAAGCTATATTATGTATGACTGAAAGGAACTGTTTTGTTGGGCATGAGAAAACTTCTGCCTTTTGCCATGTTGTCTTTCTGCTTCAAGTCATCATATATGTTGTTGATGTTATTCCCTGTTGAAATGTTTTATTTGTACATCCAAAGGAGTCTTTCTTTCACCTTAAGACCAATGGCACATTAATGGTACAGTCTGAGTGATCTCCCCTTGTCCCCCTTTCTGACCTTCAATCCCACCCCTCCCCCTCCCCCAACCAAAGCAAGATGTTCGCTTCATTGTCTCAGTACTTCATATCCAGAGTAAAATTTTAATACCTATCTGAATTCCTTGTGTTATTCTTGTGTCATGTGTATCATTGTACAGCAATCTGATTAAAATCAAACCTTAATTTTCGCTACTACTAAACAAAGATCTTGAGAAGATCCCTTTAGGGGTCACGTCAGAACGACCTTTCATCAAACTAATCAGAGCGTCGCTTACCAGATTATGAAAATGACAGTCGGAATGTGATTTCTAATCATGCACCTCGAAAACTGTAACATGGAGTATTCCGAACGATAGTTACGGGTTTAACGACTGAATCCTTACAATCTAGACCATCTATTAGCCATTCCAGAATGGTTTTTTTGTTCAGGTTTCAAATTTGTAATCGAGAATTTGTCAAGATATGTTTTGAAGCGTAGTCGCCAATTTGAAATCAGTGCCGTAAAGTACGAGAAAGCTGCCTTCTGATTGGTCATTCCATTGGTCTGTCAAAGTTCGCGCAAGGTCGGTCTGACGTGGTCCGTAATGGGATGTCCTCAGATCTTAGTTTAGCGGTAGCGAGAACTTAGATCTGATTTTAATGAGATTGGATTGTACAGTAACATCTGCTGAAAGGGCCATATCGGTGGTACTATCCCCTGACTGTGTCATACCTAAAGACATTCAAAGATGGTACTAAGTCTTGTTATCCTGCCTACAGCTCGGAATGAGGGGAATTAAATAATGACTTGTCCCTCGGAGTCAATATACTGTGTCTGAGAGGGATATCCATGTTACACTTAGCATGGTATCTCAGCAGGCTTACACTTAATCCAGCATTAACCTGGACTAGTTCAAGTAGCCACACAGACATTCATGCTCCTGGCTATATAAGTTAGGCAATCTTGAACGTGACATTAAACCCTATTTCACCCCACCTCTTCTAAAGTCAACAGTATATGGAAGAGTATATCATGTTCTCGTGAGGTGAATGGTACCTTGAAAGCGAAACAGCTGAAAAATTTACAAACTAAAATAACATTGGAGAACATGTTTTCTAGAGGGCAATATTCGGTATGGCGTCAACCATTTGTTTGCCACAAACCTACCACATCTCCAGAATGCCTCAGACGTTTTCCCTACAATAGTTTGTAGTCAGAACATAAAGTAGTTGCCCTTGGTGACCTCATTAATTATAAGATGTAAATACCAACTGCTGGAGAACAGTATCTGGCGAAACGCGAAGGGAGACTCCGGGTCAGTGGCCATTCCACACACAGTCAGCCAAGTCACACATTGTATCCACCCAATCCTCTTTTAAGTTGGCCTCTATTACCAAGGATGCATGTTTGGCACAGTCACCTGAGTCGCCTCAATCCATTGTGCAAAGTTACCTTCCTCGGGATTCCCAGAGTCTGCGTAATTATGACTCCTGCTTTATCAGCACCATACTCCTGCAAATTTTTCACACAAGAAATATGTGTAGCCTTGAACCAAACCCACATTAGGTATCAGGCTGATGTTCCTGAGAAATAGGTTCAGACAGTAGGAAGTATTTACGATATATGCAAATATGCAAGCAGTCACGTCACAGACTCTCCTGATGCCAATCCAATAACATACCACCATGACTATAGTTTACATATATTTAAAAAATAAACTGTTAGTGGACATGAGGGGCGCAAGCCAAAAGTGGTTCATTCTCCCTGTAGTGTTTTATTGTACGTTAAACAAAGACCACGAGTCGTTTATTTCTTATTTGAGATATCAACATGACTTTTTAGGGTGATGATAAAATGTACAAGCTTTAAAAATATTTACTTGTATTTTAAATATTGATGACTCCCCCAATAGAATCCGACCTCGGCAATGTCCAATTTTATGCACAAGTGGGGTATTTCCCGCATATTCTCACAATCTTCACATCGATTACCTAATCGAACAGGTTTTTCCTATTTGTCTCTCTATATATGTTGTTATTTAACGCCGCCGCACTCCACAATATTCCAGTTATATGACGGTGGTCTGTAAAAAAATGAGTCAGGACCAGAAAACCCAGTAATTGACATAAGTATCGATCTACGAAACGTGTATACGATGACATACATCAGTCAAGTCACTGATGCTTACGACCCGGATCAGTTGGGGGCTAGGAACATGTTCTTCCCCAGGCCCCCAGAGGATAGGTGTTTTTTTTTACTTTACTCTCAAAAGAGTGAGTGAGTTTGGTTTTACGCCGCTTTTAGAAATATTCCAGCAATATCACGGCGGGGAACACCAGAAATGGGCTTCACACTACTCTCAAAAGAAGGGCTATTAAAAAATAATATGATTACAGAAATACAAAGAGGAATCGAGTAATCGATGGATAAGAAAAATGAAGGCGTATGTGTGACATGACAAACAACAGATAATGTTGGCGGTGTATTGTAAGGACGAAAACAACCAAAACTGACGACAGCGTTGTATATATAATAAAAGAAATTAACGTTTGAGGACTTGATCAATGGGCCTTGAACTCACGAATGGACAAACATTCATTTATACGGGTAGCATGGTCCGAATCAATTTGTGGGAGTCTTTGTCCACCCCTATTGCAGTTCGGCTAACGAAACGGGTACGCCAACATACACGTCTCCACATCATGTCCCAGACGTGCTCTATTGGCGGAAAGGTCAGGATTCATAGCTGGCCATTGTTCTGGTGATGTTCTTGCTGCTGGGGGTGGTCAGTTATGATACAAGCATGTTGGGTACGGGCGTTATGCTCTTGAAAGACAACACGTGGCTAGGGCGTAGCTAAGACCAAATACAAGTGTATAGTCACCAAATTGAACACCGTAAATTTGAGGCCACAAAGCGAGAGTTTGGGGGCATGCCCCCACAGATAATCTTGCTTTTACACATTGCAGGATATGCAATTTACTGCTATTTATGGACACATCTTGTGACAAATATAACCAAACATACATGCTGTAAAATTCATTTTCATAGTACATATTTCTTGTGGTTGGCAATATGTTTACATATCATGTAATAACGTTCAATCACTGCGTCACCATAATGGCTGTTTTCTGCATCTGTTTCAATAGCGATAATTCAGATGTTCAGACAGAAACAGAAATTCTGAAACTTTTATGTATTATTACAGGTACATTTGGTACTTCATTATCTGGCTAGATGGAAGATATACGAGGAAGAATAAATAAGGGAACTCCTGTCATTTCAGCTAAAAGAATGAAATGACCATCTTTGTTTTACAAGACACAGTTACTGAACTCGGATAGCAAACTACTCAAACTTTGCACATTGCACAAATCCTGTACAACATGCAGACCACGGTGACAGAATGTATGCCAATAAACGTCACAACCACATGGTTCACTGATCGGGTACAGCGAAGGAAAATGCCTAAAAAAATGTACATGACAGAAAATATGCAATAGGCATGATTGAAGCTGGCCAATCACAGAATGCAGTCACTTTGGTGAATCTAAAAGTGTGATATCCCGACTGATGGAAAGATATAGGCAAATGGGTGGAGTTAAAAATTAGGGTGGGTAGAGGAAGGCCTTGGAAGACTACTCCCAGGCAGGATCGATATGCATGCACTACTGTGTTGACGAACATATTCATTTCTGTACCAGAACTAAGGGAAAACTTTAGATTTGCCACAGGAATCCGACTTTCGGCGTCAACTATACGAAACAGGTTGGCAACTGCAGGTCTGAAATCAAGACGTCCTTCGAGTCTGACTGTTGCACACAAGAGCTTCAGACAGTGGGCACAGCAGTTTGGAGGTCGTCAACAACGGCATTGGAAATACACAACGCTTCCTGATGAATCGAAGTTCTATTTACGCTTTACAGATGGTAGACAACGTGTTTGGAGACAGCATGGAGAGAGGTACTATCTAGCAGCGGTCCAAGACCACGACAGAGACGTTAGTGGCAGCGTCACGGTCTCGGCTGGCATCACGGTAGACAACAGGACGCATCTGATGATCGTACAGGGGAACATGACTGTCAATGTTATGTGGACCAGATGTTACGTCCAGTGGTAATCCCATTTGCTCAGTGTGTGAGTCAGAACTTTGAGTTCCAGGATGACAACGCACGTCCTCACAGAGCTGGTGTTGCAGTCGAGTGTCTTAGTCAGCTAGGCTTCACATCATTGCTCTGGCCAGCCAAATCTCCAGACATAATACCGATTGAACACCTTTCGAATATTCTAGGCCGGAGGGTTCCCATCCGACCTCAGCGTTCCAAGAATTTGCAACTGCTTGGACAGGCTTTACACGAATTGCAAAGAAAACCAAGGGAGACAATCCGGCGTTTGATATCCAATATGCCAAAAATATGTCGTGCCTGCATAGATGCTCACGGAGAAAGGACCAGATATTGACTTCACTTAGAAGACTGAAATTCACTTTTTACATATCATATCTAAATACATTTGTGGATTCCCATAAATATTGTTCCTGGTATATGATAGGAGAGTCATAGAAGAGTTTCCCATTTGGCAAAGTCACAACTTAACGAGTCTTCATTCGAGACTAAAGATCAATATCATTTCATGATATGACAATACTCCACTGTCTATATTTATCTCCAATGAAATCATGGCATATCGTTTTCAAACAAGTAAACTCTTCGATGCCACTCTAAATGCTCACAGGAATGTACCTGTACACAGCTAGGGTCGATCATTCATTAGTATACTGATATCCAGCCACAAAAAAAAACATACAAAAATAATTTATTTTGTTCAGAAAATGTAAGTGTAGGCACATGCCTATGCAGTTACGGCCTTGCGTGAAACAGCATGGCGCGCAAACGGCACAACTGGTGCATGGCGACAGTATGTTGTCTCGGTAGTACTGTTCAGTGACCCTTCCAAGGACAATATACAGCACTTGGCGTTCTGACAGTCATTGTGAAACGCACCCATGTCATTACAGACCCACCCCAGGTATTTCATATTGCCTTACGTTGACGTTTACCACTTTGGTGAAACCCACGAGCACGGGTGTGGTGCTGACAAACCTAGAAACATAATCGAGGTGGACCAGAATTCGAACCCAGAATCATAGGTTACAAGTGACAGGGACGCAACTCTGGACAACGAATTGCGGCTCCTTATGCGACTGGGCCACCCGTGCCCCCTGTGACTTCTGAGATAATCATAGAAGTCAAACAATGATCAACATAGTAATATACATGTATAACTTATTTTGTTAATGTGCCTGAATGATGTAATAAATTTCTAGTTCCATGATTGTTTGATTAGTAAATATGAAACTGTGATGGCAAAAAATCCTGTTTCACACAAATTGTTATTAATATTGTTATATGTAACTACAAAATGAAAAAAACAAAACTTTTAACGTTATATTATTGCTATGATGCTATTTGAAACATGCTTTTGTTTGCTAAATATTTTAACTTTCGGTGGATTGTAAACAGAATAAAAACTCTGATAATTTATTTCAAACATTATAGTAATTGCCACAAGCAGTTCTTAATCATCTCTTATTCACACTTATATCGATATTTAGAGGTTATGTAATCGAGGGATGATATGAGGTTTCATGTGAAAACGGACATATAATAACCTTTTTATCAAATATCAGATTGTACAATGTATCTATTGGCTAGTGAATGCAAAACATTTTCACTTTGTTCGGTAGACATTGTCACGGGAAAACTAGACGAGCAGACGAGCAGTCGACGCACTAAGGGAGGTAACTCTAATTTCTTACCAGGCGGGCTACCATCGATCGTCCATTCAAAATGCACTGACAGGCCATATCAGCTCAGTAGGGGGTGTAATACGTGTCTATAGTTATTGCATCCCATGTGATATGACGGTCTCTATCTTTGCTCTATCACACATGCAAAATGCCTCACACCATTCGTAGGTATTTGCCTTCGGCCTCGTCTGCGAGTTCGTTTGTTATTATTCTTTGTTACATGGTCCTGTGGTATATCATAAAAGAGCATGACTGGAAGTGGTAAACTAGTTTGCATCCATGGTCACAAATCGTTGCAAGAACCTTTTTGGATCAGTGAGATGTGTGCCTGGTGCGTATTTTTATGCCATGTCAGAACCTATGGAACCCAACTAGTTGATATAAATTTTCTCCATTGCCAAAGTTTCTCTGATAATGCAATGCAAGGCTCTCCTGAGACATGCCTATAAGCTACTGAATTAGCGTCATTCGCCAGTCGGTCATCACCATATGGTAGATTCTCTGGATCATGTCTGGTGTTTCTTACGTGACAGGGCTTACGGGACGGGGGTCGTCTTCAAGGTGAGGTGAGGTGACATGGTGTTTAACGTCGCGTCCATGTTTATTGCATTTATATAGCGACGTGCATGCACGTGTGTGTGTGTATGGGGTGTGTGTGTGGCTGCTTGTACTAGTCCAGAATAATTGCGATTTTATAGTGCTATCCCACTGAGATACCATGCCGCAGTTTAACATTAAATACCCCACTAAGACACAGTATACTGACTCCGAGCCGACCAGTCCTTATTTTAGCCCCTTAACACCGAGCGCCAGGCAGGGTAACAACGGCCGAGGATCGAATCCCGACCTTCCGCTCTCAGGGCGGACGCTCTACCGCTAGACCAAGGAGGCGGTCAGGACGTCTTGTGTTCAAGGCTATCCCTGACACGTTTAAACTCTTCTGCCCACCTCTTTATGCTTACAGCGGTAGAGAAATGGGGATCCTTGCTGTACCCCGTATCTTCGCGTATGGATCTTGGTGTAGGCCCCCTCCTGCAAGTACAATTGATCACTGCACGCTCCACGAGCTCGTCCATTTTCCAAAGGTCACAGACCTTGCCTAATTTACAGACTTGTCACAGCGAAACAGTTGGCTCAATTGACACAAGTTATAGTGTATATACCTCTATGCAGAGATCATATACCGGTATATGGTCTCTGCTCTATGTACATAACGTGTAATTTGTAACGTGTAACACGTAATGTTTACAAGAAACAAATTCACTACTACGCAATTCCTTTTTTGTGAGGCTCAGAGCTTGTCAATCAACCCTCTTACGTTCAATGTCAAGAGGGCAATAAACTGATGGAAGACCCAAGCCGTTGTATCGTTGTAATACTGCCATGTCTTGTATATGTAACACTCACTATCACTAACACTTAAAGATAAATAGGTAACTATAATATCTAACATACAAATATATCATATGTACACATATGGTGTGTGTGGGGGGGGGAGGTGATGTGTGTGTATTATTAGGAAGTTAATAGGTACCCTTTCTACACTGCCGTGTTTGCTGTTATAAAAATTGACAACGGCGTGTCAATGAGTGTGTGTGTCCGTGTGAAGTGTTCATGTGTTAATAAGGATATTACAACAAAATCAATTGGGTATATAATCAGTAGCACACTCATTACCCATTGTAGGTGTCGTCTTTATTTCATCCTGTAATGTTCTGGGAACGGTCACTTTTCAATGTATTGTTATCTCAAGGCTACTCAGCCAGGTTATCCAGGGTACACAAGGCAGCAGCTACACAGCGTACACGATCACGATAAAGCAATACAATATCAGATGTATAAAGTGAGTGGGTATGGCTTTACTCCGCTTTTAGCAATATTCCAGCACTATCACGGCGGGGGACACCAGAAATGGGCATCACACACTTTACCCATGTCGCGAATCGAACCCGGGTCTTCGGCGTGACGAGCGAACGCTTTAACCACTAGGCTATACCCGACCGTCCCAGATGTATAGATCTACATGTAGTCATACAATCAGTAAACATGTATCTGAGTTTGGTTTACGTCCGTCAAACGGTTGACCACACAGTGTATGTTTAAAAATACCGATAATAATAGTGTGTCTATTGGTAACACTATCGTGATTGTAATGTTTTCTATCGATTGAATCATAGTGATTTGAAGCTGTAAATCTGCTGCGCAGTTTGGACGTTGAGGGGGCGCATCAATAGAAAATACGGCCTTATATATATATTGCAGTTATTGGTGAAGAAAACTTACAGGAAGTAAATGATATGTGGTTTTATATACGCATATACAAATATACATATTGCATTAAACATTTTGTGTGGTGGGTGAATAGTAACACATATTTCCGAAGGCAGTTGGTGATACGGCCACGTAAGTGTACCCGCGTGATGTATGACGGGTGGACAAAAATGGAAACTGACTCAGACTGCTTGCGGCGGAAGAGCTACGTCAGTTACTGTATATACACTATGAGACACAGCAACCGTAGAGGATTGTGGTAACACACCGCTCATTCGTGGGGCGACTGTCGTGCTAGCAAGACGTATACTAAAATCGGGGCTCGATTCTGATTTGGAAAATCATTTTTACTGGTTTTCGACCAATTCGTGTGACATTTATTTTGTTTAAGTACGTTGCGATTCTGTGCGCTTGTTGTGTCAAAACGTTATCTTTCGATGGGGTGAATTTTTTTGTTGTTGTAGTATTTTGCGATGTATTTAAGATCATTTTAAGAGAAAAGTTTCGATTATTGTGATCTATGTTGGTATTTTTATTCGCGGTAGACATGTTTTGGTTGTTGCTTTCATGTGTCTGCGTCCACCCAGTTGAATGGCTTCACATGGTTAATATACGACGTCGGAAGACTCAACTAGCGAAAAAACACCAACTGCTGAAAACCCAAGACCCACGTACCCTACCCAAACCCCCTACAGCAACCCATAATCTCCAGTATCAAAATAGCAAGCACTTAATTACACACACACACACCACATATATTCAAAATAACTCGGACACAAAAGTGAACTTATATACTTTTGCGTGTAACTTTCTCAACCTCAAAATGTTACACCCATTAAATCCAATAGCGATTAGCCTACATACGAAATATACACACAAGGTATTCATAAACCTGAAAACGCCACATTAATTTCAATAATCCCATAATGCTTTTGTGATATACAAAGGGACATAACTGAAGTAGCGCTACATAATACCGGCATACAATATACATACGTGTTTGTGAAATTACCCCCCTTTGATTGATAGTTACATTGCTGCATGTTTTACGTTTTTCTGTGTCTTTTTCAGGTTTCCTTTCGGGACCAGTCTCTGACGTCATCAGCGACTGAAAATGGCGGACGGGGATCTAAATGTCGATAGTTTGATAGCTCGACTACTGGAAGGTGAGTACATGAATATGCAATTTAATATATGACTGTAGTAGTTTGTACGTAGCCTGTATATTATTTCCATCCAGAGTAGAAATTTATGTTGGTTTTGTAACTTTTCTGAGTCAGCAAATTACGATTTGTTTTGACATCTTGTGTTTTGGTTCAACTTTTGAGTTCCGGAACTAAGCTAAGATTCGGAAGGAAAAACATTCCTTACTCCTGATAGTTTGCCTTGTCCGTTCGTTATTCTGAGTTGAGGCATGCACGTGTATAGCGGCTATCTAATATTTAGCGTGCACCTGTTGTTCAACTAGTGCTATGCAGAGTATTTCCAACATGCTTGTTCAAAACTTGGAACAGGCACGTCAATGTCAAATATTGCTATGGTATCACCCCGGGTCTGTTAACTCAAAGTTACTCAATTTTAGGGTTAAATGTTAGAGCTACATTCGTAAGGGATGAAAATGAGATTTGCAATACTTCACAGTGTCAGTAGACTAGTATAGCCATGATACATCTATCAATGCAGCACTCACACAAGTTCGGTACGATGCAGTCTTATTCTAGTGTATTGGTGATACATGCATGAGAGGATGTTCTCTGAATCCTAATATATTGGTCTGGAACAAGATCTGATAGGTCAGCTTGAACAGTTGCTATGGTTATGCAAGATTAGAGCAGTGGCTCAGAATGTCATCCTGCTCATGTGTGCAGAGTGTTTTACTGTGCAAACTATTGTATGATGAGACACACCCTCTTGCATAGAAGAGGCGGTGGGGTAGCAAAAGTGGTGAAATCGTTTGCCGGTCACGCCAAAGACCTGGGTTCGATTTTCGCACATGGGTACAATGTGTGAAGCCCATTTCTGATGTCCCCAAACATAGTATTGCCGTAATTTTGCTATAAGCTGCATAAAACCATTCTCACTCACTCAAACTCTTGCATAGAACCATTTGATTTTTCATGTTTGCCTTAGTGTTTCATTTGTTTTGATTGGTCGCTTAAAAAATGAAATCCATTTCTTGGATCTTATGAATTATCAGTAAATTTGTTTACAGATTTTGCTTATAGCTAGCATGCTTGGGTCATTTACATCATTCTCAGCTGGAATTCTGAGAATACCTTCATCATGTAGGCCACTTTTACTTATTTCATCTGGTGTTAATTTTTGTGTACAGTTCGAGGATGTCGGCCAGGCAAGACTGTTCAGATGACAGAGGCGGAAGTGCGCGGCCTATGTCTCAAGTCGCGAGAGATATTTCTCAGTCAGCCCATCTTATTAGAATTGGAGGCTCCTCTTAAAATATGCGGTGAGTTAGTTGAGTTGTCACATTCTGCATAATGTTTTTATATGCAGTTCTTACTGGAGTTGCACCTAAATGAGCACCTCACATCAACACGATTTTATCAGGATAGTGCAGGGTTCATTCGAGACATTTTATGATATGCCCTTGTAGGGTTTGACATGATCACAAATCTTGAAGTCAGGGACTAGTAACAGGTTGTGAGGGGCTAAGTAGTCACAGAACTACAAAAAAGTTGAATTTTGAGCCTTATTCAGTTAATATGTGTGAATAATGGAAAGTAACATTTAATATACTACCGACAAAAACTAAGGGAACAGTGTCTGTAAACTTACGCTTTGGTGTCTAGATTAATATCGGGTGTGTCCACCATGTTTGGCGATACATGCACGATGCCTTAATGGCATACTGTTGATTAACTTTTGTATGGTTGCCCTTGGTATTGCTTGCCAAGCTGGCCCATGTTGGCGAGTACTGGGTCTATAGCTTACACTCTCTGCCTGAGAACATCCTACACCACGTACACAGGCTTTTACCTTGACTTACAAAAGTGAGACCACAATAATAATTTTCAGAGTCCTTTTTTAACAGTATGAAGGTCCTGTAAAGTAGTGAAATGGTGTAGTGTACAGTACATTTTGATAATTACCTTTGAGCCTGGAATTAGTCAGTGTTCATGTGGACAGTGGTGGACATGATGGATGAAATGAGACACCCATAACTGCTCTTGATGTGCTGTAGGTATAATGAATATTATTATTATGCGTCCCTACGGAAGCAGTATATTCTTTTTCTGCAATCAATCTCAACATTTGTGAGTACTGGAGGCACATTTGTGTGTCGTGTAACACCTGATCTTGCAGGTGCTCTATTGGGGATATGTCAGGGGACTTAGGGGGCCAGTCCAATGTCTGTATGCCTTCTTGTCTGAGATGTCGCTATATAAGTGCAATAATCTTGGACGCGACGTTAAACCCAATTTCACCTCGCCTCTTGTCTGAGATAATCGGTGACAACCTGAGCACGATGTGGTGCAATTAATGTAATGAAACGGTCTTGTCTGGGTGTCTTTTGTTTAGGCCTTGACGGCACTTGTCCCACTGTCAAGAAACTAAATGTTTTGATTTTCCAAACATTTGAGCAACTTTGGACATTGACGTTTACACCCGTCCACACCATTTTGACTTCATTGAGATACTGTGTTGAAGGTATTTTTAGGAAGTCCCCTATGGGGACATACCCTTTTGGCTTGTGTCTACATGCATCAGATGCTGTTCATGCATGGTGTGAAATTTCCTTATGATTAGATGTTGTTTTCAGCATGTTCAGATGCAACACCACAGTATTTCATATGTGCATCTCCGTGGTAGTACCTAATAGATATGTCTACAGGAAAAGAGTGCATGTAAAACATTTCAATTCAAAATTGTGTGTGATTTACCCTTGTTTGTCCAAAAACCATGATCCTTGAATACACTCAATACTAGATACTGCAACACTAACTGCTGTGTTATGTGTAATCATCCAAGATCTGAGATTGTACTTATTTGGAGTAGTTTATGCATCTATGTTTCATCTTTGATAAACTTATGGGACCAGGGTGCTACCTGGTTTGGTCTGGTGCAACTAGCTTTTCATTTCAACATGCTCCTGGTGCAAGTTAAAACACGTTTCTTAAATCGAGCCCTGGCTGGTAACATGAGGACAGAGGATGGCCGAATGGCTCCTTGGAACTTAAGTTGGAACTGTCAGATAAGTGAACAATACGAGGGTTCTGTCCTCTCAATGGTATTCCTGCTCTATAGTCTATACACACATAAAGTTCTTCTGCACTTTGACAAACTTTGTGATATTTGACTGACAAAAACACTGGGGGTCTTCAAACAAGTAATTTATTTTAGTTAGTGTACTGTTTCCTATCAGTACAGGAAAAGGCATGATTTTTGTTTACCCACATTTAATCAAGTTATACCAATTGAAAACCTAAGTTTCTAAGTTCTAGTACAGTGTGAGAGAAGAGTGAGGATGGAATGCATTTCCCTATTTTAAATGTTGCCCAGTGGTCACTATACTTGCTGGATGTAGTGTGTTTAAACCCCAGTTCCATCACAGCAAGTACATATGTAGTATTTGAGATAAAACCTTTAATTTCAGCCTGAGTTGTTTCCTAAGTTGCATGAATTTTACATTTGTATGGTCTATACGCAGCCCTTAAGGCTTTCTAACGATGTTCCTTTATCAAAACTGTATAGAAATAATTTTCTCACACTTTTCTGCTTTGTGATGGTCCCTAAACCTTTTTCCTTTGTTGACAATGTCAAACTTCTGTTTATATGGCAGACCAAGTGCCAAGTTCTCGGATATAATCATGATAATGTCTTATAACTATAAAAGGGGTTTAGCTTTGTCCCTTTCTTTGACAAAATACTTGTATTCATTGCATGCATGTAATAGCACAAATGTCAGATTTGAGAACCATGCTTTCACAGACACATCTATGTAACCATTCAGTTCAATTGTGTAGAGAGTATGTAATGATTTCCATAATGTAAACATCTTATACAGATATATTCTGTGTGTAGAGTCATGTTGTATGAAACATCAATGTGCTGTGTCATGGTGTCAATTGCCAGCTTGTGTATTGTGTGATTTTCCATTGACCATGGTGACACGAGGTTATTGCATATATTATAGCATGTATAGTGTGTTTCATTTTAGTACTTTTTGGAGTATTGGAATCGTTAATATCTGGTGTAAAGTATTTTCTTCCCTAATTTGCAGGTAAGAACAATGATTCCCCTGTTAGGGCTATTATTATTTAACTGATATTTGGGGAACATAATAAAGATTGAGCTCTCATTTGGCAATGGAGGACAAAATTTGTTTCTTTATATATCCGTGACTTCCTTGGTACTTTCTTCTCTGAATGTGGTAATGTCCCCAAAATCTTATGAATTGAAATGTGAACTACGGGTAATTGGATTTAACTTATTGTGCCCACAGCTTTATGAGAGTCTCAGAGTCTTTAATGATAAAAAAAACCCTTCCCCAGTAAATGTATTGTGTAATTTCGAGCTTTCAACTCGCATTTTCTTTGTAGAAAACTGTGTTGTCTGATCATTGAGGGATTATTTAAGAAATGCCAGGGACAGACTGTGCCATTTCAAAACTAAAGAGTGACAAAAACGATGCTGCTGGCTAGAATAAAATGACACCATTATGTTATGGGGTATTGGCCAATCTGGGATATAGGCTGACCCCTATCCTAAATTTGACCCTTAAAATCTCAATTATCATGAGCACATTTCTGGGATATGAAGATATTGGGAGTTAATGTATGTTATATATATTCCCAGAGTTAAGTAAGTTGATTATATCTATCTCTAAAATCACAGTGCTATGAACATGATGAACACATATTAGGTAACAGCTTCTGGGTTAATTACCATGGCCAGCATGACTGAGTCATGTGGGGGTCAGCTGCCTCCATTAAAGGTGGAGAACGGCTGGTTGGCTACTGACGCATGACATTGGGGATGAGGCGAGGAATACCATAGACCATAAAGGTATCGTATCACAATATGTGGCAGCTTGTCAGTCATTCGGCCAGGAGTTAAAGTCAGATGCTTTAGATGAGCCTGGACTCCACCCTCAGACAGGGCCTAGGCAGATAGGCTCACTGATGCCTTCAAGATGCCATTAGGCCATGGCTGTCCATTTACTGTTATACATTATAAATTTTTAAGAAAACAAGTGGTCCAAATTAATTTCCTCTTGGCCTAACACTAGTGAGCATGTCCTACCTCTGCCTACCTCTGCCTACCTCTGCCCCACCATAAAGCTGGTGTTTAATCTAAGCTGCACAAGCAAGGCCTACTTGTCTATCTTGATGTTTGTGGACAATTTAACTGTTAATCCAAATAATGACTTCGCCTATTGCCCTTTGCAGTCACCATGATAACCATGATAACAGCAGACATGGCTATGCCTAATTAGTAGATAACCAGCATGTTTATGTTCAAAAGATCATACTAAGGGGTCCGACTATTTGATAATCGGGTGGGGGCTGGTATTTTGTCGCACAATATTGTTTATATTATTGCAATGTGTTTTTAGACAAAAAATATTTTGGCTCATACTGTATTCGACGTAATAAGTGCGGAATTTGCTAATATATTGGCTCTGGAAAAATATATCTGTCGTGTATAACAGACTTTTCTTTTGTATCATTCAGGCTGTCAGCATAAACCACCGAATTTACGATCTTTCAACTCTTGAGAGCGCCCTGGGCGATTATTACGTCGAATACAGTAGTTTTAATTAAATCAGACAATTTTGACAAGTTCGTGAGAAAAGTAAATGCTAATAATATAAATTGTGAATCATTATAGCTACAGTATTCCCCCGAACTCTATCCTCAGCCCTTGGATCCCCTTTACGATCAATTAGCCCTATACGGTCATTAGGGTTAGGTACCCGTTTGTTGGCTATTACAGATTCTATAGCGATTCCTAATATTCCTCACACAAAAACGTCGAGTAAAAAGGATGGAATGGTTTTGTGTCGAATATTTTGGCTTCTGGAAACTGTCCTGGAACATTCACACAAGCCACTTTCACCAGCTACATTTTTTCAAGTTCTGATTCAAAAGCGAACTCACTGTTGTGTCGTCACAATTCATGCCCATGCCTCCCTCATTCCTTACTATTATCCACATCATCCTTACAGTGTTCTCTACCACACTTTTCTGTCACAAAAATCACCTGACCAATTATTAAATACCGTGTCATTCATGCGTACTCGCGAGTTCGACGTCTGATGCCTGGAGCCATTTTCAGTTCACGCTGTATCGGCTCATTCCTCACCAATCTGTTTCTTGTTGATTAAGGAATGGGACGAGTGTGCCAAATGGCATCAGGATCATTTGTGAGTGTCTATAGACTAAAGTCACGAGACACCATGCCTACCCGTAACCTCTGTAAGTGTCCGTCACCTATTCGACTTTTTTCATTCAGTTCCGTAAAGGTGTAGGCAGGACTAGGTAAATTGTACTCAGTTCATAGTGTCGACGTAGCTCTGTCGGACAGCTGTCGGGCTAACAATCCGAGAGGTTGTGGTACTGTATTCTAAAGGTGCTGCAATTATTTTGTTGACAGTATGAAGGAGTTGTTGAGTTGTTGGTTTGTTGCTGTGTTCCAGGTGACATCCATGGCCAGTACACAGATCTGCTTCGGTTGTTTGAATACGGAGGTTTTCCACCAGAATCTAACTACTTATTTCTTGGAGACTATGTTGACCGAGGCAAACAATCTTTAGAAACCATATGTCTCTTGTTAGCATACAAAATCAAATATCCTGAGAACTTTTTTCTTCTCCGAGGGAATCATGAATGCGCCAGTATCAACCGTATTTATGGCTTCTATGATGAATGTAAGTATTTATGTATCATATAATTTACTGATTTCCATGATCCATATTCATGATCATAATAATATTGTTTATGTGTACATTATAATACACAATATAACCTTTGAAAATCTGGGTTAGCAGTGGTAGAAACTAACAGTTTCAGTCCACTAGTCCTTATAATGATAACATATAGCAAAACTTTTAAAAATGGCAAGTTTCTACTAGTCCTTATGATACCTTTACTATTGGGCAGTTTGGCAAGGACTAGTGCCAATTTCTAACCCTGGTTAGAATAAGTTTTCAGCAACTCATGCTTGCCGTAACAGTTGACTGTGCTTGTTGTAAGAGCCGACTACTGTAGATTTTTGTACCAAAATATGGTTGAAGGGTGATAGAATCAGGGCAGATGACTGGAAATGGTAATTTTGAACCAGGGAAGACACAATACAGAAATGAGAATCTTGATCAGCAATGATCAGCTTGTTATTTTATTGCAATGTATGTGAAAGGTATGTATGGATTTAGATTTTTTTGTATGTGACTTGCAGGTAAAAGGCGATTCAATGTGAAACTGTGGAAAACATTTACAGACTGCTTCAACTGTCTACCTATTGCAGCCATTATTGACGAGAAGATCTTCTGTTGCCATGGAGGTACTTGTGCTTGTTATTGTTAACAATAAAATGTGTAGTGGTAAAGTTACTGAATTTCTTTTCTTGTATTTATGTATAGGTTCCAGATGTCCCAAGCTTTGGGAAGATGCTGGTTTTTTTGTGAAACAATTGAAAAAATGGCATGGCTTGAGAAAATGCCATATTATAAGGCTCAGAGTTGAAATTTTGTGTTTGTGTAAAGTAAATTATCTGTTGTCTTTTGCAATACTTTTTATACAATAGTACTTTCATTCTTTAAGATTTGGAAACATTGTGAAAATTGTATTCTATTATTCAGATAGTTAGGGCAATGAGACTGGTAACAACCTGAACAATGACCATTGTATGACACATGTGAACAAGATTTGGATATACATTGAATCTAACAAAATGCTTTGGAATATTGTGGAAATATACATGTTAAACACATGATGTAGATGAAAATCTAAACAGATTGCGAGAACTCTATCACAATGTATTGAGATGTAACCATGACAACTATTGCGTTGCTAGGTTTGTCACCTGATCTGCAGTCTATGGAACAGATCCGGCGTATAATGAGACCAACGGATGTCCCTGACACAGGTAGGCAACCACAGGTGGACTGGCACACATCCAGCGCATGTAGACACACACTCAGACACACTCAGACACACACTCAGACACACGTGTATACATACACTCAGACACACATGTATACATACAGTCATACACACGTGTATACATACAGTCATACACACATGGAGACACACACTCAGGCACACATCCAGCACATGTAGACATACACTCAGACACACGTGTATACATACACTCAGACACACGTGTAGACATACAGTCATACACACATGTAGACACAAACTCAGGCACACATCCAGCACATGTAGACATACACTCAGACACACGTGTATACATACACTCAGACACACGTGTAGACATACAGTCATACACACATGTAGACACACACTCAGGCACACATCCAGCACATGTAGACATACACTCAGACACATGTAGACACACTCAGACACACATGTAGACATACACTCAGATACATCCTGCACATGTAGACTCACAGACACATCCTGCATGTGTAGACACACTCAGCCACACATCCTTGACATTTAGACATACACTTAGACACACATCCTGCACATGTAGACATACACTCAGACACACATCCTGCACATGTAGACGTACACTCAGCCACACATCCTGCACATTTAGACATACACTCAGACACACATCCTGCACATGTAGACGACGCACTCAGACACACATCCTGCACATTTAAACATACACTAAGACACACATCCTGCACATGTAGACATACACTCAGACACACATCCTGCACATGTAGACGACACACTCAGACACACATCCTGCACATGTAGACATACACTCAGCCACACATCCTGCACATTAAGACATACACTTAGACACACATCCAGCACATGTAGACATACACTCAGACACACGTGTATACATACACTCAGACACACGTGTAGACATACAGTCATACACACATGTAGACACACACTCAGGCACACATCCAGCACATGTAGACATACACTCAGACACATGTAGACACACTCAGACACACATGTAGACATACACTCAGATACATCCTGCACATGTAGACTCACAGACACATCCTGCATGTGTAGACACACTCAGCCACACATCCTTGACATTTAGACATACACTTAGACACACATCCTGCACATGTAGACATACACTCAGACACACATCCTGCACATGTAGACGTACACTCAGCCACACATCCTGCACATTTAGACATACACTCAGACACACATCCTGCACATGTAGACGACGCACTCAGACACACATCCTGCACATTTAAACATACACTAAGACACACATCCTGCACATGTAGACATACACTCAGACACACATCCTGCACATGTAGACGACACACTCAGACACACATCCTGCACATGTAGACATACACTCAGCCACACATCCTGCACATTAAGACATACACTTAGACACACATCCTGGACATGTAGACATACACTCAGCCACACATCCTGCACATATAGACATACACTTAGACACACATCCTGCACATGTAGACATACACTCAGACACACATCCTGCACATGTAGACACACACTCAGACACACATCCTGCACATGTAGACACACACTCAGACACACATCCTGCACATGTAGACGACACACTCAGACACACATCCTGCACATGTAGACATACACTCAGACACACATCCTGCACATTAAGACATACACTTAGAAACACATCCTGCACATGTAGGCGTACACTCAGCCACACATCCTGCACATTTAGACATACACTTAGCCACACATCCTGCACATGTAGACGACACACTCCGACACACATCCTGCACATGTAGACATACACTCAGACACACATCCTGCACATGTAGACATACACTTAGAAACACATCCTGCACATGTAGACATACACTCAGACACACATCCTGCACATGTAGACACACACTCAGACACATCCTGCTCATGTAGACACAGACACATCCTGCACATGTAGACATACACTCAGACACACATCCTGCACATGTAGACGTACACTCAGCCACACATCCTGCACATTTAGACATACACTTAGACACACATCCTGCACATGTAGACATACACTCAGACACACATCCTGCACATGTAGACGACGCACTCAGACACACATCCTGCACATTTAAACATACACTAAGACACACATCCTGCACATGTAGACATACACTCAGACACACATCCTGCACATGTAGACGACACACTCAGACACACATCCTGCACATGTAGACATACACTCAGCCACACATCCTGCACATTAAGACATACACTTAGATACACATCCTGGACATGTAGACATACACTCAGCCACACATCCTGCACATATAGACATACACTTAGACACACATCCTGCACATGTAGACATACACTCAGACACACATCCTGCACATGTAGACACACACTCAGACACACATCCTGCACATGTAGACATACACTCAGACACACATCCTGCACATGTAGACGACACACTCAGACACACATCCTGCACATGTAGACATACACTCAGCCACACATCCTGCACATGTAGACATACACTTAGAAACACATCCTGCACATGTAGGCGTACACTCAGCCACACATCCTGCACATTTAGACATACACTTAGCCACACATCCTGCACATGTAGACGACACACTCCGACACACATCCTGCACATGTAGACATACACTCCGACACACATCCTGCACATGTAGACACACACTCAGCCACACATCCTGCACATGTAGACATACACTTAGAAACACATCCTGCACATGTAGACATACACTCAGACACACATCCTGCACATGTAGACACACACTCAGACACATCCTGCTCATGTAGACACAGACACATCCTGCACATGTAGACACACACTCAGACACACATCCTGCACTTGCAGACATACACTCCGACACACTCGGACACACATCCTGCACTTGCAGACATACACTCCGACACACATCCTGCACATGTAGACACACACCTAGACATATGTTCTGCACTTGTAGACACACACTCAGACACATCCTGCACATGTAGACGCACTCAGACACACATCCTGCACATGTAGACACACACCTGGACACTCATCCTGCACATGTAGAAATACACTCACATACATCCTTCAAGCTTTGTACAAACAAAGAAATTGTTCCTGGGATACGCATGCTTGGTAAAAAGAAAAATAATGGTCAACCCCTCCTTCAGTCCATCAAAGAAAAAAATATCCCAGGGCCAACTCAGAATATTGAATCTCTGCTCCCCAAGATGGAAATCTACTGAAAAGAATCCTAAGTCCTGTTTGGTCTGAACATATTTTGGCCTAGACTGCATGTGTATTGACACTATCTTGCTTGTGTTGCAGGATTGCTCTGTGACTTGCTGTGGTCAGACCCGGACAAGGAGGTTCAGGGTTGGGGGGAGAATGACCGAGGTGTATCCTTCACCTTCGGAGCAGACGTTGTCTGCAAGTTCCTAAGTCGACATGATCTGGATCTCATCTGCAGGGCACATCAGGTGCATAGATGTTTGTTGTCTTCCTTTTAACAGTGGTACCAAATTAGATTTGTGGTATTCAGTGAGTATTTTAGGGAAATGTTTACTTTCGACACGATGTGTTAGGACTGAGACCTACACTTATGTATGGAGGGGAGTGTGACATGTTTTATTGTCTGCTTTGGTTCATAATCATGTCTTCAATTCTGGTAAACATGTTACTTCTCCATAGGTGAATCTACCACACAACAAAAACTAACACTTTGCTACTGGGGAAAATTAGTACCTACCTGCTTTCCTTGATCAGAAATTGCAGATGTAGAGAAAAGCGCAATAATTCTAGTTAATTAATTATTTCTTATCCTGACACAACACAATTTCCCTTTTCACTTCGATCATATGACACAGAGCCCAAAACGTGAGTCTTCTAGCGCCGAGACACCCCTTCCCCTTGGTTACCAATCAGAGTTATCTGTCCTCAAACTCTCACTTTCCGTCATAAGGATACACATGTGCTTGCGTTTCAGGAATTATATCCTTTAACATCAGTCTTATTAAATGTGGTGGAGTTGCATTCCTTGGGCACGCCAGAAACCTATGATTGTGGGTTCGAATCCAGGTTCACCCTGATTATGTTTCTAGGTTTGTCAGCTATATACCTGTACTCCTGGGTTTCACCGAAGTGGTAAACTTCTGAGACCTTGGCCTCTCCTCCCACATTAAGCTGACACGCCGTGATATATAACTGTAATACTGTTAAAAGCGGCGTTAAGCCCAACACACTCACTCACATTTTTTGTATTTTGTTCCACATGTTGGAGAAAGGAAGATTTTCCCATTGAGCATAGTCTCATCTACACGTAATCCAGTGTTTACAATACTGCAAGCTTAGACCCCAAACCGCCATCTGTGGGATAAGCAGTGCAATGTATTGTCAGGATAAGAAATAATTTACAGGAATTAGGATATCCATGATATTAGTATACTTATCCTGACAACAAGACTCGAACCCATCCGTCCCCGTCTGAATATCAACCAATATGCTGATGAGAAGGCAGTGAGGGGTCAAGGACAGATAACTCCCAATTTGGTAACCACAGGCAAGGGGGGCCCCGTATGGAGATGTTGGCATTGTGTTGTGTTAGGATAAGAAATATTTTACATATTGTGTTAGTATAAGTATCCTAATATCATGAATATCCAAGATAAGTATACTTCTATTATAAGTATCCAAGATAAGTATACTATAATCATAAGTATCCAAATTCTTGTATGTGTTTAGTTTTTGTTTTCCCAGGGGTGGTGGGGTAGCCTAGTGGTTAAACCGTTGGTTCGTCACGCCAAAGACGGTGTTCCATTCCCAACACGGGTTCAATGTGTGAAGCCCATTTCTCTGTGTTCCCTGCCGTGATATTGCTGGACTATTGCTAAAAGCAGTGTAAATACATACTCACTTGCTTGTTTTCACTCCTGACCTGTGAAATCCGGGGTAGAATATGTCTTCAGCAAGCCATGCTTGCAATAAAAGGCGACTATGCTTGTCGTAAGAGTAACGGGATTGGGTGGTCAGGCTTGCCGACTTGGTTTATGCATGACATCGTATCCCAATCACTGGATTATCTGGTCCAGACTCAATTATTTACAGACCACTGTCATCTAGCTGGAATATTGCTGAGTGTGGCGTTAAACAACAAGAACAACAACTTGTTTTCCCAGTTGCAAAAAGTTAGGAAAGAAGCTGTTTGTCATTTATATTCATTGGCATGTTCAAGGCAGAACAGCTGACATGTGTCCCATCAGTTGTCAACACTGATGCTTGGTGTTGTAGGTGGTGGAAGATGGGTATGAGTTCTTCGCTAAACGACAGCTGGTTACACTTTTCTCTGCACCAAACTACTGTGGAGAGTTTGACAATGCTGGAGGAATGATGTCTGTAGACGACACACTCATGTGTTCATTTCAGGTGAGCTGTGTTTCAGTGTACAATGCATTCTTTGTATTTATCATTTAATAATTATAGGGACATTGGGTTCCAGTGGCCTAAGACACCATAAATTACTATGCAGGGTTGCTTCCTTAGTAGGGCGAATGGCTATTGATGCAATGATTTCAAGACATTTTTACAGTATATGTCAGACCGCCTCGCGGTCTAGTGGTAGAGCATCCGCTCAGAGAGAGGATGGTCCTGAGTTCAATCCCCAGTCGCGTCATACCACAAGGATTAACCCTGCCTGGTGCTTGGCATTAAGGGGCTAAAACAAGGACAGGGCGGCTCGGAGTCAGTGTACTGTGTCTGAGAGGGGTATTCATGTTTAAAGTGTGGCATGGCATCTCTGGGCTAGCACTATAAGTCTGGACTAGTACAAGCAGCAAAACACACACACAATTTACTTTACAGTGCTGCAATTCGCTGGGCCATTGTTTCTCTTGCCTTTGGTTTGAAACCCAGGTTCCCCTGATGACCATTCATGTTAGCACCTTACCTGTGCTTGTGGTATTTCCAGAGGTGGTCATAGGTACAGTGTGTGAAGCCCTTTTCTGGTGTCCCCTGCCGTGATATTGCTGGAATATTGCTAAAAGCGGCGTAAAACCATACTCACTCACTCCATAGGTGGTAAATATGTACAGCCTGCGTCACCTCCCTCCCACATCAAGTGCAGACCATTTTATGACCGTAACTCAGGCGTGCCTTAAACTAGGGATCTATGACATTAGCCACTTGTCCGAAGCAAAGGTCTAGTAAAACATTTTTCAGTGTTGTAAGCTCAGCTGAATATAAACTATGCGATGAAAGTCTTCTGCAACAATCTTCGAAAGACAAGTTCGGGTTAATAGACAAAAACATATTTAGCACATTTAGCTGGTCTGACTGACTGATCATGCTGATTGGGAACTGATTGGGAACTGATTGTGTGGATTGTTGCTTATTCTTGCATATTAATGGTTTGTCTGGTCCAGTCTGGATAATGTCACCATTTTTGGACTATTTCACTCCAAATTGTTTGGTACAGACAGTGATTATGAAGCTGCCTTATGTCACAGGGGATGCTTTAAGGCTTTGTCAGAATCTTGTTTAAGTAACCTTGCAGTACAAGTAGATGTCCTTCATCATGTTCATAGATTATTTTGTTGACACATTGATTAGTCATGTCAAGGATCATAGCCATCCTTGAGGTCATAGCTAGGAGAAATGTTCATTGTTATGGCAACACGAGAATCATTTACTGTATAATGCTCTAGATCAATGAAACTTGGTATATGTCATCCTTGGGGCAAAGCCCTGAACTGGAAAAGTGTGTTTGTGACCTGTGTTTTTCCTAACTGATTGTGTGTAACCTGACTGATTGTGTGTTACCTGATTGATTGCGTGTTACCAGACTGATTGTGTGTTACCTGATTGATTGTTTTACCTGATTGATTGTGTGTTACCTGATTGATTGTGAGTTACCCGACTGATTGCGTGTTACCCGACTGATTGTGTGTTACCTGAATGATTGCGTGTTACCTGACTGATTGCGTGTTACCTGATTGATTGTGAGTTACCTGACTGATTGCATGTTACCTGACTGATTGCATGTTACCTGACTGATTGAGTGTTACCAGACTGATTGTGAGTTACCTGAATGATTGCGTGTTACCTGATTGATTGAGTGTTACCAGACTGATTGTGTGTTACCTGATTGATTGAGTGTTACCAGACTGATTGTGAGTTACCTGACTGATTGCGTGTTACCTGACTGATTGTTTTACCAGACTGATTGTGTGTTACCTGATTGATTGTTTTACCTGATTGATTGTGTATTACCTGACTGATTGCGTGTTACCTGACTGATTGTTTTCCCAGACTGATTGTGTGTTACCTGATTGATTGTTTTACCTGATTGATTGTGTGCTACCTGATTTATTGAGTGTTACCAGACTGATTGTGAGTTACCTGACTGATTGTGTGTTACCTGACTGATTATTTTACCCGACTGATTGTGTGTTACCTGATTGATTGAGTGTTACCAGACTGATTGTGAGTTACCCGAATGATTGTGTGTTACCTGATTGATTGTTTTACCCGATTGATTGTGTGTTACCTAACTGATTGTGAGTTACCCGACTGATTGCGTGTTACCTGACTGATTGTGTGTTACCTGAATGATTGCGTGTTACCTGACTGATTGTGTGTTACCTGATTGATTGCCTGTTACCTGACTGATTGTGAGTTACCTGACTGATTGCGTGTTACCTGACTGATTGAGTGTTACCAGACTGATTGTGAGTTACCTGATTGATTGCTTGTTACCTGACTGATTGTGAGTTACCCCACTGATTGTGTGTTACCTGATTGATTGTTTTACCTGATTGATTGCGTTTTACCTGACTGATTGTTTTACCCAACTGATTGTGTGTTACCTGATTGATTGAGTGTTACCAGACTGATTGTGAGTTACCTGACTGATTGCGTGTTACCTGACTGATTGTTTTACCCGATTGATTGTGTGTTACCTGACTAACTGCGTGTTACCTGACTGATTGTGTGTTACCTTAACCACCAGATTCCCTGCTGATATTGCTGGAATATTGCTAATAACTGCATAAAACTATACTCTCTCACTCACTTACTCACTCATTATTTTCAAAATATGTGTGTACAGAAATTGTTTTTTGTTTTCAGATTTTGAAACCATCTGAGAAGAAAGCCAAGTACCAGTATGGAGGATTAAACTCGGGTCGACCAATTACACCCCCTCGGGGGCCCCAGAAGAAAAAAAACTGAAATGAGACCCCTGGATCAATATCATCTTCATCACACACCCATCACTATATTTGTACCGCTGACAGGCAACAAACCAATCAGGATTGATCTTACATCTGACAGGCAACAAACCAATCAGGGTTGATCTTACATCTGACAGGCAACAAACCAATCAGGATTGATCTTAAATCTGACAGGCAACAAACCAATCAGGGTTGATCTTACATCTGACAGGCAACAAACCAATCAGGGTTGATCTTACATCTGACAGGCAACAAACGACAGGCAAAAAATCAAGACCACTAAGAATGTTGTTTGTGTGTATATGAATATCTGCTGAGTTGATGCAAAGGAAATTTATGAGGTTGTACAGATATTTGAAATTGTAATTTGGTTAAAATGTATATGGACAGTACATTTGTTTTTATTAGACTTGTTGAACTGGTTCCAAACACTTCTCAAAGTTTGGACTTTCTTGCTGTCCAGCATATATCCTGCACTGAAATATATGACCAAAGTTATATGAGGTGTAGTTTCACAGACCTATTTGCTGACATAACAGTCGTACAACTTCTTTTCCTTCGTTCTGTTAAATGTTTTTGTTACCCCTGTATTTAAAGACGGTAAAGATAATGTTGGACATCAAGACATTTGTGGTGAGTGTATATTAACTGATGTACCACAAGTTTTAATTTTGTAGGTAAAAGTAAATCTGCACCAGTTTTGGGACACAATACATTGATTAGGCTCATGAAGCAATGGTTGCATGGCTCTTAAAATAAGGGAGGGAAGTGTGGATTTTGTTTTTTGACTGTTATCAATGTAATTATCACCCTCACCAAATAACCTCCCATATTATCACTAGGGGTAAAACGATACAGGAAGGTCACGATACGATGCATATCACGATACAAAGGTTCAAAAGGAAAAGCTAGCTGTAGAAACTTATTTGTTGTGGCTCTTTTTAGCAGTGAACTTAATTGCAACACATTTTGCGATCTTTGACTGACAAAAATGCTGTGACCTGTGTCAGAAAGTTATTATGCATGGTGCTTCTCTATTGTGTGTAACTTATAAGGATGTGGGATAACCAAGTGGTTCAGCTTCATGCTGAAGATCTGCCTGGAGTATTGTAGAAAGTGACGTAGAAATGTACTCACTCATTCGCACTATAAAGGTTTACTTGAGTTTGTTAGCAGTATGATCAGTTAGGAGGGACAAGAGTGAAGATCTTTTGTTACTGGAATTAACTCTGTGAAATAACCAGCCTGATAAGTATCCACATGTTGTAGCAGTGACAATTAGTGCCCCTGTGACTTGATTAATCGCTGCTAGTTACTGTGATAAAAGGATGTAAATCTTAGTTTAGTACACATGGCAAATATTCTTGATGGATTTGATACAGGAGTGAACTGTTGACAATTAATAGAACTGATAATAATTATAATAATACTTAATATACACATGATATTGTTGCAAGATGGGCACAAAATGGGAGAGTAGATGGGGGATTTTGTACGTCATGACCATGTTGCAGTGCCGTGTACTGCAGAAGATGCATCACTGTTTTACTTGATGAATAATGCATATTAACCTTGGTTTGTCCAACTTGCTTTGCCTGAACAAATTTTGTATCTACAACACTTGTTTTACACACTGACGGTTGTTTTTTTGAATGGCATTGCTATTTCTTCACTTGGCATGTCTTGAAAGTATATTTGTTAACAATAAACCATGCACAATGCAACAATTTGCGTGTAAACGTTTGCTTATTATTTAACGTATAGCTTAATCATGCCTACATTCTTACAAGAAATATTTTCTTTCCTTCAAGTTTGTTCTATGCTACTGTATAATATTTGATGTCGTGTCAGTGATTTTGTGCAATGCATTCAAGTGTAAGCTATAGTTTTAAGATTGTTGCTCTACACTTTCGTTGAGGTATAGAACATGGGATATTCATTTTCTAATGGTTCCTTACCAGTGTCTTATGTTCTTTGTTATATTTGTAAAATAGCTCTGATTATATATACCATTTAGTGCCTTCCCCCTTAATGCCTGACTTGTTTGTTTCTGGTTGTCAGACGTGCATTATATTATTGTTTAAGAAGTGTAGTGAATTGCAGCCTATGTATTCTGTGTTGTAGGCAAGGTCACAAATTAATTAATTACTCGGAATTGCCACATACATTTTCTGTTATTTTACTTCTTTGTGGGAATGTTTTGGATTCCAAATGTTTTTGTTTTTGTCTCCACTAGATTTATTTCCCTACCTGTGCGACCAGTTTTGATCTGTATTTTCATGACAAGGGCAAATAACTCTAACACATTTCATATCAACTCTTATGGACATCTCTGCCACTGTTTGGATGTCACCAACATGAAATAATTAAAATCATCATTATTTAAACTGAAGTTTTTCTCTCTTTTTTCTAAATTAACACATACAATCTGTCAAACAAGTACTTGTTTGTTTGTACCTTTATGATGTGTTGAACATTATTGAAGTTTTGAAATATACACTTAAGTAAGATGAAGCTAGGGCCAATTTTCAGCCCAAAGCATCACATTGTTAGTATGCTGTAATGTTTGGTATCAGGCTAGCAGACAATAATAACACTACATACACAGACAATGTCCAAGTTTCCCACATGCAACTAATTAGACCCAAACTGAGAAGGGGTTTTAGATTGTAGTAAGTTCCTTTAAGAATAAAATGTCATAAAATTAAGGGAACCTTGAGGTCTTTGAACTAGGGACCCCCTAAACCTTTAACTTTTAACACTAGGGTTATGACAAGGACCTCTTCACTTTCATGCTTAATTTCAAACACTGGTTCAGTACAATTATTTTAGTAATTGAGCATCCACATGAATTGTGATGACCATAAAGCCATACTTACTCCTACACTTATTTTCTTTCTTTCCTCTGGGCTATTTTTCTTTACTTTATCTCCTTTTCAAGTGTTTTTATATTTTGAACTGGTTGTTGGGTTATCTCCCTTTATTGGTTATTGAGGTTAGTGAATAGGGACAGCAAGGTATGGCAAAATGCTTTGTTTAAACCTTGTAAAAGCCAGTGACCAAAGAATAAATTGCTATCGCTTTAAATTGAAGTGCCAGCCCATGCTACTTTGAATGGATCAGATTAGGACAACAGCCATATGGCATTAAGAGACAAATTAAATATGTCAGTATTTAGTCATGTAGGATCTGGAATGGTCTCTCTTATCAAAGGGAACCTACTCCTGTCCGACTGTCCAGAGTGTAAATATAGTCTTGAACTATAGTCATTGACTCTCCGTAGTAGAAAACATGTAGACTGCAAAATGTGTGGTCTAATTTGGTTTGAAAACGTTTCAAAACTGAAGGAGAGGTACATTTAGGGTAAGTAAGAATCTCAATCCTAGAATTTTAGTAGAAACAGATTGTTGTTAACAGAATGAACATGTTATGTACCATTAAAAAGTTGTGATTTGTTTAGTAACAGAAAATATATATTTTGTTTGCAGCTGCTTTTAGACCATGTTGGTTTTTTTCGTTCGATCTTTTATTTTTTATTTGTTGGTTTATAAACCTTTTGCCCCCCAAACCAATGTTGAAAGTAAGGAAAAAGAATACAGAACATTTCAGCTCCCAAATTGCCTAACAATTAAATAATGAAAAAGAATTAAGTTTCCACTTTGGATGACATGAAGGTTAGTATTGGTGGTCGATATTTCGATTGTGTTTTAGTAGGTTCCATGATCTATGTATACACCCAAAAGTTAAGGAGAACACAAGTGTGTTCATCAGGGTTTTGAAGGATGAAAACAAGTTCTGAAGTTATCAATTTGTGCACAGTAAGGGAATCCTCCTGCTACAAACTGCATCACGGGCATGTTCCTGGGACCACACCTACTTGTCAAGTCTCTTTCAGCCTCCTCCTCAAAGCCTTCTTCTTTCTCTATTTTTTTTCTTTGCATTGGTCAATTTTTGTAAGCCAACTAATAAAACTAAAAGGTGTAAATGTTGTGCTGTTGGCGTGTTTGTGACCGTACATCAGTGAGACTAGTATGTGTGTGCCCTGCTCCTACAGCCATTGTTCATTACCTACAGTGTCACCTGGGACTGTGCTATCTGCTTGTACTTGCAGAGCAAATGTATTGGACCATAACAATCCGATACACTAAAACAATACACACATACTTCATCTGTACTAGTTGACTGCAGGGCGTGGGGTAGCCTAGTGGTTAAAGGGTTTGCTTGTAATGCCGAAGACCTGGGTTCGATTCCCGACATGGGTACAATGTGTGAAGCCCATTTCTAGTGGTTCCCCTCACCATAATATTGCTGGATAATTACTAAAAGTGGCATATAACCCAACCAACTCACTCACTCACTCCATCATTTGTAGATGGTGTAGGGTTACATCAACTCTAAGATTGGGTTCGAATTCCAGATTTGCCCAATTTTTGACATCAGAAAGATGAATATAGTTTGTATTGGTTATGTGACCCTATATAGAGACAACCCTGAGACAATGACAACATGACACCTATCTTCAAAACAGCTATACTATTGTACTTGTAAGTCGGCATGTGGTTGATAAGCTGAAGTGGGTTGGGTAAGAGTAAGATAACAAGTATTTATTCTGACAGTACATGGAATGCATTAGTATAAGGCTACATAAATAACTTGTTCTCAGACAGTGATGGGTGTAGGGAGCATTGATGGCCCCATCATCGAAGGTGCCGCAATTTGTTGTGCGGACTTGCCAGAATCGTGGTTTCATTGATGCCCTGATGATGTGTCTTGGTTTCTCAGGGCCATACTTTGGCTTGCTGGTTTCACCAGAACCTGCTTCAGGCTTCCTCACCCATCAGACACGCCATGATGTAACTGAAATGTTGAAAGTCACTCACTCAATGTTGTTTGGAAAATTGATAGTCAACCTGTTCATTTTATTTGTTAAAACATAATGTACTCAAGGATTGTAATTTTCAGTTTTGTGTTAAGCAGATATATGTTATGATTTGACAACGTGGCTGAGAACCAAGTGTATTTTTAAGGCCGATCAATCTTCTAACAACACATAGACATTATTTTACATGTATAGTGTCCATATGGTTCTTGTATTGAACAAGTATTCATAAAACAGCATGACATTCTCTGTAATAATATAGGTTGGTACGATACCCTGCATTATTTAACTCTGTGATACACTTAAATTTGTATCAGTATATACTGGGGTATTGTTTCACCAATTATTTCAGTATTTCTGTACACTAAATTGTCTGGTACTAATCAACTGCATGGATATATCATACAAGTCCCTTGTTGCACTCTGCTGTTTTACAAAAACATGACTCTTTACGAAGATGTGTAAAAAAAATGAATCAACTTTTCTTTTCATCAGTTGTATGCAAATTGAGTTCTGCTCCAAAATAGTGCATCATATCCCTTATTCCAGTGTATCACGTCAGTCCTAGTAGCAGCCACCATTACTTCATCCAACTTGTCCAACAATTCAGGAACATTGATGTTAACATTTTTGAAGTGTACATTATATTTACGTACAAAAGACACCTACAGTCGAGCTTACTTGCACAATCAGTGTGGGAGCTGGACTATTTACCTTCACCACCGAGGTTGAACAGTTGACGATTTGATGAGATATCTTTGGCTGACATTAGCAAAATTGTTAAAATGCAGCAGATACATATCTTCTCTTCAAATATGTGTTGTCCAGCTTTACAAAGTGTAGTCATTTGATAATTCTTACTAAGCTATTTTTGTATGCTAGGCCAGACCAATTTGATTCTTTAGTTTCCCAGAGAATTGAAAAAAACGTCCGTCTTTTCAGGTTTCTTTCATTTTCCTCCTTGGCTTTTGGACAAGACAATCTGTAAAACATGAAATAATTTGGTCTGGCCTCATTATGAAATATTCTGTATACAAGACAGTGTTATTAAATGACTGATCAAAAATAATTGTACAGTTTAAGGAAAAAATATTTTTGTTTTGTATTGGAAGTTTTTCAGAGAATTACATGTATATTGCCATATTAGATCTCTTAGATTGTTACATTATACATGTGAGGTGTCCGTCACCTTCAAAGTGTATCAAATACCGACCAGAATCTGACAAGTTTGTTGGTTGTGCTTCTTCAGATTCTATAGAATCATGCATGCTCCTCATACAGTATTAGCTGTTATTCCCCAACATGCAGGGATGCAGTTCCATTGGTATCAGCACAGCATCATTGAGTACTGTAATACGATCCTTGTATGTGCGATACGATACGATACGATACGATACAATACAATACACTAATTGTTTACTGTTGTCTATCGAAGACTTGATCCATGGCACGTTCTTTTTTCTGGTAGATTAATAGCATGGCCACAGAAGTTTTAAAGATTGAATTTAGATTTTGCATTAATGTTATTTTCATGTTTGCAAGTAAAACAAGCTTTCGCAAGAATAAAATTATGTAGCATCAAGGTATGACGGAAATGTAATTGTACGTTTCTACCATGGAGACCAGCCCAAATTCCAAGTTCAACATGTATGTATTCTAAATTACATCCTGTTAGGGTATTCGACAAGCTTTCAGACAGCTAGTAACCATGGTAACACTGATGAAAACATCTGATCAGTGGCGTCATGTCCTGCACGTTATTGAAGATCGGACTTCAGATCTCGATGGTGCCGTGCTGTGTTGCATGCCACTAGATCACAATACATTTTCAGTAGGAGTCTTGTGGTAAGAGCCATGCGGGAATCACTGTAGCCCGTGTGTTGTAATTTTATGTATTATTTATATCATTTATAATTACAGAATATTTGTTAAATGAGTGTTTGTTGTTTGTCAACATTTAAGACATTCTGAAGTTTGGGATTAGGTAGTCATCTTTGTTGCACACCCACAGTTTTGTCAACAAATCTTTGGGAAAGTAAATATTTCTATTCTTTTCCTTTTGATGTATATAAAAAAGCAGCTGAAAGACTTTAAAATATTCACATGACTTTTCTTAATATGCATCTGTCTAAGATCGGTTGATCTCACGCTGTCAATCACTGGATTGTCTGGTCCAGGCCCGAATATTTACAGACTGCTGTCATAGAGCCGGAGTGTGTTGTCAAAAGAACCAAACCACTGTTTATGTTCTTGGGGGAAAAAAGAAGTCAATAATATATGCAAGTTTTATTAGAAAAGCCGACCAGGCATACATTTACATATAAGTCTTCATCACATGGTCAGCTAGTCAAACATTCAGGTTGATATTCCAGTATTCCACCAAAATTATAGAAAAATGATACAAGTTAGCAACATTTAGATTATCTTTGCATATGCCGAAGGAACCTCATGGATGATAGCACCAAGCTGGTATAAGGTAACCAATTTGATTAACCATGAACGTCACATTGTTTTGAAATGAGAAACTGTCAATTCATAACAACAACCTCAAAACCATTATTCCAACAGTTACTTGATAGCCGATTTGTTCGACGGTTAAAATTGCCTGTGGTTCTTCATCTGGCCATGTTACTAAACAAAAACATACAAGCCAAATATCATTTTTAACAGTACCAACAGTTTGCCAGTAAAATGGACAAACACAGGATTAAAATAAATATAACAGTACGTCAAGTTTGCATCTAGAAATATTGGGGATACCTTCAAATGAAAAATAATGCAAGTGGTATTCCTGGTTGTTGAATCAAAGCTAATGCTGAATGATAATAGATTGACTAATGATTTGACAAGAGTTCAGCACTTTGCTATATCACAGTGGAGTTGTTCTTGAGCTGAACATGGGAAGACACACCAGGCTCTTCTGAAGACAAGAAAAAGTATGGCTTGAATACATGAATTAAGGGAGAAATGTATTGGTCCTTTTGAACTTGTAGGTTGAGAAGTACTTTTTAGGATGAGAGTATTAATCGTATTTAGTTTTTGGAGTGAACGCATGAAAGCTCATATGAATGGTATTACCATTATCTTGTTCAATTTGCATTCATCCACTTTCTAGTTCAGGAACACAATTGTCACATGGTGAAATAACACCATGAGTTGTAACACCACATAGCCAAAAAGTGGCTTTCTGCAACAGTAATAATTAAATACATCAACCGATTTGACAAAGACGATTGACAACCCATTGCTCAAATTATTACCCAAATAAAACTAATCCCACTAAATGAACATATTTTAGTATAGATCTGTTATACCTGCAGGTGGAAAGCTTAGAAAAACTCAGGCTCGAAGAAGTTGGCATCGCCAATCAACATGAGATGGCACACTCGGTGGTAGTCGACACGATGGTTATAGTCCACATAGTGATACCCATTCACATAGATCTGCAACAAAAGTCTCATGATCAGACATTTTAAAAGGAACCTAATACTCCTTAGTCTTTGAGAAAGCTTCAGAACTCCCTATTCAGTTGTAATAATCCTAGCCAGGTCTCGGATGAATATCTCAAACAAAAATGTGCATAGGAAGTAAGTTGGGAACAAGGTCGTATTGAATATTATTTTAGATATATTGCAGCGTGTCAGTTCCATATTGGAAGGAAGCATAAAGATGTTTATCACTAAACCCCATGAACCAGGATGGCACCGACAACCAAGGATCTGAATCGGGGCAAATCCTGGCATAGCAAAGGGCTAAAACTCTGAAAAGCATATCCAGCCCAGGATTGGGAAAGATAAATCTGCCTAGTGTTCCTTCTTTTTCTTTCATCCACATAAGAGCCAGTAAATCAATGAATTGATTAACTTGAACACCACTGTTTGCCAGGTAATCATTTTGGTGGTTGAGCAGTGTGGACATATACTGGACACAATGTTATTTAATGCCACGCTCAGCAATATTCCAGCTGTACGACTGCAGCCTCTAAATAATCAAGTCTGGATCTTCAGGGTATGATGACATGCACTTAACAAAGTTACCCAACCTGGCCACCTCATTCAGTTAGTCTAGCATAGGAAACTAATTCTAACCCAGATTCCCCGCAGGATTGCTCGCATATAGGATAGGAAAGCTATCACCAGTCACTGTGGATACGTGGATACCAGACTGCTGACAAGTATTTAAATGCAGTTAACCACTCACCCTGAACCTGTCCTCGAGGCAGTTGATGGCTACTTCAAATGCATCCTTGGATTCGAAGGGGAAGTTTGGTTGTTCCAGTTCTTCATCTCCCCAGCTACCATCCTCGTGGGTGTTGCGGACAGAGTCCTCTCCACTGAAGCGGGGGTTAAAGTGCAGGGCAACGTCTGTGTTGTAATCCTCACTGTCACCGCACTGCAGGTTGATGGCGAAACTTGCAAAGAAAGACAAGGTTAAGTTGTTTCAGTAACCTCATTCTTACAACTGCTATACGATACTTCTGTTATCATTGATTACAGTGACCTGAAAATAAACAGAGCCAAAAGACTGTTATCCTTGTTATCAATTGTAGTTTATCCATTCTGTTACGCTAAATACCCTGGACACATTCACCACCATAGCTTCGTTACGACCCAAATTCAAATTATACCGTCGTCATCCTGTTCTGTGTTCAGTTCATTTTAAGAGTGAGTGAGTATGGTTTTACGCTGCTTTTAGCAATATCACGGCGGGGGACACCAGAAATAGGCTTCACACATTTGAACCCATTTAGGGAATTAAACCCGGATGGGTGTGACGAGCGAACGCTTTAACCATTAGGCTACCTGACCGCTCCTCGTGATACAAGAGATCGAGATGGTGACATCACTTCAAAACCAAAGCTATTTATTTTTCATTATAATAGAGTGGAGATGATTGTAAATCTTGAAATTAACGCGAGCTTGAATTAAATGTAAAAAATGCGAGTGTTTTTTGCTCGCATTAATTAACTTCACATTTATGTCTCATCGCCACCACAGATTTCAAGTAAATGCTCAAATCCATGAACAATTACACCAAAACTATTACATCATGTTTACATGATTTGGCCATTCAGGTAATCTGTGTGTTTGATTCCTGTTGAACACCACACTCGGCAACATTCCATCAAAATGATGCAACCGGTAAATAATGGAGTCTTGACCAGACAATCCAGTGATTGATATTAAGAGCAACTGTCCGTGCCTTCAACCAAGTCATGAGTCCGACCAACCGATCCATATATCGCCTCTTACAACCACCCTAGGTTGCTAGGGACCAATTCTTCACCAAAATCTCCACAGGCTCGGGCAATGAGATGAACACCATCTTTGTTGATCATGCCTCCCTTACCTCTGGGCTTCCTTCTTGGCAGTTCCATTGACAACGACCCAGCCACCCGGCTGCAAGTTACTCGGGATTCTTTCAACTGATGGCAATTCCTGATGAAAAACAAGTCTTGCTGCCATTAGGCACTCAAAATTAAACTTCAGTGCACTAGAACTCTCGATTCACAAAGTCATCATTATTGCCCTAAATTTTTATGTTAAAGAAAAGAAGTTTCATGCGGAGGTGATGTGCACTTAACTTACAGTCAGGTGAGCTGAACATGAATTTGTGAAGCTTAATATATTTCAGTTTAATGGATAAAAATAAAAGTTTAACGTGTGCAGGATATGATTATTTTTTTTCAGCAACATGTACTTAATTTTCAGTCTATTTCTTCTTTTTTTATTAGATGTTGGCCGGGGTAAGAGATTATGCTATGCTCTTTATCAGTTATAAACTGACACCTGAACTACTTTGATAAACTTTGTAATGTTAATCTAGCAGCAGAGATAAACAGAGTTGCCAAATTCAAGCCCTTAAAAAGGTACTTAAAAATGTAATGGGCTTTTCAAGGCTTGACTGCCAAATTCAATGGCCTTTAAAAGTCTGAGCAAACCTTAGAAAACCATACAGCCCAAGTTTCTTGTAAAGGGCACAATTCTGCTGACTCACCAGTCTCCTGAGAAGTTTGGCTTGGTAGAAGTAGGCATCACCATTGACGTTAATTCTCCGCATGGCCTCCACATCGCATCGTGAGCGGAAGCTTGTCAGCTTCTTGCCGTTCACATAGATCTGAGAAGAGCAATGGAAGAGACTGTCCACATCATGAACAACAGAACACAAAGGGGAAACATGAGAGAGTCAGACACGAGTCTGGAATATATCAGTGTCATCCTGGCATGTCAGCTGAATGTGGAAGGAATGTCAGACACAAATTTGAACACTTTGTTTTTATGTGGACATAAATATTAGGTTGCATTTTTCAAGGCACTAAAAATTATGTGCATCTACTAAAGTAACTCTGAGGCTGAGCTCTCTTCACAAAAAGTCTTTTCTGACCTTGAACTTGTTCTTCTTGACGACAATTTTGACCTCAAAGGGAAGTAACTCTTGGAATGCACTGGGTATAGCTTCTCGCTCCTCCTCTAACCACTCCCCATCCACACGGTTATTCAGGACCACCTCCCCCTCCCCACGTCGGGGGTTGAAGTGAAGACCCACGTCATCCTCAAGGCTGTTGCCATTCATGAGGTTGATTGCAAACCTAAATGAAAGGTGGAAGAGAAATTAATGACAGCACACAGGACATGATTCGATGTCCAGGTTATAAGTGATATAAAATCTCCCTTTCAGCCATTGTAGTTGATAATCTTTCATCTCTTGGCCACCAGTATTGAGATAGGAATTATTTGTTTTACATGACTTGTTCCAGAAGATACTAGATACTGGTAGGCTTCAAGTTTTACAGGAATACAATAACAAATTTTGCTGGACATATTAAATCATTGAAGGTCCTGAAATTAATATGAATGAAGACAAAATCATTCAGCTTTACCTTTCAGAGACAATCAATGTCTTGAACAAAAGTTCTAGAGAGAGTGTGTATGGTTTTACGCCTCTTTTAGCAATATTCCAGCAATATGACGGTGGGGAACACCAGAAATGAGCTTCACACATTATACCCATGGGAATTGAATCTGGGTCTCCGGCATGACGAGCGAATGCTTTAACCACTAGCCTACCCAACTGCCCCCAAAAAGGTCCTAAGATGTACAAGACGATTCATGCAATTTGCTTATTTCTAAGTATGCGTTTGATACCTTTCTCCCTCTGGATAGAAGAATCCTTTGACAACTATCATGTCACTTTTTTCAAGACCGGAGGGGATCTCTTTCATGAAGTCATCTGGCTGTAGAAACAGAATACAACTTGAATGTCATGTCTCCAATAATTGTACCGAATAATTACTTAATACTTCATACAGTTTAAGGATGGCCTGAGGTAAATGTTTCAATAAACTTACGAGTGGCTCACAAAACTCCACATCACAGATGGAGATATCTCCATTGATGGTAAGGTAGCGGATGTCGTTGACGTCACAGCGGTAGTTGAACAGGGTGTAATACTTCTCGTTGACGTAAACCTGAAACAATGGCTACTACACTGAATAACAATTACAATGACAGATATACCCTGCTTACACATTCTACTACCTACTCTGCACATGGTAGGATCCAGTGCATTCAATAGTCAGTAAGATGTCAGTAATTAGAGATTTATGCTGTGTTTTGGTTACACAATCCTTTGTACATGAACATGATTCTTTGGGGATCTTTTCAGATCCATTAATAGTAAGTAAGTGAGTGAGTATGGTTTTAAGCTTTACTTTAAGCAATATTCCAGCACGGCGGGGGACACCAAAAATGGGCTTCACACATTGTACCCATGTCGGGAATCGAACCTGGGTCTTCGGTGTGACAAGAGAACACTTTAACCACTAGGCTAGCCGCCCGCCCGGGTTAATTCATAAAAATCCTTCTTGTTCATATCATAATACAATTCTTGATCTTGTGATGAAATACTGGATTTATCTTGGAATATAGAGGACATTTCACTCATGAAATGACATAAAATAACACTTTATGCCGGAACTACTTTCAGTCTGCCCAAATGACACTATTGTTTTCAGATCAGTGATTAAATACATAATCAATAGAAGATTCGTTTTTCTTTTCAGATATGAACCATTGTCCTCCATTGATATTATTATGTCTATTGACGAGCCAGCAGAAATATTGTCAATAATTCCCCCCCTCACTTACATTGAATCTGTCCTCCTGGGCAATGAACAGTGCATCAAACATTGCCCCTCTAGAAAAAGGGAAGTAATCTTGTCCCTTCTCCTCATCCCCCCAGCCCCCGAGGTTGGCGTTCCGTACCACTTCGTCTTCTTCAAAACGAGGGTTGAAATGGAAACCTGTTGTTTCACCGTCACAGTCACAGTTGAAGTTTACAGAAAAGCTGTTGAGAGAGAAACCATGCTACAGATCAAACACTAGATCTTTGTTATACTGCTCAACTTGATGATGATGTGATAGGGTGAGTGAGTGAGTGAGTATGATTTTACGCCGCTTTTAGCAATATTCCAGCAATATCACTGCAGGTGACACCAGAAATGGACTTCACACATTTTTCCCATGTGGGGAATAACACCCAGGTCTTCGGCGTGATGAGCGAACGCCTTAACCACAAGGCTACCCCACCACGCAGTTGATAGGGATACCAACATTTCAAAGCCTTTCTTGCTCATTAAGTTTCAAATGCGAGCGGTGTTGGTTTAACGCAGCTTTGTGTGGTATCAAGTATTTCAGTTGTATCATGCGTGTCAGCTTAGTGTTGGAGATAAACAAGTGTTACCCATGTTGGGTTTGGAAGCTAAGGGACACAACTCTGCCCTGACATGTTCTTCCTTGCTCCACTTGGGAATAGCACCCTTCCTGAACAGTCAGTGTTGTGGGATTTTTTGTTAAAAGCTACACTCAGCAATATTTCAGCTATATGATTGTAGCTTGTAAATAATTAACCCTGAACAAGACAATCCTTGATATTAATTGCAACGATCAATGCTATTTGGGCCCGTTGACACAATCAACCAAGTCATCAGGCTTACAACCACCCAATTGACTGAGTTGCCTCTTGTGACCAGTACAGGCTGGTTGGGACCTGTTCTAACACGGTATCCCCAGGGGATCACTGACTTGTGAGATCAAAGCAACAAACCAACAGAGACGGTTATAGTAGTATTTTGAGTCACGTTGCTTATTGCATGCATTTATCACATACATAGCAGAACAATAACATAGAAATAGGAATGTTGTACAAATTGCAGCACCATCTGGCATTCTTTATCGTCAACATCGTGCACTGACGTTGTGTAGTACCCCCTGTGCTTTCTGTCCTATGGCATCTATTTGTTTGTACTTTGACCAATCTTAGTAACATTTAATAGTTGATTCATAACATTTGACTTAAATTGCATACTTTTTACCTTCATTTCTGTTTATATATTTTTTGACAGAATGGCAGCCCATAGTAGAAATCGCATTGTAATGAATATTATTTGAGAATATTACCTAAGTTTTCTGAACTTTGTGAATTATACCACAAATGACAACACGAGCAATAGTATAAAACTGAAGAACAATTGTGAGTTTCATATTTAATAATCCAGTGCATGAGTACTATTGTCACACTAACTTCAATACAATCGTTTTTAACATTATTATCGGTTGAACTACTTTGAATAGATATATCACTGCATTCCTATCTATTCAGACAATTCTCCAGACAGGTTTGTATCTCTCCACGGTTGATCTGTTGATGATCCTTATGTCTTTGTCATACATGTATATAACACTGTACATCACCTAGTTCGGTATGTACACTACAGTGTATAAGTGAAGTAATACGTTCTTGTACCACATGGCCCAGTTCCAATAACCTTTATAAATATTTACATAACCTGCGATTATCGACCTCAAACCTAAAGAAAAGGTTTCAAATGTTTTATGAATTGACTGACTGACAACACATTATAAGACATGAAATATGAAAGAGTATTTTTAGTGCAAAGCAAACAAAGCTGCTTTATAGTTATTTCATACACTGTGGAGTAATGTTCACGCTGGGGGCGCAGGGCATGTGGCTGGTGTCTCGGGGTCAGGGAGGCCATGAAATGGAGGCTGATGGCTGGGTATGGGGTGTAGGTGTGTGGTATTCTGGGGGTCTGGGAGTTGTGTCAGGCAGAATATATTTTCAGTCAGTGCTTTAAGACATACAATCTGTTTCCTCTGAAACAAGGAGTAAAACGTTTGTTGTATCTGATTTGACAAAAATATGTATTATAGCTATTTCCTTATGTTTTGGTTACTACTGCATTACACAGTGAGACATTGATACTCCGGTCCTGTAACTATGGAAACCTCTCCTTCCACACAATGCTGTTTGGAGTAACCATATATGTCCAACAGAACATTACCTCTTGCCTAGGATTCGTTAATCTAGAAACTTGTTAATACGGAAATTTCATAGCCCAGATTAACAAAGTGCGAAGCTAAGCAAGACCCTATGACCTTAACCCCCTTTCCACCGACACTTACATTTTTAATGAACATTGTTTTGCTACTGGTAAAGTAGGACATGCTTACTCTCGTGAACACCTGGTGTCATCACTGAATCATGCATATCATTTTCAGCAGATGTTTGAGACTATACTCTCTGGGATTATCATTTTGAATCCCAGTGTATGCGACCCTTGCAAAGGACTGTACTCACGATTCAGCATCGTCCTTCACTGCTCCTCTGATCCTCACAGCCTGCCCCACACCAAACCCTCGCTTGAACTCCTCGAAGTAGGGGTTGGTCTGAAATGTACAGCTACAACTACATGCTTTCCTGATGATCACCAATATATTAGGCAGATCTGAACTTGCTTAAAATACAATTTCCACAAACAAAGTACACTTTGCTGAAATGGCCAAGTTTTCATGGCAAATAAGTTCAATTGTTTTGGGTGAGGGAGTATGTGTATTGTTTTCAGTACTTTAGTTACATCACAATGTGAGCTTGTGGAGCTTGTAGATGTTCCCTGTTTGGTGTATAACTCATGGAAAATGAGTGAGTGAGTTGGGTTTTATGCCACTTTTGGCATTATTCCAGCAATGTCATGGCAGGGGACACCAGAAATGAGCTTCATACATTATACCCATGTGGGAAATCAAACCAGGGCCTTCACTGAGATGAGCAAACGCTTCAACCACTAGCCTATCCCACCGTGCCCCAAGAGTAATGACATGGTGGTGATGAAACAAGGATCATAATCAGTGTCAATATTTTATATAAACCCATAAATACAGATCCTGGCACAGCTAAGGTATGCAACTCTGCATCTTGACTTTCTGTGCCTAAGAAAACAGGGTAACCCATGCCCCTACAAACAATAGAACAAGGTTTATTGCCAATCAGCTAATAACAACAAAGTCATATTTTCAGTTGGTGTACTGACATCCAAACTTAAGCTGGCAGTTGGCAATGTTTGTTTGTTTGTTGTTTTAACGCTGCACTCGGCAATATTCAAGTTTTATGATGGCAGTCTGTAAATAATCGAGTCTGGACCAGACAGTCCAGTGATTGACATCATGAGCATCGATCCATGCAATTGGGACACGATGACATGCATCAACCAAGTCAGCGAGTCTGACCACACGATCCTGTTAGTCGCCTCTTACGACAAGTATAGTCGCCTTTTATGGCGAGCATGGGTTGCTGAAGACCAATTCTACCCTGGATCTTCATGGGTCTCACACACAATGCATAAAAACATGGGTAAAACATGGCTCCAACTAGGCACATACCATGCTGTTCTGTATTGTGACATCAGAATATTCAGCTCCAGATCCAAGCTGAAGATACCGGATTTCACTAAGATCTGTACGGTAGCCGTAGGAGATGAAGTCCTTGCCGTTGACGGTGACTCGGAACTCGTCCTGAGAGGCATGGATGCGGACCTGGAAGGACCGTCCCTCTAGGAAGGGGAAGTAAGGCTGATCCTTTTCCTCGTCCTGCCAGCCGCCCATGTAGGAGTTGCGGATCACCTCATTTGACGAGGGACGGGGGTTGAAGTGAAAGGGGATGTTGCAGTCATCCCCGTCACCGCACTTTAGGTTAATGGAAAATCTGAAAGAAAGAAGAGCAATACATCAATCACAATGTGACACCTTCACTATCCTGATTCTAGTAAATGGTAAATACTATTGGACACCCAATCCCATTAGTCGTCTCTTACGACAAGCATAGTTGCCTGTTACGGCAAGTATGGGTTGCTGAAGACCTATTCTAACCCGGGTCAAAATAATAATGACTTATTGAGCAAAACTGCCTATCATTTCTTAAAATATAGTTAAATGGGTTGGGAGTTGAACTGATATTTCATACATCTTTTGATAATAAATGTACCCCAAAAAAGGGTCCTTTAGAAATCTTAATTGGCTATATATTCAGAGGCATTCAATGCAATAGTGTAAACTGATTATTTAAACATTTTTCTCTTTTTCAGTCTTGTTACTGAGCATGCTCTGAGAAAGTCCCCTTTCTATCAACATTTGCTGTGGAATTGAGACCAAATATCGGAGTCTGAGAATGGCTTGATCAATTCCTTGTCCCATTATACTGAAATCTCTTGTAGGCCTATGTACAGCCATCAAAAATAATATATTTCAAACAAGTTTTGGGGTGAGCAGGTGATGAGAAACAAGAACATTTATCGCAAAAGTCAGGGTGGTGGGTAGCCTAGTGGTTAAAGCGTTTGCTGGTCACACTAAAGGCCTAGGTTCGATTTCCCACATGGGTACAATGCGTGAAGCCAATTTCTAGTGTCCCCTGCTGTGATATTGCATGAACATTGCTAAAAGTGGAATAAAATCCAACTCACTCACTCACTCACTCACAAAATCAACAATCCTAATCAGAATCTGGAATATTTGTCTTTGGATTTTTATCTAACACAAAGGAACAAAATGAAACAAGAACCGTCCTCAGTGTGATTATTATTGCTTTGTTACATTTTACTACCTGAAAAGGGGCAATATCTGTCACAAAGAAACACTTGACCAGATTTATCTCCTGTAGAAGGTTGTTGTGACATGCCCAGACTTTCCTGTAACTGTACACCTGAACATAATCACCTGTCAGGTGTGCCCGGAGCACAGGTAGCAATCTCGCCTACCTACCTCATCTACCCACAAGCCACAACAAATCAAATTACTAATCTTGACACCTTCAGAGCAACTTCTAAAAATAACACAGGGATTTACATGAGAGAAAAAAAATGAATTAATGATTTCTCAAAATCTGGGATATCTGTCATTGCATTCAGAGCAATAATATAAAAGTATAAAAGCCTTTTCTCTTTACTGGTCTTATCAATGAAACACATGTTTCTGTGTGCAAAACTAAAATACGGGGCTCAAGATAGGTTTTTAGTATGTAGTATTTACATGTTATCATTCCCTTAAGTAGTGATAGTTTTCCTGAGGTATTCAATATATTTTCACTCCCTTCGGTCCCGTCTGTTGGGTAATTTTAAAGCAATAAGTGAACCTTTTTCAAACATTGTTTGTGTGTTGTTTAACACCGCACACAGCCATATTCCAGCTACATTACGGCGGTCTGTAAATAATCGAGACTGGACCAGACAACCCAGTGATTGACATCATGAGCATCGATCTGCGCAATTGGGATACAATGACATGCATCAAACAAGTCAGCAAGCCTGACCATTCAATCCCATTAGTCCCCTCTTACAAGCATAGTCGCCTTTTACAGCAAGCATGGGTTGCTGAAGACCTATGCTAGCCGGGATCTTCACAGGTCTTCAAACATAGTTCTACTTAAAATGCTGTTTCAGGTGACTTCTAATTTGCAAGTGTCCATGTTATAACCCAAGTGTGTCACACATCGTAACATCGACACATATCCAAAGAACTTTTGCGCATTATTCACTGCAGTAGAGTTCATGCCTGCATTTAATCAGTAAACAAAGATCTGAAAAGACCTACAGATGAAAAGGCTACATTGGGTAATTATAAATATTGGCTTTATACCATTGGGAATTTAAATTTTTCATGCATACATGTACTTGTATGTAGGCAACTCAATATTAATTGAATTCTCCTGATCTATTGTGAGTATTTTACACAAATACACAGCTTATCTGTATTTCTGCACTCCCTAGGGGGTTGATAATAACATTAACTGCAGAAATATTGATTTCGCACAAGGGAACTTTTGCCTTAGACCTGGGACCTCTGAGATTGCCTAATCAAATAACATTAACAGCTCTTCTTAAAACATAACAATGACCCTTAGAAAATAGAGCATGAAGAGAAATTTTATTTAAGTGTATAAGAACTATATGCTGGACTAGGAAGAATTATCAGATCTGTTGCATTACTTCTATGTATTGTCGCTCCGACCATGACATGTGGACAAACCACAAGGAAGAGGTTAGAGCTGGTACAAAGTCAATGCCATACCTAGGTGTGCCTATCAAGGACATTTTACCCTGGCAACAGTATCGACATTAAATAAAGGTACTTATTTATAACATAAGCATATCACAACTGTTTTTGAAAAGTTAAAGCTAAATAACATTATTATAAAAAGGCTTCATTCAATAGATAATATATCTTTATCACACACCCAGGTCAAAGCCCATTATTAAAAACATTGTCTATCAAAATAAATAACTTTCACTTACGCATCACATCCATACTGTGTCTTCCCTCTGATGATGATGGACGCACCAACTCGGAGTCCCCCAGGAATATAGATGTGTTCAGGAGGATCCTGAGAATACGAGAAACTCATCTTTAACCTCAGAAGATGCTAATGCAGACCAATGTAATATTGCACTCAGAGATATGACTGCTAGCTAAGCTTGTTTCCGACAAACTGTTTGTCTCGTGAACGTAGTGCCCCACACTTTCTGTTCAGACACACAGCTAGATGTGTTGGTGTCGACTACGGCCCTTGTAATGCAGCAAGTGGACACTGACTGAGGTATGGGCCGGCAGGAACTTGATAAGTGTTATGGGAGTTATCTTTCGACTTTCAACCTTGAACAGGCAAGATGTTCAAGTGTGGGTTGGCTGTACATTGATAGTATGTGGACATATGATAGGACGTTATAGGTCCCAATACACTTTGTGACTCGTGGTGTACAGACAATATTCAATATTGTACAATACTGCCAGGCTGGTGGATGTTGACACTGAGATAGGGTTACTTGTATGTATTGGTCAATATATGGGTGGGCATGTTGAAGTGTAGGCTTTGTGAGTGTTGGGGGTGTGTGGAGTATGGGGTGCACACCCCCTACACTTCTTAAGCATGGTAAAGTTTAATAAGCCTTAACAAAGCCTTGGCTGAGTCCCAGACAGGGCATTTCTGCAACCCGGGAACACAGGTATGAATTCAGTACTGTCCAGAGCTCCAGAAAACTTTTTGAGCAATTTTGTTTTTACTCTAGGGTTTCTATTTTAATTTGGTTATTACATTTTTCATTGGGTAACCAATATTTTTTCACTCATCTATTCATCACTCTATTGGGTTTTTCCCAAAAGTAGTGAGCATTTTAAGATTTTTAAAAAATAAATAAATAAAGTTTTAGATGTATATAACTGTTCTAAATATAGAGGCTTGACTCGGATATTAAATTAGCTTGTAATTGTTTGACGGAAATTAGCTTCTTTGAACGCATGCTGAAAAAGCTTCATTGGGTATTTACGCGTGCTGTTTTGATACATTTGAGTTTTTCATTTAATGCATGCATTTCTGTACGCAAGTTAATTGAAAGTAATTGGGTTTTGAATATTTTGGATAGGTATTTTACTCAAATACGCTGCTTATCTGTAGCACTGACTGTCTAGACATTATCATACATTTTCCTGAAAAGTGCTGGAGATTTGATTTAATGTTTGGCACACATTTTGTAATATTACTTGAAGTGGATTTTTAAATGCAATACAGGGGCTTGTTCTCACAATTAATTAAAGTTATTTGAGTGTGAAATTAAATAGAAAACCTGATAGACAAACTGTGAGGTTCTAGAGGGAGACGACAATTAACGATGAATTAATTCAATAACATACACAGGCTTTATCAATCCTACATACTTCCTGGGGTCATGATGTCAATGTTAAACAATGTTACTTGTGTGAGAGCTGTGGCGGATGTGCTGTGTAATATAAGCAGGATACAGTCATTCAATATTGTACAATATTGCCTGGCTGGGTGATGAGTTAGGGTACTCGTATTCATTGGTTGATACCATATGCCAGACCTACAGTGACATATTCTCAGGGTTTGGCAAGCTGGGCATCTTGTACCTGCACACAGCAATATTCCAGCACTATGACAGCAGCCTGCTCACAATCAAGTCTGGACCAGACAAATATAACAAACAAGGTCCCACCTTGACAGAGTAGGCCAACACACAATAAACAAAGTCAAAGCTTGACTACCTGATCCATTTAGTTGGTTCAGCAAGTCTAGCTTGCTGGGACTTTTATTAACTTGGAATCCCAAAGGGGGCAGTGTAGATGGCCACTCATTTACTTTCTCTGCTCTACTTTTGCCTTATTGTTTATATTATGAATAGTTTGTGAGTTTGCAAGTGAGCCAATGTTGCTTAAGACCACAGTCAGTAATGTCCAGCTATATATAATACTGCAGCCTGTAAATACTTGAACCTGTGTGAATGAGTGAGTTGGATTTTATGGCGCTTTTAGCAATATTCCAGCAACATCACTGTGGGGGACACCAGCTATGGGTGAACGCTTTAACCACTGGGCTACCCCACTACCACCTTGAACCTGTGACTGAGAGCATGAGCACTGATATGGGATGAATCATTAACAGAATTTAACAGTTCTAAAAGTTACACTTTACTTGATCATGTTTTACAAGGTTTTGTTTAAGCTAAATATAGAATTTGAAGTTCTTGCTTCAAATGGCATAAAAGTAAACAAGGTGTCTATCTCCGTAGCCATTAGCCCCAAAACATATGATAATAGTAAACAAGTTTTTGCTGAAACATGCCTGAAACTAGACAATGAATGTCGGGAGCCAGTCTTTCTGACTATGCACCCACTCCTTCAGACTTTTCATATCTTTGAATAAAGATATAAATTGAGTCAACGTCAGTGTATGCATGACCAGATTGTTTAATACATGTATCCAAATTCGTTTTGCCAGTGCTATGGTAACAAAATGCCAAATCGGACATTTTGTACCTCTCTCTTGTGACCTACAGTACAGTGCGTACCCGGATAGGGTCGGGTAATAGGGTGGTGGGTACCCGGGTAGTAAATTCGGACTCGTCCCAGCCCTAATGTCCACCAATTCAACATTCAGACTCAGGGACTATATTGCTGAGTGGAGATTTTGTCAGATCTCCACACAAGAAATAGCGGATCTGAGGAAAGCACTGAGCAATTTTAATTTAGACTGTTCCAAATCTTCATGTTTGTTACACGTGCGGTGTGGTAGACGTATCGTGCTTACCATTGAACTTCATATCTCACTATGTCACGTTACCGACTGTTATGTTCCTTCTTCCTTGATACTCCTTGTCATAGCCAAGCAGCACATGCGACTACGAACACGCCCCCTTTCAACCCCACCCAACAAGGGATCGAAGTGTGAAATATCTTATTAAAGAAACTGTTCACATTGAATGACACTGCCAGTGTCTAAAAGCAGGATGCCACTACATATTCAATAACGCTCAACAACCATTTACAATTTACGGAAACTTCAATTCGCACTTAGAGTGTATGATCACAAAAAGCACTGATACTTCATACGAAACGAGCCCTCCCTTACGCACGTGCCAATTGAGAAATTACAGGACGGCCAGGATCAAGTTACGTTTAATAATGTACTGCAACCGGAGTGCGGAGAAACCACCACGTATGTGTACCGATATATTTATTTGGTATTGTAAAATGTTAATAAAGTGGTTCGTCGGTCAATATGTACGAAGATGTTTATCTGTTCTAATAAAATGCAGAATGTTTCGGCTTCCGTGGTTGCAATTCCCTTAACAAACGATCGATGCAGATATCATAAAGCTGTATTTTTTAATTATACATCAACAAAAACCAATAGGCGGAATTCATATATAAAAAAATATCATATATTTACTCAAACATTTTATAACAAGGTAGATTACACCGACTGGTTCAATCGCACAGACTAATAGAGTGTAAGAGGTATGAAAGCTCCGTCGCATTTTGAAAGATGCAAATATTCTTGGCAAAACAGAGAGTGAGTTTGGTTTAACGTCGTTTTGAAAGCATGTCAGTTATGAAACCGCGTGTCATCTCGACGTGGGAGGAAAGCCCGAAGTGGAGCAGGGCAGATCCTTTAGGGTTTTCCTCTATGGTGAAACCCACGAGCATTCTTGGGTGTCCCCTGTCGTGTTGTGACGGGATTTTATGAAAAGTGCTGTAAAATCACCCTCTCACTCATGTACATGAATATCGGAGTAACATACGGTTTTTAACTGACTATTTTCGTAAGAAAGTGACGTCAAGATACTTATATTAATTCGTGTAAACATGTAGAGAAAACTTCGGAAAACGACACACGTTCTACACCAAATTACGAAACTGAAGTTGTTTGCGGATCCTTAGTATGTCTAGAGTGCTTGACACTCAAAGTTAAATTGTGAATTAATCCGGAAATACGCAAATATCAACCATAATCTTCACGACTGTAGCTTACTTAATTAAGACAAATAAAGTTAATAGAAAATATCTAATGGGGGGTCTCGACCGAGTAAGAATGGCGCAATGCATTCGAAGCGCTCGTAAAATATCAACCCAACAAGTAATATTATTTCGAAATCATTTCGAAATTAATCTGCAGCAACGAGTCTGGCTATTTACAATGCAATACGCGACACAGCGATCGATTTTGTTCAAATGAGTGCTAAGTAACAGGAGCGTCTACCATATGTTACATGGTCCCTGACATGATTTAGTGTTGATGTAGTTAAACGAACATCGGTTAGCGAGTGTATTAAACACCTAATATGATAGACCGTCCTTACTTCCCCACGCCTGTATACACATAGTAGCGTTGCACACGTATTACTGTGCATGTAACGTCAAGAGATCATTAATGACATTTATTTTGACAAGACAACCCTTCTGCACACAAGGTGCGATATCGTAGCTAGTACTGCTTTTTTACTGCCTCACATCCACTGGTTGCTATAATACGCAGCTACGGTTCACAACTCCATATCGTTTTAAGTCCAATGCGGATTTCGCACCGGCCTTGACAAGCTTCGTCGGAGTAAAAATCACAGATTATCGTAGATATGTTTGTATGCTCCATAGTTCCCAAACTGTTTATCTGTATCTAATATTTCCTTGACACATACATACAGACACTAGTTTGTTGTTTAATATATCTCAGCTATATAATGGGCATAATCGATTATCAATTTTATTTAAAGAAATATGCTGGATCCATTCTATTCGTCGCGAAAGCTACGTTTCTGCAGAAACATAAACATATCCACCTCTCTTGTCACTCACAGCACAGGAATTCTGCTGTAATTTAACTGGACGCCTATTTTAAACGACATGTCTTTCGAATACGGTTCAAAACGTAGATTTGGTAGGACATAGGTCCAGGGATTTTATCATAACAGAATGGATATATAGTACCCTGGATAATCGAGGATGTATCACGGAAGGGCAGTGCTCAGTAGAAAATATAGAATGCAAATGAAAGATCATGCTTGTAACAAATCATATTCGTTCTACTCTTATAAGTACTGGACTGGCAGTTGTTTTCTACAAACAATACTAACGATGTTGAGAAGTCTCCTGAGTAAATGAATGTTGTTCCATGCGGCAGTTAGTAATACTTCAGCTTAGTCCTAACTGCCAATAATCGAATCTTCAAAGCAAACCTGCCACTGAAATAAAAAAGAACGATCCACGCCGACACTTTTGGTTGGTTGGTTGGTTTGTTGTTTAACGCCGCACTCAGCAATATTCCAGCTATATGACGGCGGTTTGTAAATAATCGAGTCTGGACCTATCAGAAAGGTCATACGTACTTGAAGTCGTAAAATGTTACTTTACCTATCCTCGTTCAGACTGCTCTTACAAGCCTTCATATTGTGCTGATATCAGGCCCCGGAAATTCAAGGGGATTTTCATGCATAACCTTTGACAAAAACTTTGAAACACCTTTTTTCATTTGAACAATACTTTCATATCTTGCTTCAGTAAATACGGCGTGATTGAACAAGCCCTTATATCGCCAAACGTTAATTAACAAGGACGTTAGGAGACACGAATAGATAAGGGACATGCGACCACGCACCTTAAAACAAAACAAACACTCCATATATCGGGCGAGTCTACCTATAAACGGTTGAAAGATCGTGTTTAATAACTTTCGGTTTCGATTCTAAGACCTGATTAGTCAGTTGAAGCAATATGCAATATACAGTGTACTGCACGTTTTGGTCAATGCATGATGTAAGAACTAACATCATTCAGTCCCTAAAAAAATATAACCCGTTCTTCCTTGTAGATCGTTGATTAACTCGAATTGCGTTATGACTAAGCATCCAACACTAGTAGTTGTATAAATGTGCTGTGGCCATGATATTTACTGATTTACAGTTAACTGCGAATAACGATAATAGATTATATTATTCTCAACTTTCTGACTGACGGCGACTTTTCAGTAGGGATCACGTGTTACATAATTATCCATTCACAAAGTCCCCCATTCAAAAACCCTTATTAAGTCAGTTCAGTCGACATCCACTTAGCTGTTGTTAATTGCATGTGACCCAACATGACATCACGGTTTTCCCATACAAACGCATGGTCAGCATGTGATGAAGAGTCATCCCTCTACCTGTTGCCTCGTCAGGTTACAGTGACCGCCATCTGCCGCGCCGAGCAGTGTCAGCTGCAGACATCGTGTATACATACATCCACCTGACCATGTATTCGAGGGTTACGAGGGGTGGTTTAAATGTTCTGAGCCTAACGATTATGGGCTGTGTTGATGGAGTTGTTGCTAATTATCTATATAATTCGTTCCGAGGTCCACATCCTTCGGCCAAACATGATGGAGTGCCTGGATCCCACTGACGTAGAAGGCTTTCCCCCGGTGGCGTAAACGGTTCTCCACAGAAGAAATGACGTCATCATTTGCCAGGATGGGAAGAGTTGAAATCACACGTTGACAAATCTGGTGAATACGGAGGATGTTCCGTGATAAGAATAAGAACGTAAACTATATAGATAACAACTTCTGGTTTATTGTATGTAGCGATGTAGATTCTTACACCAAAATCAAGCTGGAGAACGGTGTAAGATTCTGCATCGAAACGTCGCTACATGCAATACACCAGAAGTTGTTGTCCATAAAGGTGTACGTTCTTATTATTAACTCACCAACTTCTAGAAAGCCAATCAAACAGTGATGTTTGATGAGTTCAAAGAGATAGTCTTTAAAAACTGGAATGGAATTTTTGTGGCAGTCATTTTTTTCTACAGTATGGGGCATAATTATGTTTTCAAGCATTTTCGGGGACATTTTTCAAGGCCCCTACGCATTTAATAACGTTGGTTACAGTTATTTGTGGGGAACTCAAACATCACCATTGACATTAACGCACATAATTGGTGACGTTATATCTGAGGACACAACACAATGTGACAATATCAGTACAATAATGGTGATTATGTGATAGTAGAGGAGAATGTAGCATGGATAAGCATAATCATAATTGTTGGGGCCTTATTTGACCACAGTTTTATCATAGCCCGTCAGCTTACCGTGAGAAACGTTCTGATTATACAGGGAAGGAACAGATACTGCAAATTTGCAGACTGCAGATAAGACGACCTTAACAAGTCTACTGCAAATCCAACATATATTCGCAAACTTTAAAGAAATAAGAATCTTTCAACACAGTTCCATGGTTACACACCAGTGTTTTTTTTGTTTTTGTTTGTTGTTTAACGCCTCACTCAGCAATATTCCAGTTTTATTACGGCGGTCTGTAAATAATCGAATCTGGATCAGACAATCCAGTGATTGACATCATGAGCATCGATCCATGCAATTGGGACACGATGACATGCATCAACCAAGTCAGCGAGCCTGTCCACCCGATCCCGTGAGTCGCCTCACCAAGCATAGTCGCCTTTTACAGCAAGCAGGGGTGCAGTGGTTGGTAGTGTGATACACCAAGTGAGCCTCTTCATTGCCACAAGAAGCTTCCCGGAGATATCCGATCACAGGTAATCCACCAGCCAGCACTTAGTGCCTTAGTATTGGGAACCTTTTTGCCAATGTTGGTGCAATGCAAAGACGATTTTAATAAAAACCTCCTTGACCTTATAAGAAATATCTTTCAAGGGCTATACGCGTGTTCATAAACCTGCAGATGCAATGTACATCATGTTACTGCCCAGTACTACAATTGGTGCACGTGGTCTTCTGGTGACATTCATGTAGATGCGAGAAGTTCAGTTAAAACAAAATATATAGAAATAGTTTCATCTTGGTTTTCCTTTTATGTAAATACCATAGTCACCCCTATTTCTTCTAACTTTGATCGCATAAATAAAACATAAAACATAAATAAGCACAAAGTAACAAATGTCATATTTGGGATAAAACTTTCTCTGTAAAGTGCAAATCCTAGTAATTTTTGGTGTTGAGTCCCATCTGGGACAAAAACACTTTCTTTGCAAAGTACAGATTCTCGAACTTTTGGGGGTTGAGTCCCGCCCAGGATTCGAACCCACACTGCCAGAGTGAGGCACCTAATCACCAGCACACAAAGTCAGCGATCTTTCTCATTCAGCCACCGAGGCTTAAACAAAAATGTAAGTCCTACAACTGGCCATGGGAGCCCTGCCAATTTACACTTGTCAGAGGGATACACAAAGTACGTGATCTAGACTACCAGTTGACTACAAGTGTAATTCCAATTATAACATTGGTTACATTTGACCACTTTCTAAATGGCATTGTGTGTTCATGGCAGTCAAACAGTTTTGAACATTATTTGTTGTGGCGAACATATTGTAAATTTGCTCCAGTATAAATCCATTTTTCAATTTTTCACTGAAAGAGCAAGTTGAACAGAATACTACTAAAACACTAGTCTGCCTCACAGAATCTCAAGCTTATTAGTTTCCTTTCTGCCTTCCCCTTACTGAAATGGTATAGCCCTAAAACATGAAGCAAGTGTAAAATTTTCTAAAAGCTGAATCTCTCATCTCAGTGTGGCGCTTTTTCAATTTATTGGCGTTCTTGGTTTCTATCAAAATTATATAATTTCAGAGACTAAGGGTTAGTCTACTAACATATCTATGAGTAAGAGCCTAATCCAAAACTACCATCATTAGAAATGGCTAATGAATTGCCTCGTTGGGTTTAAACCCGATATATATAAATGCTTACCACATTGAACATGATTTAAATATTGGTCAAGGGATGTCAGTTTCCAGTGAATAGAAACTTTATTAGTTCTTCCCTCTAAAACGTTTTTCAAAGAGTTGATTTGATCACTGTAGTTTCACTGTTTTGTCTTGGAGTGTTATGTTTCAATCCTTGAGTGTCAAGCTGGCCCATGCTGTCAGTGCCCTAAAGTAAACAAACTTGGACCAGCTTGCCCATGCCTGCTTCACTGGAGCAGGGGAACAACTGATAAGATCATGGCTAAAGAGTATGAGATTCAGTGAGAGGGAGGATGCTGACAGGAAGAGTTTGGGCTTGTGCAACTAAGTGTTTAGCAATTTCGTTATATCAAACTGCCCCTGTCATTACCTTCAATGATATATTCTACAGTGAATCTACGGTGTGTGTTCTGTAAACTACTTACGATTCTGCTGGACATGAAGGCCATCTTGACTGTAAATTACAACCAAACTCTGAAAAAAAGAAAAGACACAATCACTGCATGCACAACGTTCCCGAAAGACAACACGGTCCTACGACATACGTGACGAGTACTATGCACAACGTCCCTGAAAGACAACACGATCCTACGACATACGTGACGAGTACTGCATGCACAACGTCCCTGAAAGACAACACGATCCTACGACATACGTGACGAGTACTCTATGCACAACGTCCCCGAAAGACAACACGGTCCTACGACATACGTGACGAGTACAGCATGCACAACGTCCCTGAAAGACAACACGATCCTACGACATACGTGACGAGTACTGCATGCACAACGTCCCCGAAAGACAACACGATCCTACGACATACGTGACGAGTACTCTATGCACAACGTCCCCGAAAGACAACACGATCCTAGGACATACGTGACGAGTACTCTATGCACAACGTCCCCGAAAGACAACACGATCCTAGGACATACGTGACGAGTACTCTATGCACAACGTCCCCGAAAGACAACACGATCCTGGGACATACGTGACGAGTACTCTATGCACAACGTCCCCGAAAGACAACACGATCCTACGACATACGTGACGAGTACTGCATGCACAACGTCCCCGAAAGACAACACGATCCTACGACATACGTGACGAGTACTGTATGCACAACGTCCCCGAAAGACAACACGATCCTACAAGATTCGTGCCGAGTACTGTCAGCACGACGTCCCCGAAAGACAACACGATCCTACAAGATTCGTGCCGAGTACTGTCAGCACAACGTCCCCGAAAGACAACACGGTCCTACGACATACGTGACGAGTACTGCATGCACAACGTCCCTGAAAGACAACACGATCCTACGACATACGTGACGAGTACTCTATGCACAACGTCCCCGAAAGACAACACGGTCCTACGACATACGTGACGAGTACTGCATGCACAACGTCCCTGAAAGACAACACGATCCTACGACATACGTGACGAGTACTGCATGCACAACGTCCCCGAAAGACAACACGATCCTAGGACATACGCGACGAGTACTCTATGCACAACGTCCCCGAAAGACAACACGATCCTACGACATACGTGACGAGTACTCTATGCACAACGTCCCCGAAAGACAACACGATCCTACGACATACGTGACGAGTACTCTATGCACAACGTCCCCGAAAGACAACACGATCCTACGACATACGTGACGAGTACTGCATGCACAACGTCCCCGAAAGACAACACGATCCTACGACATACGTGACGAGTACTGTATGCACAACGTCCCCGAAAGACAACACGATCCTACAAGATTCGTGCCGAGTACTGTCAGCACGACGTCCCCGAAAGACAACACGATCCTACAAGATTCGTGCCGAGTACTGTCAGCACAACGTCCCCGAAAGACAACACGATCCTACGACATACTCGTACGACGTCGTGACAAGCTATTACCTTTTCCCATTACTGTTTTATTGTGAATATGTCTTATGCTATTTACCTTAATATGCTTGCATGTGTGATAAGAAACCGTAATTACTAGAATAATTTATGTGAAACAGTTAGATTAACATTTGGCAAACATTCACTCCTATCGTTCTTGTGTACTTAAAAACAACAATCAAAAACAAAATATTTCTCTTAGTTTGTTTAAAAATTTTTTTATTCTAATTATCGAATAAACACCGACGTCACGCGTAAAGTGTAATGTTTTGTTTTCAGCTCAATGGCATATCCGGGATCAGGTGTAACAAAGCATATACATCCGTACTATACGTTATATTGGGCAATTATTTCCTTATGTTAAAGGATTAAATTACAAACCCACGTTGAAAATATTTTTACAAATACTCAGCCTATTTAAGGGGAAATGGAAACGTGTATCTAAGGTCACAATTAGTGTTAACATGTGTCACAGATGAAAGGAGTTACCTGGTCAGTCACGTGACTCCAGCTCTATTTTGGAGAAAGTACGTGAGGGATTGTCCAGTGACGCAACGCGCACTAGAACAGGGCTATCCCTCACATTAATCGTAGTGTTGGCTAAATGCAGGTACTAATATACCTTGCAACAGTAGAACGGCTACACGCGAACATACATTAGAATAGCAATTACCATACAATTACGAGTCGTATCGTGATGAGACTGCAAGAAACAGTCTAGCCGTGCTAATGTATGATGAAGGCGAATGGGCGGCAAAGTAAAGGTCAGCCTATCCGGATACATTCTGAAGTGTCGCAACAGAAGTACAAACGTGATGGGGACAATGACATATACCTTGATTCATGCGCTCGTGCGATCATTGTTTAAATTCTAGATTGATGTCTATGCATCCACTGCAAAATAAAAATGTAAAGTCAATCTTTCACACCCTAGAAAGACAAGAAACTTAAAGGAACCTTTTTTTAGTGAGCGATTTAAAATTTAACGTCAAATCGGCATTATTATCATTTATCAGGTTGGGCTAAAAATGAAATATTTAAAACTGGGGATAACCTTTCCGTTCTAGTTTTGATGTTTAGAAAAGGGTCGGTGAGTTTTGATAAAAAAAAATACGATACTGTTAACGCATTTTCACATGCATCAAAGCTAACACAAAAGTGTAGCGTCCTGAAGGCTTATCACCATAAAGGCGAGTAAAACAAAGAATGAATGCTGAACAGTAATAAACAATATTTGTTGACATATACCGTTATCTCCCGTCTCTTGCCAATAAGTGTAAGGATGTGGATGTTCAGCATGTCAGTCAATGATTGTCTTATCCCGACTTGATTATTTACAGATCGCTGCCAGTGCGGCGTTAAGCAACCAACACACTGGGTTGGTCAGTTGGATTTTTTATTTGACCACACAAGTGAATATCACTTGCATGATACGTGTCAATTATTTGGACTTACAAAATGAGGTCTCAAAAACGAAATGCTGTCGGAACATGAATTCAATAAAGCCCGGTCCCGCTAGATACACAAATCTGCCCTTCTCTAAATAGAATTTGATTGTCAGTATGGATAGTCAAATATTTACCTAGCCTGGTATGTGCGAGCAGATTGGAGGGTATGTGGGTGTTTGCTGACAAAGCTGTAACAATGATTAGACGTGCTTATCTCAGAGATTGTCTCCGTACATAGTCCCACATATGGCCTTATCAGGCAGCCATTTTCTCTCACTAGTACACACGAATGGGAATAGAAACTGTGAATGAAAGTGTTTCAAATTTAAAAGCTGTGCCAAGGACACCTTTTTTGATTGTCTGGATTGTTATTGCTTTAATCAGGTTGCAGTTTATTGCCTGTTGTGTACTGTCAATAAAGAAGTGGGGGAATAGCATAACATTCTTCTTGTGTGTCCAAAATATGAATCATTAAGAAGGGAAGTATATATCAGAATGTTACTTCGTCCATCCCAAATTTGAATCTCTTGGTAATTTCCCCCAGCAGAAATAGGTGCTTTCTCATGCCGAGATTTAAGGTAAAACAACTCTTTTTTAGACTGAAATAATATTTGTGAACGATACTCTCTTCAGTGCAGAAATAAAAATTGATTAATTGAGTTCACGAATAACAATCCCGATGCAACATTTACCCTCAATAAAATGAGTCACTCGCAGCTATATCCGAGGCATGAGAGTGCCCTGTTGTTCTCTTCTACTGCCTCGGATAGCAAAATGTCCCTGGTTCTTCAACTATGCCCCTGAAAAACCCAGTATCATTTCTGTGAGACCCGCGAAGACCCGGGTTAGAATAGGTCTTCAGCAACCCATGCTTGCCGTAAGAAGCGATTATATCATTGTCGTAAGAGGCGACTGACGGGATCGGGAGGTGAGGCGCCCTGACTTGGTTGATGCATGTCATCGTATCCCAAATGCGTGGATCGGTGCTCATGATGTCAATCACTTGACTATCTGGTCCAGACTAAATTAATTATAGACCGACGTCATATAGCTGGGGTATTGCTGTGTGTGGTGTTAAACAAACAAAACAAATAAACATTTTTGTGAACTCTGATCTTCTATGTCATATCCTTGACCATCATTTTCACAGGTACTGGATCATGTAATCCATGCTTCACATCAACCATAAGCTCATTAACCAACATGGCCACCTATTATGCTAACTTCGTAAGATGATCCACATTCACATGACGTATGGTGCTAACATGTAGCGCCTATTCAGTGTATAACGACTGAGTTAGTGAGTGAATGCTTTGAAAATAAATGCAAAGCTTCACAAAGGTTATAGGTTGTTCAAGTGCATAAACTGGGTCATGTGGTACGAGTACTTGTTACTTCACCTATGCATTACAAAGGCAAAGGATCCCCAGCAGATCAACCGTGGAGAGATAAGAGCCTTTGTGGAGAATATTCTGAATAGAGATGGAGGGGTACTTCATGCAAAGTAGTTCCATGACCACTAAAAGCGATTGTATTGAAGTTACTTGGAGGAATAATTATGACAATCACAATAATTATTCTGTATTAGACCACTATGACTAAGGATTTGTAGTTACGTATATCTGATAGTCGCATTACGTTATTATACAATCACAAGTCGATTGCATTTCAATTAGCTTATTATCCTTATGCAATATAACGTCAAAAGTGTTAACAAAATATTGTAAATATTACTGCTCTAATACTATGCTTATAGTTAGAGGCGGTCTAACTATAAGCGGGATCGGGTGGTCAGGCTCGCATCACGCATTAATACTGTCAGGAATAGTTCATCGGTGTCCCAGAGGAATGTAATACATCAAACAGGTACATCATAACCCATCATGTTGGAACACCTGTGTCATATTCAATTCAACATACAACAGAAATCATGACAGCTTTATCTGATACTTGGCATCGACGACAACAACAAAATCATAAAGGTAGAACGGTTGTAACATAATCTCGATCCGGATTGGAAATCTAGTTGTGGCGAGTGTGAACATAACCATACACGGCACAGCAATGTTGTGAAATAGACGCAAGGTGCAAGACGAAGATAATATCACTACCATATGCAACTTG